AGCGAAGGTACATATGCACAAAGGTTATCATGCGTATTTTGCAATAGAAGATCTAGAAGGTGACATTCCTTGAAAAGAAAAACATTTCAATTTTCAATACATTATGGACCGATTTGAGGCAGTTCCATCTGGTTGTGTGAACATAGTGGGCGGATAAAGTTTGCGTTGTTTGATAAGTATGCAATGCTAAAAAACTAGGCCTAAGAAACATATAGTTACCTAACACATGCTGGATATGAGGATTATCGGATTATCCTTTGACACAAAAATATGCAGTGATGTAGTTATGACTAACTACATAAATATATGCTTAGAAATATTGAAATGTGTTCAATTTAATCCTTAATCATTAGTTGGAATGACATTAGTTGGTAAATTAAATTATTGAAGGGAGTGATGAGCTTGTCTGTAAAACTGGTACTCAATTTTCGTAGTTTTGGAGTATTTCCAAACCAGGGTCAAATTATCTGTATTTAATAATTAAGAAAAATACAGCAGTAATCTCGCGAGTATTTTTATAGAGGCAAAATATGTTCATATGCAGTATGAAAACATTTTAAGTATTTCAAGAAACATGGAACAATGAAAATATGAACATGTTTTCATAAGATTGCCGCAACCGTAGCACTTATTCATTAATTCATTATTATAATTGCGTATCTGTAATCTGTATATTTATGAGTATAATTAAATTCTGTCGTTACTTTTGCTTTTCAAATATGGACTTTTGGTCCAACAAAATAGTGATCATTACCCTTCACCTACGACTGATATGTTTATTTACACTTGATCTTCAATCTGAAGTACAGATCAACATTTATTTTATTATTCATATTTATATACTCTTCTTTCACAAGCAAACAGGATGAAAAAAACTAGTTAGGTTTGGTGATAAGGAGAGAGAGAGAGCGGAACGAGGAAATATTTGACATTTTGCACAGATTAACAAGTTCAGCCCTGTTTGGACAACATAGGAAGTTTGTTTAGTTCACAATTATGATGCATATACACACAAAAATACGGAACTACTCCATTCATATTCTACGCAATATGTCCAGTTTCATTACTTTCCAGAAGTTTTTTCAATCAAGTTGGCAAAAGTCAATACAATTTTAAATTATCTCAAATCATCATGTGAAATTATGTACGTTATAGATATGCAACGAGTCTCCCAATGTTGTGAAAGATTAAAGATGCGGCATATGCAATGTGATGTCCACTTACTGGCGTTCACAACATAAACATGCCAAATATGTACGTACGGAGGAAGGATCACTCAAAAATAAAACTCGCGTCCATTTCCATCGCTCATTTAATCACTGGAAGATAAAAGATGGCATAAATAAAGAAAAAATCCCACAAGGAAGATAAAACGTATTGACGAAGTCATACATACTTTGGAAAATACAAACTGGTTCAAATACAAAAATATATATGTATTGTGGAACCAGAGTCAACTCAGAATCTGTGCAGCGTCAAATGCCTGGAATCTGTATAAATGGATCTCATTTTGTCTGAGCCCACTCAGTTGCTGAGAAGAAAGCAGGCGAATCACACACTCTGAAAAATAAGTCCGAGCTAACAACATCCTGATTTTTTTAAGTTGAATACATACTTTACTTTTACGGGAGATTTTACGGATTAACGTACACCGCTAATTTGTCAATTAAGAATTCTAAAGATCCTGTGCAACAAGTGAAACCTTGAAGAATATTGTTGCATTTGTGGGGCTTTTACAAACCAGTGCGTTGAGAACAAAGTCTTCGTTCAGTTAATTTCCTCAATTTATTTAACGTGGGATTTTCATCGATTCATACTTGATTAACCGTAAGTAAATTATAATCCCTTTATGCATACTTTTACTTTTTTTGTGTGAGTAATGACTTGAGGTGAGAAAAGAATGACAGTGACAAACTATGACTCGAGTTTTAGTATAGGATTTGAGCAATGTGCGAAGAGGGAATTTGAGACGATCCCAAAGAACTTGAGATCGTCCGGAGAAATGACATTTCATTCGTATAGATAAAGATGTACTTACGTTGCATATTTCCGATTACACAATTGTGAGGAAAGTTGTAGTAGATAGATTAGAGGTAAAACTAACCAGGGCAATTTAATAATTAATCATACAAGACTGAACGTTATTGGATGACTTGCATGTCTCATCATGACTCATGCAATAGATCTTTCCGACGACGTGAGAAATTGGAAGCATGGGAATTAAAAAAAACGTGGCACTCCACACCTCACGTGGCTGACACCATGCCAAATTGCGATAAAGTCTATATATATTTCAGCCCAAAATTTCACTCCATTTAAACTGACACCATTTGCTTGTCTGACATTGAATTGGCAATTGTTAGTTAATTATCCTGCATAAGCCAACGATAAGTGGAGTGGGGTGGTGCGGATTGAGGTTGGGAATTACATGGTCATCACCATTTTAATGGGAACGGCAGCCAGGAATTTTTCATTCATCCCAGTCCAAAGTCAAAAGTTGAGCGTACTTCATCATAGGATTTGCTGGACAAACAGTTATTAATCCCCTTCATTCATCTGTCAATAACGCGTACGAAAGTCACTCTGACAGCGTGCACAGCAGATTAGTATATATTATACGCAACTGCTGACAGTATATTCTCATATCTACATATTTTGTTAAAATTCAACATTACATGTCACCGGTTTTTCCTCAAGTTAATAACTGTCACCTAGTATTCAGCATTTGCTAAATGTGCAGTTTCAGACATATGTGTGTCATTGGTGCCAATGAGATGTTGTTCATACACGTATGTACTTGATGATAGCGCAAGAATTATGGAAGATAGCAAACCCGTCCGTTTTTCTCATTGTATAAGTACACACATGCATAGAACCCGGAAAAGAATTGTACCATGTTGACATTGCATAAAATATTGGCCATGAATGTGGATCAGTTAAATTTAATCAATGTGTAATATAAATGAGCAATGCATTCCATAATTTCAATACCAACTCATATCGGCCCGTTCTGGAATGATGTTCAATGACCAGTCTAATTTTAAATATTTGGAGCAGAGCAATAAAGTTTCAAGGAAACTTGCGGAATGAAACACGCGGACAAATTATAAAATACATTAGCGTACAAATCTATTCTAGCATGTTTTTTTGTCTATTTAAATAATGTATATGGCAAACTGAGATTTTTTTAGTTGGTCTGATTTCTACTCTATCTATAAAATATATGTACAAAGCTAGCATAAACATTGGGGGGCCATTTAAGACTTTGAAAACTTGTTGCTTATTACTTACAATGCGTGCAGTGTAAGATCCTCTACAGCTCGATTTGCTGACTTTCTCCTTCCCAAACTACGTGACCTCAACAGTGATTTAGAGATTTGTCCATCTAGTTTAATTGAGATCTTTTACAGAAGCAATTGCGCAATTGTTTTGGTGTGAATGGAGACTGTTTACTTTCACTCGTAAAGAGAGGAAAACAAGGAATAGCTTAAGACTAAGCAGCTCATTTTCTTTATTCGTTTGAGAGAAAGTAATTTTAAAAAAAACTTTTGCTTTAATTAAATTGAGCTATAAGCTTTGATTTGAGCGAATCGCGTGTCAAAGCTTAATTCGTGCAGGTGCACGTATATGTACTTACAGCGACAATATATTTACATACAAATGTTCAAACTCAATTCCTACAGAGATTGTGGCACAAAGTGTCATTTTGAAGTCAGCAACTATATAAAATTTTATAAGATCAATTACAAAATCATTGATTAGATTGCAACGAGCTTAGAAATAATAAAAAAAGACGACTAATTGAGGCGTGGCAGTGAACGAAGGGACAGTCACGCAGCATTTACTTATTTTTTCAATTTTGATTACACAGATATTAAACCACCCAAAAACGATTATGTAATTATATTGATAGACACAACACGGTAATTAATCTACACGTCTCTCTCTCTCCAATTCAACACTCCGGAGCATGAATGATATCTAAAGAGTCATAAAAATTAATCGCCTCAGTTTCTTTGACACATGAATGACATCAGGTCTCACGTACCACGTTAAAAGTGCTTTGCAGCTTGAGCGAGTGAAGCGTGCCTCTCAGTATTTGATTTTGCTGAGCCAATGTTTCTGCAAAATCAGACTAAACATTGACACACGTAAAGAGTTAAAATTGAATAATAATTGTAACTGGAGGAGAAATGATGATTTCCGTCATCAGTTTATTGGATTGGACAATGGCGTGGGCGTAGGCTCTTAAGCAGCAAATTGACCCATAACCCCGAATCATTGGAAGAACAAAGTTCATCTCTTTTGCATACGCGTTTACTCCAAATACTCAATTATTATTTTATTTAATAATTCTCTTTTTATTAGAAATCTCAAAAATTTCCAAACATGAATATTACAGACTTACATAAGCATACATATTACACAGACTTGAAATTTTGTATCGCAAGGAAAAACATTTTTGGCAATAATTGTGAGTATTTTTAGTAAATAGCTATTTTATTATAATTGTTGCGTAATTGGCATAATATGTAATATGTGTATGTTAAGTTTTTTGTATAACTCGTACCACGTCTTATGGTTATCAATCAATCAATATTTCTCAGTAAATTCCAGAAAGTCTTAAATATATAAATACATAATTAAAATTAATTAAATACGCATTGGAACTGCGATGAGATCAAAGGCAGCATAACCCTAAATCAATACATGTTGTGAAATAATTCCATATTTTATAAAGTGGTTCGCATTATGTGAAACTTCATCAACTTGTTCATGTCCGTAGTCCAATTCCTCGAAGTTGCAAGTGTCTGTTTTTGGGAATCATGGGGTTATTATACATAAACTAAAAATATGTGATGACACAATCCCATTATCGTTATGCATAAACGTTAACCTATAAGCTATGAGCTTTGTGGACGTTATTTGGCCTTTTTTCTTCGAAAGATTTCACGTGTCGACTTCATGGTTCTTCTTTTAATGTTTCTTATTTTACTGAAAGTTAATAAATTGTTGATAAAGAATTCAACACAAAAACCTCGTCAATTCAAAACAGGGAAAGAGTTGTCGTCGTACGATTGAAGTAAATAAAATAATAAATCCTAGATTAACGATGCGGTGAACATGACGTGACGCCAATGGTTCATGGAATTAAAAATTTTCTTATATATCGAACAAGTTATTTAGGATGAATAGAACAAGGAACAAAACTTATCTATGGACCAAGTTTCATCGTCATTCTCTAATACCTTTTACGTACGGACGGCCACGAAGCATGCCTCTTAGTAATCATCATAGATATCCAACCAAACTGACAGATTGGCTGATTTCTTAGTTTCTCAAACTCTGACCGCAGCTCTCATTAAGTAGTCAATTAAGAAGAGCCACAAACTCAGCTAACTGTAGCAGATCGTTGAAATCGCTTGCACCCACAGGTTCATTCTGAATGAAGAAATTCGAATTCATCGCCTATCATCATATCCAATCCAACTCATTTACATATGTACGTAGATACATGCATATGTACATACACATGTCATGAAAATGGAATTGAGAGAGCTAGAAAAAATTATTTTATTACTATTACATAAATAATACAAGAAAATAATATTATGGACGGAGAAGAGCTTGCACCCGACCTGACTGACTCCCATTGACCTGACATATCCATAATATAGCATGTACCTATGTCCTTATGTACAAGAGATTATGTACACATGTAAACCCACTAGGAATAGAAAACCATGCAAATTGAGAGTTTGAGATTATAAGTACCTAAGTACCTTGTTATCATGACATGGTCTAAACTATTATTTAAATAGACCAGTATTTCGCACAGAGCCAATAAGTAAAAATTAACAAATTAATAAAAAGGTTTGTATTTTTATATTAAATTGCAGATGGAACTAAAGACCAGACATTTGTCGTTATTTTCTACCGTTGTGGTGGTATCAGTTGTAATTGTCCTGTTATTCATGACAGTGGAACCAGTGAACAGCAGACCTTCAATAAGTGAAGGATGGACAGAGTATCATCGAAGATTTGGAATATCCGACCCCAAGAGAATGGCCAATTACGAACATGAAAATTTAGTAAGTGAAATGATTATCGAAAAATGCATGCATGGAAAACGATTAACCAAACCCACCATGTTTACTCTCTAGTTATATATATGCCTGATTTTAGTAGAAAACCCATTTACTTAATTGGTCATTATCTAATTTGCAGAGTCGAGAAGTTCGAGAATTATGTCAGCGGTGTGCAAAAGTTACAAAGTCTAAGCTGGCGGTAAGTCGACTGATAATTAAAGCACAATTTTTAAAATCCAGAAAAAACTATAATATAATTAATGAATATTATTTTGTTCTATTTAATACAGTACCCTATGTGCATACTTGATGAGGAGCACGCACGCGAGTGGTGTAGTAAACTGTTAATGGTCGGTTAATTAATTTTGAAGACTGAAAGTTGAAAAGAAATTGTGGAGTCCTTATGTAAACGACGACAAAATAGTAGTCGCCAAGATTGACTTCGAACCACCTCTAATTTCGGGATTATCTTTCCTCTATTCACTCTCCACAAGAAGGTGAACATCAAACAAGAGAGTCAATCAAATTAACAACAAAACAAACCACAAATCTCACTTCAAGTATTCACAAGACTTATCTAATTAGCTTACTTAAATAAATTTAAAACTCGTAAATATTTGTGAGGAGCGCGAGATAGGGCAAATACCTTAATATCTAAATAATGTAGTTCCAATGTACTGCAAAATTACTAGACTTTAGAGCCCAAACACGAAATAGAGGATAAGGAACAAGTATTACATACCCTTTTCAAAATTTACTGTTTACAAATGATAAGCAATCCCTACAGTCGACATAAAATACGGCCTGTCTCTTTCTCATCTAAATACATACCTGCTTGCTACACATTGTTGTGATAAGTAAAGTAACAAGTACTTAATTAATAATTAAACAAACATTGAAAACATAAATTAAATAAACTAATCCGAAGTAAATTAATTCGAGTTTACACTCCATGCACGTACGCCTGCTTGACTTTAATATGTACCAATTCCCTAGTAGATGATTACTAAAGATGATACTTGGAAAGTCAAGCAATAGGATGTGTACGCCCAGTAATAATACCGACAGACCACAGATCCGTGAAAATCCTAAACATCGATTAAACTGACATATGTAATATGTACACACATTTTAAAGTCTGGCTAAAAGTCGTTGCATACATGTGAACAAAGGAATTACAAAATTGTACTATTTTAATATGGTATCTTTACAGTAAGGTTTATGTATGTATATCCTGTGCATCAAGATAATTTTATAATTGTATGTAAATATGTATGTATGCAAATGGATGCAGGTCATGCGAGATGTTTGAAGCATATTTTCAAGTCTTTTATTTATTACTGTTTGTATTTTCTTAATTTTTTCGAGTTGTTACCCTATTTGTTGAGCATGTAAATGATTCTCATTTCAAGAAACGAGGGTATTAAATATACACAAAATACGTAAGAAATTATTAAAGAGTTTGGTAAAATAAATAATAATTTGTGTTAATCATGCTCAATTTTGAAATTGATATCTCATTCTTAGCTAATTGTAAAATGCATAGCACACACTTAATTTTACTACAGCTCAAAATCCAAAAAAACTATTGTCTCCAATTTGATGGGAGTTAGATATCCACCATCCACCCGACACAGCTTTTCTATTTGTACACCATACGGCCAGAAGTCGAAAAGGTTTCCGCTTCATTTTTGATGTCCGTGTCCTGTACTTCGGAATGTATTTTTGAAGTATATAAACATTCGGGTAAAAAATCGTTCCATAATTTTACTTCTACTACAAATGCATAACTGTTCAAGGATTCACCAACAATAGAAATGTAATTGTCAGCAGTACGCCCACAGTTCTGTACTTTATCATTTTTATATCCCAGGAAAAGCTTCCTGCCTGCTTTTATTGTACACCACATGGATTTCTCGAGGGGGTTGAATATCGCTTATGTTACTGCGGATTTCTCCTTCTTCGGCTTTACGACCCCAAAAAATGTAGACCAAAAACCTTAAGTTGGTGTTATGTTGCGGGTCATGCCCCCCTCATCGATTTGACGTCGACCAGGGGGGGGGCAATGCCCTATCCGACAGCAGGATACGATTAGTAGGTTATTGTAGGAACTACGCATATTATAGTTCATAATTTTTGATACATGCTGAGATAGAAAGAGTCGACCAAAAGTGTTTTAGATATATTTTTTTATTTTTTTAAGAAATAATTATTATACTTATTATGAAATGTTGTTGTACAGTTAGTATTATGAATTGATTATTTACCAGAATTCACTTTGAGAAGCAATATAAATTAGCATTTACATAATTTATTTAATTAATGGCAAAGAGCCAAAACACAAACTAAATTAAATTAATTCTTAATGCAGAGTTTAATATCTTTGACATTGGATGTATTGTATCACTGAACCGCAAAAAATTGTTCAACTCATTAATCATCACTGTAACAAATATATTAGTATAGTATAATTAATTACAAAAGGTAACTCATATATCAGTCCCACAAACCAGAATCATGTATGGATGGATGTATGTATAAAGCAAAATGCAAAATCGCATAAAATTCAAAAACGTTGTTAACACAAAATAATAGTAACGGTAAAGTTTACCGGGCAAACTTAACCTAAACGTTAGTAAAGCATGCTTGTCAATGCAAATTCCAGCAGAACAATAATTGAAACAACATCGACACAACTTATAATTATGAAAGCGTTGTTGAATAAATTGCACAACGTTCTCCAAAGGCAAATAACAAGGGATGATATCATATCTTGTTCCTAATTTCGTCTACCTACCATTAATTATAGTAGGCGCGTATCAGGCACAATTACAATAAGTGTTAACGAATGGTGGTGAATAGTAAAATGTGAGATGATCAGCAAGGAATGAGAATACCCATATCCGAATTTAACGTGTATTATTCACCATTATTAAATCGGTTTTTAACCACGATATTTTTGTTATTGGATGAGTAGTTTTATGACAAAATAAACCAACATAGCACGTATTAGTCCTTGCGTCTTCGACGAGTTGAAGTACTAGGAGGTGACGACTTGTTTTCACTGACATCTTCTTTTTCTTCTTTCTCTTCTCCTTGTTCATTATTGGTGTCTTCGTCTTGTGACTCTTCATCTTGGATTTCCTCCGTAAAATCGTCGTCGTCAGACTGAAGCCAAAACAAATTATTATTACACATCTCGTATGTATACTTCAACTTCTACTTCTCGTATGTACATTAGATAATAAGGAAAATGTCTCTTACATCTTTATCTTTTTTCTTTCCCTGAGAAGAACTTTGTTGAGGAGATGGGGGCATTGGAGCACCAGGAGGATAGATAAAATCAATTACGCAAACCAAAATCTGTGAAATTATGATACATAGAAATATATATTATTATTTTTAAATAAGACGAATTATGTCAATTTTCTTACTCACCAAGCCCAAAATTAATCCAATGACAATCGTTGCAACGCCAAACATTAGGTAGGCAGCCCAAGTCGGGATCCCATACTCTTCCAACATTACTGTCATTATGTTCTGTTTAAGCAAATAATTTGAAAGATTTTGTAACCCCTCTGTATTTATAAGTAAAACTCGTTTTAAGGTCTAATTTCACACACCCTAAGATTCATTGAAATTTTGTAGAATTGAGAAACCATAGTCATTTGAACAGATGAAGGGGATTGCCATGAAGAAATTGGCTCTAGCGTTTCCCATCTGGATTAAAAAAAACAAAGTTAGCTATACGTTACGGGTTGAGTGAAATATATATATTCAAACCGTTTCTCTTCGACAAAGCCCAAAAATTCTTCCTTTGATCGTGGTCCCTTGTACTGACGAAACTGACCATCTTTCACATGAAAAATTGTTGGGAGGGCTGCAAGACACATTAGTAATTATGTAAAAACCTACGTGTTCCTCTTTTCGCATTAGTATAACTAACGTATGAGCAAAGCGAACCTGTTATCATAAACCTTCCGCTCAACCCAGGGCTGCTGGTAATATCAACCTGACCAACCTTAATTCCTAAATCATTACTCCAAGATGCGAAATCTTCCCAAATAGGTTGTAAACTTCGGAATGATAAAGATAAAACACATGTAAAACATATATACATATAAAATGCCAAGCTCTCGTTTAGCCCATCACAAGGTTCAAGATAATAAAATTCAATACCTTCGACAAGCCGGGCACCAAGGAGCAAAACTATAGAACAATCAGAAACAACGTTTAAAAAATCTTCTCGAGCTTCCATTATCTAAATAAATAAAACTTACAACTCAACCATCCACTCCCCCTCCAAAATAGAATTCCAGTTGTCATCGTTGACATGAACAAGAGCTGAGGAGGACGTGTGCGCCGAGGTCCATGAGCACTGAGAAGATATCACAAGGAAAAGTGCTACCACAATTTGATGTGAAGAAGCAACCTTTCTCCCCTTCAACAGCTCCATCATACAATTTAATATTATCTGCCTGCCTCGTCTTTTTGATGGTTTAGTTATGCGTCAGTAGTAATCTACTTCCAAATTCTCTAGCAAGTGACCAATTCTGTGAAATAAAAAGTAAATTGATAATCAGTAAACTACCTATATCAAAAATACAATGCTATAATGTGTAGCATCTGGTCGCGAGAATATTATAAACATCGAACACGAAACGAAACATAATGTTGTTGATACAGAAGAAAAAATGTAGCTTTCTTTCTTGCGTAGGTACAAATTGGAAGTAAGAATAATAATCGATTCACACGACACCGTGAAATCAATTTATTCTCGCTTTATCGATTATATTTCCATCCACGAGCGAATAACACAAAAGTTTACACTTTTACATACTTGCTCCCCGTTGTTGGCGAATGTAGTATTAATCTAGATAGTTTATAGTTCGTATTGCCATACCTGACTCGCTCGCCTGAATGCTCGTTAAAAATTTACTCGTTGCGTTCCTCTATCCTATCAGAAAATTCAACAAATTACGAACAACCCGACCGAAGTACGACGACGACAAGAAATTGGGCGACAAGACAACTTTGTCGAGAAAAACTTCCACGACGACACAGCAGCAGATGAACAACAAAGCTGGACTTCATCAAACCCACACGTTCCCACACTCGCTGCATAAATGACAATCAAGGCAAGGTTTAGTCCGATGACAAAATGCAAATCTTTGTTTGTTTGTCATTAATTTTTATGCAGAGAGATGAAATATGAAACATTCTATAGAGTTGTTTGAAAGATTTTATTCAGGGTTGTTGTATAAACGTTTAATGGTATTATCGCATTTGTTATTTTGCATTTTCATCTTGAGGAAGCTGTTGATTGAGGAGTTTTGCCTCGTTCTTGCTTTCGCATGCAACAATATTGTCACTGAGGGGCTTTCCGGTTGTTTCGGTCATGAGGAAAGAGACCAAGGACCCACATACACTAATAATAGCGAAAGTGAAAAATGGGATGGACGGCCAACCTGAAGATAAAATTCCACGGTATTAGTAAATAGGTATTACATACATGGATAATCGGATAAGGCTTACGCGATCCAAGATACACCAACTGCGGCGTGACAACGCCAGCAACATTTGCAGCAATTCCACCCATCCCTAGACCTATTCGGGTCGAATAATATTGATTAATAATCAGTCATACTTATTTACAACGTGCACAATTAAATCAGTACAATTATTAGTTGACACGAACCCATAGTCCTAACGGAAGTGGGGAAAGATTCGCCTGACAAAAGCCTTGCTGCGGAACGAGCACAAGCCATTCCAAGCTGACTGAGAAGGCAAAAGATGACCGTGATCAAGATCAAGCTGGGGTCGGATGCTTCCACGAAAATCTCGCAGAGAGCAAGGGCTACGAGAAACAGGGCACAAAACGTCATGGATGCAAAGAGGGTACGTCGTCGTCCCAAGCTGAGTAGATAATTGACAGTTATGTAAATTTTAAAGTAAATATGTAGTTACATATGTGATAGAGATGGTGTATAAATTACCGATTATTAATTAGTATCGCAAATCTCTGGCCTAGTGCATTAGCGAGTCCGATAAGAAAGACGTTCAGATAAATGCTTCCCTGCACGTTTTTAATGTTATAAGTCACACCATAGTAAGTGAATGACCAGGCGAACCAAATTGCCATAAGGTATAAACTTGTCGTTCGAAGCTGCTTATCTCGAAAAAATTGCAAATAGCCGAAACTGAAAAGGTGACAAAGGCATATAAATACATATACATACAACTTGGACTGTTGGACTAGGTAATCTACGTATGCACAATTGCTAAATAATTAAGTTTGATACCGTTTTCCTCCATTTTGTGTTTCATCTCGATCCTTTTGTTCTTGGTCACTAATTGCTTGAAGAGTTTCCAGACTCACTTCAGCACTTCCATTGACTTTCGCCATGTACTTCAACACGGAATAAGCATCATCAACACGTCCGTTTCGTAACAACCACCTAGGGCTCTCCGGGACAAATCTTTGCATATAATTTGAATATAATATGTATAAATATGTCACAATACTTGATGGTAACAATACTTGATAAAAACGCATTTTCATACGGATAAATTAAGAAAATCAGACTAAACGGGGCGACCGTAATCCAATATAACATTCTCCATGGTCTGAAAAAGTAGGCCAATATGCTCAGAATCATAATGCCTTCACCGGTCGGTCCGACAGCACTAGAGAGGGAACGTTTTTCCGGGGGCATAAATTCAATTGCTGCCATGCACGTGATATTAATGTAGGCTACATTAATAAGAACACACAAATAAGCGCAGAACTTGAGTCAAAAATGTTTTATAAAATTACCTGGTATACCACAACCACAGATGAAACGTGCTATAGCATAAACATATCTACATACATACACGATATATACCTTATAATTATTAATTTATATATGCAAGTAAGTATGTATAAAATATTTTTTTCACAACGCACGGATTTGGAGAAATTGCTGATACTGTTGATCCTAGAGCTAGCAGCAAGGTTGCCAATAAAAATCCTGTTTTTCGCCCATACCTTAAAAAATGATGCATATGATAATTGATAAATTGGTTGTATTATTAGATTGGATTTGAATCGTTAGTTTACCAATCTGCAAACTGACTCCCATAAATATTTCCAATGAACATGCCCATCATTTGTATACTCATTATGAAATCTGCAACCCATGACTGCTCACACACTAGGTGCCACTAAAATATTGATTCAAAAACTTCAATATTACAATATCGTTGTATTAAAAATTATAATAATTATTACTTCAGTGACGATGCTATCGTCTGAAGATGAAGCAAGCGATGTATTGCAATTGCAAATATCTAATTGGGAATCAGGATCGATCTCATCATTTGAGACGCATTCCCATGATCCTGTGATGAAAGAAATTGGAGAAAAAACTTACGTAGTACTTGCATTATTTCATTAATCATAAAAATAAGAATTAGAAGTGTTTGAATAACCTTTTCCGGCCACAAATATGGGAATGAAGGTCACGAATGCCACTGGGATCTCTAGCGTTAAGAGAAGTACCAGGATCAGAATTTGAAATTTTCCAAATCCACCTAAATATACATATGCATACTTAATATAAGAAATGGAAAGATTGGTATTAGTGGAAATTTCAGGATTATTGAAGAAAAACTTGCCCAGTTTCTCAAGAACCTCTTCGAATTTGAATAAGGTGACAGAAGAATTTCGTTTTGAAATTTTAGTCGACGACATCATACGCGACGCAACATTTACACGGATATGATAACAAATATGTATTCGTTCTTTCTTACCCACGCTATGGCTATGGGTGGCCAAATCAAGAAACAAAGGCTACACTACTGAATATTTTTCATAATTTGATGTCCATAGGTTTTTATATATGTCGCAAAAGGCGAACTCTGCCAATTGAAGTCACATAAATGATCCTAAATTAGCAAACGGACAACGGCATAATGCAAACTTTTCGTGGTTTCGCTTAATTCGACTATTCAACTGTCAGTCAAAAAATCAAAAGTCGATATGATTCAATCTTTTGTTACTTTACAAAAACACAAAATCTGTACAAAACATGTATATATTCGTTTCAAATTAATTTCTTTTTGAAAAATTGATTATCAATTTGCACGAACACCATTTTGTATTCACAGACTTACAATTTTCAAGCAATAATATTAGTTAGAGTTCAAGTTTACTATAAACCTTGACTCCTGTATCAGATCCAATGCACAACAAATTCTTTAGCATGCATGTGCATGCAACAGTGATGGCATCTAAAATTAAGGATAAATTGCATCATCTTTCTTTATCTTATCGTACATAACGTTGCACCAAGCTGGATCCACCTTTAAATAAACCTGAAACTTATCTCGGGAATTCTTAGAAATTTTCCATGCATTCACAGTTGTTCTCACAGAAAGTTATATCAATTGGAATCTATAATGTGACACTAATTTTATTGCTTTGTTTTATACGGCATTTAAATTGGACTTTAATTCAAAAGTATATATCGTATAATCGTTGTTGAGTAATTTTGATTATAATCTTAAGGAAATTTGAAAAATGTTTTGCGGCTCTCTTGACCAAGTCGATTAACAAATGTAGCCGCATATTTTCCATTCGTTACTAATTGGATTGGATGTGGGATATCTTCTCCCGGGATAACCTTGTAGAGGGTCCATTGTCCTTCCGTTGCATGTTTATAAATTGCCAACTTGTGCACGATGCCAGATGTAATAATATCCTTCGTAATGGTCACGTTAACTGTGATGGATGACCGTTCTTTGGACTTCAAAATTATTGGCTGCATAGTCTCCACTTTAGAAAAGGTAGAATTCGACAACCACGGATAAACGGGTTGGAGGGCAGGAAGAGGATAGATAAAATTTCCAAAAAATCCAACCGATCCTCCAAAATCGTCGCGAAACATTTTAGCACTGAATTGTACATTTCCCCAGGAACCTCGCTTCCTGTTTGCCGGTTCTCTGGTTATATCAATCTGCAAAAAATACAACTCAATTTAAACAAATAAGCATTTACAAGGGAGAATAAAATGCCCTCTTACCTGATCCCTAATTTCCCACAAAGGCCAACCGTCAATGTCCACTCGACTCAAGTAGTTGCCTATATGCATTTACTATTATGTACAATCACTACTATTACTATTATTTAATTATTAGTCAATTATACTCAGTACCAGGACAGACATGTCGCAACTTGGGATTTTGACCTTCAGCAACCCACCAGTCCAAGAGAAAAGGATAACTTTGTGCAGGAGGGGCAATTCTCCAGTAAAGTTGAGGTTGAAGAATATCTATGTATATTTATGTGCAAGTATTAAAATAATCCATAGTCGCACATATGTACATCTCGTTATGAGATGTCCAGAACAGCTATATCTGTACTCTGGGAGTTATACAGATTATATGATCCATATGAGGACCAATCCCCAAATTTTAAGTTTGGAAAGAAATGAACTAACCTATCCAACCCTCTTTCAACCAAAGCTTTGCGTCACAATAAATTTCACTGTACTGGTCGAATCCAACAATTGGTGGAGAAGGCATGCCGTCAGGGTGTCCAGCACGATAAATTCCAAAGGGGGAGACAGAGAATATCACCCAAGGTTTGACCTCATGGATTCCATCATTCATTCGCTGGATCAATCGATTCACATTATCTCGACGCCAGTCGTCTAAACCAAGCACACCTCCGGATTGAAGATACTCGTTGTAGGTGTTTTGGTCAGGAAATACCCATCCTAATATAAAATGGGATAATTCCAAATAAATGCATTATTATATTGGTTGTTAGCAGGACTTCATCATAGGGAAGATGCCGGCCTTATTAAATATACCTGTTACAGGGTAAGGGTAGAAGTAGTCATCCATATGAAGGCCATCCAAATCATATCGAGTCACTAGATCAAGCGCAACGCTGTAGGTCCTATTCTGAACTACCTCACAGCCAGGGTCCATCCACAAGTAGGTCGAAAATGGATAAGCACATTGCGGATATTGAATGGCCATGTGATTGGGGGCAAGCCCACCACTTGTTGGTGTCAATCGTGCTCGATACGGATTAATCCAGGCGTGGACTTGGATGTTTAATGGTTTGCAGAGGTTGATGACATATTCTAATGGGTCCCACATCGGCGAGGGGACAGTCCCTTGAGGTTCACCGGTAAGATAGATGCTCCACGGCTCAATATCAGACCTGTTTTAGTAACACTCAGAGTTTGAATTGGAATTTTAATAATTTTTTCTAACTATAAAATGTTTCGTTTTCCTTTAAACGATAAATTGTATAGCTTCTTATATATATAATTCCCTCGAATGAAATAAAAATAAATATATTTCGTACTGGTAAAGAGCATCTCCTGCAGGTCTGACCTAAAAAAGTAGCAAAAAACAGAGTAAAAAATGGCCACGATTTTCTATGAATTCTTATTTGACCTGGAAGTAAACGGCATTCAATCCCGCATCTGCAATTTGGTTAATTAAAAACGTTAACTGCTGTTGTTGAGCTGCTACACTCGAAGTTGGAGATGTGGGCCAGTCGATATTGGTTACCGAAGCTATCCACGCTCCCCTATGCTCACGACCAGGGAAAACGTCTGTAGAGAATTATCAAGCTCTTTCAGAATTTGTTTTTAAATATACGACAGTTTTTAATCCCATAAATTTGTACGGTGATAGCAGCATGAATAATCTGATGGGTAAGATGGACATGCGTTCTCTGCTACTGGTTCCGTAATACAAGAGTCTTGCTGCAGGCAGATTGCATAACCACCAGTTACTGGGTCAGGTCCGACATCGAAGCAGGGATCCGCTATGGAAAATTGATGGCAAATGGTGAAATATGTACCATGAATTAAGTTTTAAAGTAATTTTATTCCAATAACCTCCAAATACAAGATTAGCATTAGCTATGCCGAATATCACAAATTTCAGAAACAATTTTTGAACCATCATGTTGATGGTTGTCGTACTGCACTACTACGGATCACGCCTTCCTCGTTACTTATGTTATTACTTAATAATCACATCATTTATATCAGCTCAATTGTCAACCAATTGACATAGCTATGTTATCACTTTATATACTTATCAGACCAAACCCATGCAATTGACAGTAGTTGATAAGCTCGTCACAAATCCGAATAAAAGGATCAACGTAATAATAATATATATTTAAATAAATAAATAATAGAAATATATTCACTTATTTATTACACTTGCTGACTGGGCCACTTTAAAAACATTTCACTTGATTAGAATCTATTCCAATCTTTGATAAATAATTAATCATGTCCTTTTCAAATGATTTCGTTCCACAAATAAGAAACATTGAGCTCTCGAGTCTGCACCTGCTGATAATCCTAATCTGTTCGCTTAAATGGTCCAAATTTAAACGATGGTTCACAATTTTCATTCTGTAGTACGGCAGTGATCGTCCTTCATTTTCTTCACGAGAAAGCGGTATAAAATACGTAATGTCAAAATTCCAGAAAGAGGACCACGTCTTAAAATAGCCAAGCAGAGGAATGTCTTTTAGGTTGGGACAGGAGTATAAAAGTTTTATTCTTGTTTCATCATCGTCATTATTGAGAATAGATTGTATAATTCGAAACATTGGGGCAATTCCTGTTCCTGCTGCTATCAAAAATAATGTTGAGATTGTATTTGGAACATAATTATAAATCTGGCCGAAAGGTCCTCGAGTAATAAGGGTTTCTGCATCAGAAACTCCAAGCAGTAATCCATCACAGTCAAGTTGTGGGGTCAACTAAAAATACATTTATCCAAATAAAATTGCAAAACACAATTATAGAATAACTTTTATAATCACCACGAATTATGTAATACTATATATAATTTTATTAGTCAAGTACCATTTCTCTGCCAGGTTCATACTCTTTGTTGGACGATATAGAATAAATTTTGATCAGTATATCGAAACATCTGACCTCTGGATCCGTTCTTAAAACGGTATATTGCCTCGAGACGCCTTTATACTTGAGGAGTAGATGTTGACCAATCTTGACTGGAAATTCCGTACCTTCTTCTCCCCAGGAAAAACGAAACATTTTCATGGTTTCAGTCTCTTGAAAAATGTTCAATATTTTGAGGGCTTTGTATTTCTCTGGGCTTAGAAAAGTAGTATCTCCATCCGTAGAATTTGGTACGTGGCAATGTTTTCCTTTTCTAATGGCGTCGCATTGCAAGTTCCAGTTTTTGTAATGTTTTTCGTAGATGTCAAACACGCAAGGGGTGCAACCCGTGCCACAGCATTCGGATTGTAACGGTTTGATAGGCTTAGGGGGGTAAATATCCTCAGATTCTTCGTTATCAGTGGTGCTTTCCATCCTCCACGTTTGGCTATAAATTACTCACTAGACAATCTGAAATAATAACAATCATTGTCTTATTTCAATTTGAGAAATATAAATCTACTATTTTAGGTTTGGTTCGGGCATATGGGTCCGGTTCATAAATAATAACGCTTTACAACAGCATAATAATATTGATGTATATTTTATTATGTACAAAATGAATAATAATAACAAATATTAAATACATACAAAGTCTGACTAGAATCTAGTAATCTTAATAGGAAAATTTTCCGACTTGAAGAAATCATTGGTAAGTATCACAACGACGTTGGCTTCGAATTCTAAAGTAAACCAGATATTATTATTATCACCTTTGCTCTGCACTCGTAATTTATAAAATATAAACTTGCCTATTTTAAAATTAGTTGTACAAACAGTTGGACACTGTAAACAAGATTTGTATTATAATATTTATAATTTGTTTAAATACTATTTAGCATTTAGAGAGAAACTACAATTTCAAGTTACCGAAAAAAGCCTTGGAAAAATCATAAATATTGGAATAGGCAGCCCTCGACACACATTCCCCTCGCCAATTTGTATTGTCTGAATTTCAGAAGCTGAAAAATATCATATACACGTAAGAAGGATGAGTAAGGCATTATTGTTCGTCGACGTATTCATTCTAAATACTAAAATATTACCATCTTTTGCATATCCTTCCGCGCATCCAGTAGTTTCCACTCGAACCAATTGCAATTCGACGGATTTGACAGGATATTCACTCTTTTCAATGATAATTTCTCCAGTGAATGGTTTGGTAATTGGGCAAACGACTGAATCGATGTGACCGTGAGCCTTGAACACGCCGAGTTTGCTCCCAGCCTCGCTCACCATCTCGAAGTCTATCCGTTTCATTTCTGCGGGGGTGATGAGTTCGGTGAGTGATGGGTTGGAGGGGGCAGCAGAGTTGTTTCCATATTCGACGATAAACTCCAAGGACTTCGACATGGACGTCCCGATAAGGAAGGATCGCTTTACCTCGCATTTTAGACTGTACTGAACATTGATGAATACGCCTACATAAATAGAAAGAATAATGTGTATAATTTGTATAATGCATATTAATAATACTATTGTAATTTGTAATTGTAATTTTTGAGGTATCCCTCAAATCCCTTACCATGATAAGTTTCATACAGAACACGATTATTCCGACTCCTTAATGGAAACTCAAATGGAAGCTCGGTAATACCAGCGGTCAGTTTTCCAGATTTTCCAAGCTCTATTTGGTATGATAAGAGCTGAATTGGCTAATCAAACAGAAAAAAAGCAATTTGATTCATTACTTAACCTGATTTTGGATTAACAATAAAGTATGTAAAATGGAAAGTGGAAACTGCATGTACCTTAACGGATTGGTAAAAGGCTTCAAAAATCCCGACAGTTTTAGAGCTCAACTATTCAATTAAGATATGTATGAATGCATTATGCAACTTCAAAGTGAATTATGCGATCGAATGCCAATCAATTCAGATTTTGTGAGTAAATGAAACGGCAATTTAAAAAATTGTGACGACAAAATTTCTTGAATGCGAGATGTGAGTTAAATTAGATGTACCATGTTTTAAATTGGGACTACCAACCTGCAAGTTGACGTGACCGTCCATGCTCAGGATAATTCCATCATGTCGTAAATCAGTCTTTGATGAAATAATCACTGTTCCTCGTATTGGCTCCTTTTTAGTGCAAAGTTAGACTCAATTAAATTGATTCAATTTATATTCAATAAATAACAAATATATAAACGAATCGAAGGCTTACCTGCTCGTTATAAACTTTGCTGTACCGATTTAGGCGGATATCTACAACTACCACCATTGTTTTAAATTGCACTAAATATTAGGAAATAATTGATATTGTTTCGATAAAAGAGGGAAATTGAAAATATTTTTTTTGGCATGTGGTAATTTTCACATCTAAAAAATAGCATAAATATATAGCAAAAATATTATAAATCAAGAGTTTCTGCTCAATTTCTTTCCTTTACGCGTTCTTTTGTAAACTCCACTAAACGGTTCAATGGTACGGCACGTGAGTTTGTATGGATATGACTGCTGGCTGGTGATCTTTGATGGGTATAATTTGATATGGTTTCTCTCTCATCATGGTTTGTTTATGCAATTGTAATATAATGCACTTATCAGGAAAAGACGAAAAGTATGCATTACACAGATAACATAGGATAATATGTGCCAAAATATAAGAGAATTGCTCATTTCTGGTCATTATCCACTAACTATACCTCATTATTTAGACGCCTTAAGCGAATTGTAGTTTAAATTCTTGGTAAAGATCACAATAGTCTCATTGCATTTGCATTATGCAATTTGCATTCACTATCATTTCACACAAATATCCGCGGCCTATCTTTTCAGCACTACTTGTTTTATCAACCTGCTATTTCCTGTATTAGAGTAGAGAAGCGACACCGATTCGGGGGCTGTGGGTGTTCCTCCCTCTGGAACCAGTTCACGTTTGAAGACGCACATGCATGCCATGGAACTTGATATGTGATATATGCTATACTATACAGCAGCCCAATAAAGAAAGACGAGACATTGAAACTTGGCCTGAACGAGGATTTCATAAAAAATGAATTGGTCGCTGGAGGCAGCATGAGACTAATGCAAATTTAATACTTTGACAATCGACGAGGTAAAGCCGTATTGAAGAGAATTGTACATTTTACTTTACACTCACGAAGGCTTATCTGTCCCGACTTATCATTCCGTAGGACTGAAGAAGTAAGAAGGAAATCTCACGCGTAGCCCTGCTTGGAGAAGAGCGACGTCTGGTGTGAATGTTCCCGAGGGGCGACTTGCGTTGGCGAGTCGCCGAAATGTGAACAGCACATTTTCGTCGCTTCGGTGTCCCATTGTGTGTTAGCTGATGAGCCTGAGCATACGCTGATTCAATTCAACTCGAACCATTCAAATAAAAGTAATCGTACTTCGTCATCGGTCTTATTTCTATTTGTATTATTGTATTTTTGGGGTTTGGTACACGCGTTTATAAGGTGTCACGTGGCAAAACATTCAGTAATTATTGGGCGAGACTGCTATTTTGTGTAGTTTTTCTTAGATTGAATCCATCGGCGATTATTTTAGTAAGTACAAAGCAGTTAGTCTACCTAATTTGGAGGTGGCAGAATCCAACGGTTGCACTATTGCAGAGGGTTTGTTTGTTATTCGACGATTACATTTGAAGACCTACTAGAGTTAGAAACGGAACAAAGTTCAAAATGTTGAGCGACGATGATCGAGACATGGATCTGGACAGCGATGTAAGAAAACAATGGGAGTAATTGTTTGAATGGATCAGGATTTATGGTAATTTTCACTCAGGGAGTTTAAATCTGTTATTTTTTAAGGACGACGATTTTGGTCTGGGAGACGATGACATGGGATTAGGGGACAAAGGGAATGGAGCCGGAACTGGAAAACCAATGACACAGGTATGTAATGTATAACAATAATGTATGATAATGTACATATAATAATTATGGATACATTTATATTTATCTGGTAATGAACTAATGTAGAATATTTCGATTATTTCCAGGCCGAGAAACGAGCCCATCACAACATGCTGGAAAGAAAACGGCGTGATCATATAAAAGATTCGTTTGTCAGCCTCCGCGACTCAGTAGGTTCAAAATATTTTTAGTTTGTGTCGGTACTTGATTGAAATGTAAATTCAAAATTTTCATAAATATATAAGCAACTTTGAATGAGTGCATTACTAACAAAATTAGGATATTTTTGAGATTCCATTATTTGTTTATTATTAAATTAAACATGATTTGTGTTTCAGGTACCTTCCCTCCAGGGTGAAAAGGTAATAAGCCTTAAAGTGAGTATTGGTCGACCGATGACGCCGACTTACCCATCCATATGCCAATTACAATTTAAATTATGCATTTTTATGGTTTTTATAGACTAAACAGTCCAGTCGAGCACAGATATTGAAGAAAGCCGCAGAATACATTCAATTCATGAGAAGGAAAAACTCTGCACACCAACACGACATTGAAGGTACATAATCATTAACATTTAATCAACAAAAACGCGTGAATGTCTCCTTAGTCCTTAATTCGGTAAATGATTCCGCTATTGTTTCATTATAGATTTGAAAAGACAGAATCACGTTTTGGAGAATCAGAGTGAGTCTCGAGTGCAGTAGCATCCTGTAGCATAATTAATTATTAGTATTAATAATATTGTCTTTCTGTGTTACTCTTCTAGTTCGAGCTCTAGAACGAGCCCGTGCAAATGGGGCTCGTCCAAATGGAGCCAGTCCCACAGATACCAAAATGTCTTTGAAAAGCAGTAAAGGTCGAGGTTCAGAGTCAGACAATTCGGATGGAGAATTTAGGAACATGAGTTCTCCGGAGAGTGCCACTTCTTCCTCCAACACCTCTTCCAACCCCATGCCCAACGGAAAAAAACAACTCAAAGTTCTCAATGCGGCCAAGTAGCATATATGGTTGTTATTAGTTAGGTTTTTTTAGTTTAGAGAGACGTATAATCATAATTATAAATTAAATGTCTAGATATTAAGTACATATTGTAGTCAGGAAGAACATACAGAAGAAGAGGACTATAATATTATTGACTACAACTGTAAAAGTGCAGCCGTTCCATTAACCTATTCAATTTTTTGTATGCATAAAAAACAAGAGAGATATATATTACACATACTTGCTTAAACTATAAAAATATTTCATGCCACTGATATGTTAATAGCCTGCTGATGTTGACAAAAAATCACTGATCTTTACTTGTACTATGATTGATGTATTAATTAATTAACGCTATAACTAGTTACTGCACAATAAACGCAATAATACTTGTTTTATTCATTGGAAGAAAGTTTTATATTTATTTAGCAGATAGGTTTTATTCCTCTGGTAAAATAATACACCGATAATATTTATAAGTGTCATTTGCTATCCAGTCAAACATTTGATAAAATGACGATGATAATTTGATGACTGGGAAGTAAGAATTCGAGGAATTCGAACAATCATTAAACTGCATCAAAAACAATTGTATAAAAGTAAAACAGACGATGAAGTTGTGTAGCGTAGCCGCATTCTAAATTTGTAAATGGGTTTCAGATCCAAAAACAAAGTGAAGTGTCATTCTAATAGTATTGTCTCGCATCCCCATCGCGTTTATAAGCTGTTGCACAAAAAAACAGTTAATTAGTCAATCCATAATTCAATTATTGGAGCAGAAATAAATACTTATCAGACCTGGCCAAATTACTAATTAACAATTAATAATTATTGTAATTCAATCACTTTGATTCTCAATATGTAACTGTGCCGCCTGAACAAAGCTGTCAAAGTAATTGAATTACTTATTAAATTATGAATTGCTATAATAAATCTTTTTGTAAAAAGTTGAAGAGATTTTGTCGAATGATTTTGTCTTTGATGTTGAGGAGATTTTAAAAAATCTGTTTTTTAAATCTGTTGACTGGGTTCAACTGCAAAGTCCTACTTCCTATCTTATTGGATTTGTAAATTAGTAATTGGAAATTCCCAATTGCTGCCAATTATTATTTGATGTCTAATTAAAAATTGCTGAGCGCCTGCAATATAATTGTTAATTGAACAGAATTTGAACGGCATAGATAATAGCAATTGAACACAATTGAATTAGTGGCACTAGATTTTGTGGTACAAAATTGGTGTGAATTGCTGATGCTTATTTCTCACACTTTGCTTATGCGTATTTTTTAAGAATGTGTGATGTAATTCTACTTAGTTTGAGTTTCAATTAATCTGGTCAGGTCTAATAATTATGTGAAGTCACTGCACATAACATATACATATATAAATTACGTACTGTCATTGTCGTAAGTATTGCTTCGTTCTGGAGCTCCCCTTCCACGACCAGCCCCCTTCGGCATGGGTGCCGTTGTTTGCAAAGCGCCAAGAGAAGGAAAGTCATTCTCGCTAAAAGTTGGTTCTGCAGTCGGTCGTTTGTTTCCCCATGGAACATATTCTGCAGAAGGAGCTGGCATAAAGTCGTCAGTGGTGGGGGACAATCTCCCCAATCTTCTATACGTTGGTGCAGGAGGTGGAGAAGGCTGAAACATGAAAAAACTCTGTTAATTTAAAACGTATAATATAAGACGTCATAAAACATGCAGACTAATGGTAGATGTAATTATCTTTTAGTTTGAACACCATTATAATAGTAGCAAATATTAAAGAAAATTAAGGTTATTAAAGATGGAAGAAATCGATTGCACTACAACAAGACAAGAGTTGGACGAGAAATTAAAATTCGACTATACAAATTTACACTATCACGAGGAAGTCTGTCCGCGTGGAATGGGTCCGAAGAGAAGGAATCTCGTTTTGATTGAGGCCCTTCACGCTCGCAGTCCTCGGCTTGGTCATGTTTCCGCTTACTGTATCGCCCCAAAGAATGATGATCACCACTTACATCGTCCTCAAGCATTTTCCCACTGTCTCGGCGTGGTGGTGGAGATGCTCCCCAGGATCCTCCCGATGCAAAAGATGGGGAAGAAGGACTTGCCTAATTGATTAAAGTACAAATACAATTTTCTTTAACTATAATGCCTATTAGTATGATAATGGATAATAATTAGGTTATTTTTTTAAGATTACCCCCTCCGGTGAACCACCCGCAGCCGCCCTCTTATTGCAATCAGCTTTAGCTTTCGCTGCCTTTGCAATTTGAGCTTGCTTCAGTTTTTCCATGTCATGCCGATCCGTCTTAGCCAAACAAAAAGCTGGCAGAAATTCTTCAAATATTAGATACATTCTTCGCAAAACAACGTTTCGACAACACGTGTACATTTTCAAAGACGCCGTGACCTATTATACAAATATATTAACATAAGTATATGAACATTTGAACATATAATTCATTTTAGTGAAAAATAACTGCAAACTACCTCTTGATGGAAGACACAAGTAATTTCGTCTTTGTAATCATAACAGCCCTTGTTCACAATACTTGCTGCAAATAATTTTAAAAAATCCGATTAATTGTTCGTGCACTAAATCCATTATCACTATCAAATTAAAATTACTTATTAGATATACCTGCGGACAACTCCAACTTTTGTTTCACCAATACGTTGTTGTAAGAAGGGTTAAGCCTGTTGGCAAAGCTAGCCAATCGCAAAATCAATTTCGGTAATTTATAAAACTTTAAAGTGTCGACAAAGGATTGATGATCCATCCGTTTGTCTCCTATAACAAAAAAATAAGGCACCATTATAGATGGTTTGTCTTTCATTAAAAATAAGCCATGGAGAGTGCGTAATACGAGTTAAAGATATAGGTAACAGCTCCTTAAATCAAATGCTACATTATTTTAATTATAATTATGTAAATTTTGTAAAAATTGAGGCATCCACCCGGTTGAATGTCTTTCAATTATATACAAAACACATTTGGGTTTTAAGCAGAGAAGAAATAGGAGAAATATAGTAATAAAAAGACGAACCATCGACATGACTTGCGAGCCATTTTAGACAACCTCGGGCATATTCTGTTTCTTGATCAAGTGCAAAGACGACCGGCCCTTTCTTGTATGATTTGGTCCACTGCTCCCGGCAGAAGCAGCAGCAGCAACACCAATGGAAAAAATATTATTCGTTTGATATTATTTACCGTATATTATACATCTTTCTATATTATATAGACAAATAGCAAGAGGTGCACACATAACAATCAAAGAACTTCTTTGAAAGAAGAAACAAACTTACGTGGCGAATAAATCCTTCAATTTGGTTCATGATCTTATTATAATCTCGGTATTCTTGCATTGATGCCATTCCTGGTTCTGGGAGCCCTGTTTCTTCGGAACATTCTTTTGCTGCACTGGCATAGCCTACAGGCGTCTTTTCTACAAGTTATTGTATAAACAAACCGTCATAACCAATTTTTTTTACTAAAGTTACAATTAAACACAAAGTATACGATTTGCAAACAATAATATATAACTAACTGCTACATACGAGTATCAACTAGACTCCAGTAAATAGATTGTAGTCCATCTCGAATTTTAAAAGCCACCATTCCAACCTCGATTGGCCAGTAGATACGCTGATTCCTTTCAATAATTTGTTCAACGCAATGGTTTGTTTTGATTAGAACGAAAACTCTGTCAAGGGCTCCAGCATCTGTCCCTAATTCCGTAATATATTGTTCTTGTTCTTCAGAAAATTGTTTGTCGTCTTGTAATCGACGCTGCACTTGAGCATAACTGATGAGGAGGTAGAGATAGAGAGAGAAAGAGAAAGCAAATAAGTAATTTTTTCTGTATGGTTTATCATTAAATATTATTATTATCAGAATTTAGAAAGTTGTACCTTTCGCCGGCACTCGTATATTTGTTGGTCAAATCTTGCTTCCCTTCCTCCTTGGATTTTCGAGCTTCTTCCTCATAGGGAACCTTCTCTTCAGGAGTCATAGCCTTGAAATAAAATATAAATAAAGGTTCATGTCAGAAATTGTAAGCTCTTTGACCAATGTGCAATAAATCATCAAATTGTACCGCCCAGTCACTCCCAACCGCATTAGCCACATCTTTCATACCACCAAGAAAGCGATACCTGCATCAAAATTATAAATTAAACGTTTCATCTGGTCCACAATCACTATTTCCAAGATGATGATAAGGCACAAGTAGATAATATTATATGCATTGGATACCCTTCTCGTTCAAGTTCTTCTTTCCTTTTCAGCATGTAAAAATAATATGCGTTTCGTGGCTGCTTCTTCTGCTTGGGTGGCATGTTTCAGTATTTATTGGTGACGAGTATTACAATTTCAATTAAACAAATTTAACAGAAACTATGTAATAATAAATAATAAGTAGTTTTACACTGGCAACTTTGAGTGAACTTCAGTTGGCTAAAGTGCAAGACAATAGTTAATAGTTAACAACCGCCACCACGTATGTAGCTTGGAAATTAATTAGAAAACGAAATTGGTGGCACATAAATTCCTTTATTGTGTAAGCGACAAGTTTCACTTCCAAATTGACAATGGACAATGTGCTGCCGAAAAAACTGTTCGAACTTCAAACTTCAAATTTTGTGAAAGGAAATGTGCTTACAGAATTGCGGGAGAAGCAGAGGTGCCTCGTTCTATGATGTACTTCCTACCGCCTAACGCCTAGCTTCCTACCGCCTAGCGCCTACCAGGTAATTCCTACCGCCTAAATATCTAGCACCTACTTCCTAACGCCTAAAATATCTAGCGCCTACTTCCTAACGCCTAAACGCCTACCGCCTACTTCCTAACGCCTAAACACCTACCGCCTACTTCCTAACGCCTAAACACCTACCGCCTACTTCCTAACACCTAAAGTGTTTACCGCCTAAATTTTTTTTTACATTTTTAAACGTTTCACACTATTCTATTAGTGGGGTACTTTGAGATTTTTGTAAATTTAATATCATGGAAATAATAATTTCTTCTTATAACAGTGGGGCACTATGAGATTATTGGGGTAAAGTGTGTCATCGATTGTCACAATTATGCCCCATATTGGGGTATTGTTCGTTTTTAAGCGAGCGAAGCGAGCAGGTTAGGTTAGTTATACTAGGTACGCGGAAAGCTTGAAATATTCAGCTAGGAGAGCTAGCAAGGAGATCTACCTAGAAGTCCTAGCTAGAAGCTCTAGCTAGGAGAGCTAGCTAGTCCTAGCTAGAAGTACTAGCTAGGAGAGCTAGCTAGAAGTCCTAGCTAGGAGAGCCAGCCAGACGTCCTAGCTAGAGGTCCTAGCTAGGAGAGCCAGCTAGGAGTCCTAGCTATAGCTCCTAGCTAGAAGTCCTAGCTAGAGGTCCTAGCTAGAAGTCCTAGCTAGGAGAGCTAGCTAGTAGTCCTAGTTGGAGATAGTAGAAATCTCATTTTTCCTCAAAAATTTTCCAGCCTGGGGGAAAGTGAGTTTAAGACTGTGTCCCACGTTCTCTCCTAGCTAGGAGATCTGGCTAGCTCTCCTAGCTAGGTCTTCTAGCTAGGTCTTCTAGCTAGCTCTTCTAGCTAGGACTTCTAGCTAGCTCTCCTAGCTAAAACTTCTAGCTAGCTCTCCTAGCTAGAACTTCTAGCTAGCTCTCCTAGCTAGAACTTCTAGCTGAATATTTCAAGCTTTCCGCGTACCTAGTATAACTAACCTAACCTGCTCGCTTCGCTCGCTTAAAAACGAACAATACCCCAATATGGGGCATAATTGTGACAATCGATGACACACTTTACCCCAATAATCTCATAGTGCCCCACTTTTATAAGAAGAAATTATTATTTCCATGATATTAAATTTACAAAAATCTCATAGTGCCCCACCAATGGAAGTCTAAAAGCTTAGAAATGTAGTTAAAAAATTTTTAGGCGGTAAACACTTTAGGCGATAGGAAGTAGGCGGTAGGCGTTTAGGCGTCAGGAAGTAGGCGCTAGATATTTACGCGGTAGGAATTACCTGGTAGGCGCTAGGCGGTAGGAAGCTAGGCGTTAGGCGGTAGGACCTACATCATCCTCGTTCTGTATTCCGCCTTCCATGTGAATCTGCTGGTACTCAAAAATATTAGCAAGAGCAAGTTTTAAATTGTTGAAATTTTAGAAATTCTACCACAGCAGGTGTATTTATTTATTAGTGTAAGATATCATCTCCTCATTAATGTAAGATATAAGGTGTCTTCACTTTCTCCATGCAAAATCACCAAAGATTTTAAGTAATTGCAGACTTAATAGGAGTGAATTATTAATTGATTTTTGGCCATAACTGCATTGTTAACTACGATTAAGTCAACAATGTCCCTGTTCCCAGCGTATGGCCCCTCCGGGTCTGATCGTCGAGGTGGAGGAAGAAATAGTTCTTCGAAAAGTAAATATTGTATATTCATCCTCTTCATATTTATACCATATTGTTGAATTATTATTGTCAGCGTCTAAGATTTTAATATAATATAATTATATTTAATTCAGATACGCGTGGCGAGAATGATGGTGATATCGTGTTCGTATTGGATGGAAATGAAGGGGCGAAGCAAGCTCAAGGAAGGGGTGGGATATTTTCAGACCCAATCGTCATTGGTGGGGATGATGGCGAAGAAGGCGAAATAAGATCACCTGCCCAAACCCCACCTCCTCCTGAAGAAGATGACGACAGTCGTAGTGAAAGTAAACACAAAAAGAAACACTCGTCTAAGAAAAAAAGGAAACGAAGTAAAAGTCCAAGTCATTCACCCAAGCATAAAAAAAGGAAACATAGGAAAAGTCCAAGCCCTTCCCCTCCTCCCGTCCGTCGGGAAAGAAATCAACAGCAGCAATTTGCGGTGACTGGCGTTAACTATCAAAACAACAATCAAAGAAGTCGGGGTTATGACCAACGACCTGGAAGCAGCAGTAGCAGCAGAAGTGGGGGCTACGATATGGGACGAAATTTTAACGATTCTCGTAAGAATGCCTCAGATTCAGACAGAAGATATGGAAATCATGATTACAATACTAGTTATGGGCGACAGTATCCCTATGTGGAATCCGTTCCTTCCCGAACCAATGCACAAGAATATGAATCACGACAGACTAATTATGACGGTCGCAAACAGAATCAACCAGCCATATCAGGAGAACGGAGGTCATATTATGAAGAACAAAGGTATTTTTTAAATGCATACAGTTTTCTGATAAATGGTTCCTTTTGTTTAAGTTGACTCTAGAGGCTAATTAATTAGTATCTACTTTCTAGGGTCAACGTGGCTCAGAGATTTCCCAACAAAGTGTTTTTAGAAGAAGTGAATCTACGACCAGAATTTGCGTTTCGCGTGGACAAGGGGGCGAATACCCGGAATTTAACTTCGTATACACTTGGAAGTATGCAAAAGTCAGCGTTTCATTATAACAACAGCATCAAAGTGATGGGTGCATCGGATCAAGAACTTACTCAGATTTACTCGAAATTTTCTAAATTCAGATGTGTTCTTCCTGATGGCCTTGATGAAAGTGCACAAGCGATGACTAATAAAAAGTCATCTTCAATTGACAATGTGCAGTCTTCTTCTTCTTCAAGACCAAAGCCAGCCGTTGAAACACAGACTTTCATTTCGACAAGCAAGCCCAAGTCAAAGCAACGGCATTCTGATGATGGTGGTATCGATATTCAGTATGCTTTTGATTCTGGGAATCGAAAAGAGGGAGAACCAAGTATGAAGGAATCCATTGAGTCATATAACAAGCGAGTAAGAGATGAACCTAAAAACATTGCCTTGTGGAAGGAATTTATCACATTTCAAGATAAATATTTCCAAGAAAATGAGAAAGTATATGGTGACGATGTCAGCAATAAGAAGAAAAGGCGTAATAAGAAAGCACTTCTCGAGAAAAAAGTTGCCATTTGTGAGAAAGCCTTAGGTAAATACATGTTGAGTAATGCTGAGATATACACATGAAAGTAAAAATAAGAAAAAATCAATACAAAGATAATATTTAATTATGTTTACTTCTTATTGAATTTTAGAATCAAATCCACGAAACGTTGAACTCAATCTTTTAAAGCTCAACTTTTTAAGTGCCTTCAAACCCCCAGAAGATGTTTTGAGTCAATGGAAAGCATTGGCAACGAAAAACTCTAAAGTGACTCCTTACTGGATAGAGTATTTACGCTTCCTGTCTACTCAACTCCAGGTCTACTCTACTCAACTTGTTGTTGAATCGATTCAGAAAAGTGTTAAAAAATTTAGACAAATGCTATCCGCGAGCTTCCCCGAGTTTCAAAGACCCGACAAATTTTTTTTAGTTGTAAACGATATACTCACGTGCCTCAGTTTAATTCTTCGAAACTCTGGACATCGAGAAAGAGCAATAGCTTTACACCAAGCACAACTTGAGTTTGACTTTTACCCTTGTTTTGACGAATTGAACCAAGACTTTCACGTGGACTGGAGTGCAAGCAAAAAGATATTTGATTTATTTTGGGACATGGGAACACCGGTATTTGGAGAGAACAGTGCAATGGGTTGGTGCAATTACATTCAAGACGTTGAAAAACAAGCGGAACAACAAATAGTCGGAGTCTCTGACGAGCAAGTTTCCAAGACAGAAGACGTCTTTTTCCAAACTGTGAATACCCTCCGGAACCCCTCAGAACCCTTTGGTACATAACAGTTTATGATTCATAAATTACAAAAATTTTGTTATTGACTACTTGTTAATTAAAAAGACTATTGAAATTTTCCACAAATCCAGATAAATCTAAACAATGGCTTCTTATGGAATTATGGCGAAGTAAATTGCAATGGCTTCACTGGAGATCAAAGTGCTCTGATGCGACTGATACTGATGACGATATCCGCATTGTTCTTGGACAAGATGTATCGCCATTTGTGGTAACTATTCCCAAAGACGTACCCGAGTTGGAAAGACAAGCTGCATATTTCCGACACGTTGTCAATTTTCTTACTACTATTCAAGAAGACTTTCTCCCACAAACGCACACTGTATCAAGCCTCGTCAACCCAGTTACTTCAGTGTCATTGACAGAATCAAGAAGTTTTGTTTCTGAATTGTTTTACTGGAGAAAAATATTGAATCTGTATGTCCCTGAGCGTGAATCCATCGAACCTTCTGATCTTAAATCTCTCGTTAAGATTCCAGAAGCCTTCAGAATCAAAGACTGGACTTCACAAAATGGATCTGCTCATAAGTAATTACTTACATATCTTAAATATTTATACATGTAATAACATTGTTAAAACAGTTTTATAAATTCCTTCAGGTGCGAAGTTGGGATGAAACCAGATCCATTTGAATTGCCATGTCCAAAGAGAATAGAATCTACCAAAAATGCTATGCTAGCAGAAAATGAACAGCACCTCTTGATAATGATACGTTCAATAATTGACAAAGGGACAGATTTTTTAAACCCTGCATTTGCTACTTTACTCTTTGAGATCTATCTCAAATACGAACAAAAGAACACGGTTGGTGCTGGGGAGAGTCATAAAGTTCGAATTGAGGAGGTTAAACGACTATTTCAAAAAGATTGTTTAAGGAATTCGATGGGTGGCTACTTTGAAATATCAATGCTCGAGTATTTTAATGGAAATAAGGAGGATGCAATTACAATACTTGTGAAAACCATTAATTTGGGCTACAAGTTACTACCTGTAGACAAATCATGCCCGGGATCTGTCGACATTGAAAACAATTGGGCTCTAGTAACGGAACTCACAAGATTGTACACCCGGTTGGCAGAGTTTCATTTTAAGGACGAACCACAAGTTGCCTATAATATACTAGCCTTGCTAGGAGCTGGATTTAAAAAGGTGAATTTGAAAGACTGCCAAGAACCACCAAGTTCAAAAGTTGTCATGTTGAAAGCTTTAAGGAATTTCGAAAAAGTGCTAGCTCAAATAATACCCGGGATTGACATAAATGAAGACAATGATGCTGTGGTCATTCCCTTATCCAAAGAATTTCTAGGAAGATGGGATGGTGATAAATGTGTCGAGTATTTTGCTCAGAAACCAAATATTATTGTCGAATGGAGTCGAGCATTCGCAATGTTCCAATTTCTTGCTAAAAAGGAGAATGACTTTGCAGCCGCGTGCAGTATTTACGAAAAAGTGTTGAAACGGATTGAAATTGCAGAGCCCCTTAGTGAGAACGGGAATTATGATTCTGATAACGTTATGTAAGTGTCATTAATAATTTTAGAGTGAATAGCAACTAAATATCTGACAGAGATTTCATTGTTAATAATTTGTGTGTAGACGCCATCATATTACAGAACAGTTGTATATCCATTGGTGTAATTTGGGTGGTCATGTGCTGATCAAAGACCCAATGGCCAACTCAAAATTTCGAAGCATTCTTGGAAAAGCTTTACAACAATTTCCCTCCAGTCCACCGCTGCTACTTTTATTCACAGATGTCGAGGTAATCAAGCTTGCAATAGTTTCACTCACCAGACCACTATTGTTTATGTTTCTATTATTGCTATTTTTTAAACGTATTTCAGAATCAAATGAGCATTGCTGGTAAACTTTGGCGAATGATGGTCGGTATAGTCAAGCAAGATGGAGGTTGCAATCATTGGGCTCCTCTTTTTATGGGAATGGGTCTCGCAAAGCGAATTGAAGACCTGAAGCATGACGAAGAAATTGGATTAAGCTCGTTTGGATTAGGTAGCCCATCCTATATATAGCTATGTATAGGTCGTTTGGATTGCTAATAGTAATGTGATGATAGTTTAATTGATGTAATGCATTTTATTAGGTGGGCCAGCCGTACCTCCAGATACTATATTTTACAAACTAGACTCTTTACTATGTGCTGCACAAGAAAATCGGATGACACGGAATTGTCCCCTTGTTTGGAGAGTCCATCTAAAACTTCTAGCATTGCGCTCCATAAATGGAAAAGATACTGAGAGAGCAAAATCTACTTTCTATGAAGCTGTGAGACACTGCCCATCTGCAAAACCAATCTACCTGGATGGGGTTTCTTACTTTCCTGAGCTACTCAAGGAAATCACAGATCTCATGACGGAAAAGAATGTGCATATTCGCATGCCTATAGCGGAACTAAATGTCTTGTTAGAGTTGGAGAAAGAAGCTGCACACAAGAAAGTATAAATCAGAAGAAGAATTTAAAATATGGAATATTTATAAATTTTATCGACACTTTTGAGTATTACATAACTGACTTATTTAATATTCATAGCAGAAAACATACATATCTAAATATATTTAATTTCGCAACGATTTGAAATAAACTTACAGATGCAGTGGTTATATCTTTACATATAAATATATTTGAATACCTTGTTTGGGCTCAGATTGAATGAAATTAGATCTCTCTGTTATGCATACAGACACCCAGTTGTTGTGTACTATTTTATTCTTTATTTACTCTGAAAATTGCCGAGAGCAAGATTTCGTTTAATTCAAAGAATGCAGAACCTTTATCGTTTCTGCACACTGTCGAATATATTCCAAATGCACCTTCCTATGTTCCAGAATTTGGCTGTTGTCCTCAAAGTCCAGTTGAAGGCAACGTTTCTCCAAGTACAAGGCAACATTCTTTATCTCCCTCAAAAGAACTTCTTCAGCATAGCATGCAGCCTCGGGTGTTCCCTCCTGCGAACGGTAGGGAATTCCGTCACTGTACCCGTCTAAAAATTAAGTAATTACTCCATTTGTACTTATATTAATTAAGTGTACATTAATAGCACTGAATAATTATCATTTATTTGAGCTTAAGATAGCTTACGGTCTGGAAGTTTATGGGCAAGACCTGTCACCACCACTTTGCTCTCTGCCTCTGGTGCTCGTCCTTCTTCCGTACAGTTCACACATGTAATTACACCTTTCTTATCTTGCATGAGCACATTCTGCAAACGAATAAGAAATCATATCATCAATTATTAATAATTCTGTTTTTGTAAGATAGTTGTGAAAATTCGCAAGCCTGCTTTATTAAATATGTATTATGCATACACTGCACTTGGGACAAGAATCGGCCAACATTTTGTATCCTTTAAGCAAAAGCGAGCCCAGTTTTGCTGAGACATCGTCACGTCGTTGTTGTTGAGACATTTCTTCCGAAAGATTTCAGGATCCTACAAAAAAACATATCCGTTATATGGATAAAAATGTTATGCACGCGGAAGCCAGTAAATACTTTCCCTGGGCGCAACATTTACCAGCTTGATACCGTAGTAGATAGAACTAGTAGAACAGTTTTTTGGTGGTTTAATTGACATACGCAAATGAAAGCTTTATATACATATACTTTATACTTGCAACAAAGACTGAAGGATTTGATATTTCAATCGCAGCAAAGATTTTGATTAAAATACAAAGTCTAAGAGATAATAATGCAACAACGACACGAGTTTGGTCATTAGACCATGAATTAAGTTATGAAGGATCCAATTTATGTACATAATCTAGGCATGTATACAAGTGCATTGTACCCGTCATCACCATGCTTGGCGCATTCTCACTTAAAACAAAAGGTACATCTATAATATTTACTTAAGATAATTTTAATTAAGTACCGGCTCAAGTCTTTATAAAGTTTGGTACGTGTTTCATTAACACTTCAAAAACAACAATCTATATCTGTCAAGCTTAACGCAAACAAAAGAAAGAAACTACAGTTAGTGCATGTTCTCACTTTGCCGATTTTATAACTTGTATGTACCTTTAATTAACAACTTTGCCAAAATAATGTCTGCATGCATGTTGGTTAAAAAGCTATAATTTGAGTTTTAAACACAGAATGATTGGAATTCTAGTAGACAATCAAAAGTTATACCTAAGTACATGTGTGTGTACATATTTTCTTTATTACATACAAAGCCATTTCGAAATATGTGTCTTGATACTCGCTTATAATAATTCAGAGATTAACACGCTTAATATTCTGGACAGGCAATACATTAATTTTATTAATGACTACACACTAAAATTGATTTAATGGCATTATTATTCTTGTGGATATGTTAAATATTACGCATCTTTTCCTCAACTATTCTGAAATTGTGTTTTTTTATTATTTAAGTCAATTAAAAGCTTTATAGCATGGGGGTATAACATATATAGTTAATGGAAGCTGAGTTTAAGATCAAGGCGAAGTGCTGATGATGACGAAGATCATATAAAATCCTCGTCCAACGTAAAAGAACACACGCAAAGGGGCACCTGAGCATAAAGTAGGGCTTGCAAAATTGGGGGTTTGCTGCTTCCTTACAACGATAAATAAATTGATATAAAGCCAGCAACGTTATGTGTGCACTTTACAACTAACTCACTCATTGTCGGTCCAAACTTTCACTTGAATCTCGTCTCATCTCAGGTAAGAGTTTAGAGTTTCTTAGTATCTGCGATGATCGCGTCCTTATTATTATAGAGAACTGCATAGTATGCGTTCTGCTCACAAACTTTAAGCCACCAAGATTCACCACTACTACGGTCAAAGCAAACGATTGTCTTATTTTCAAATGGCATAATAAAAGCTCATCTTAGACAGTGTGTCAGTTCAGTCACTCTGTTGCCTTCGTCCTGTTGTTCATGCAGCTTGATTTGTACAAGTGGTTACTGTTCCTTTAATTTTTTACAACAACGTAAATGTGCTAACCATCATGAATTACTGAATGTCAGCACATACACGAATCTAGAAGAGTACACGCAAATCAATCAGTGACTTGTTTGACAGGACTTTGAAAATTGTCAGAATCAAATTAGCGGCCATCATTTACATACGTCTTCAAAATAATACTTTGCACCGGTGGTGGTGATAGTTTGTGGCAGTGAAGTTCTTCTTCTAGCCATGTAAAATACTGCAGATCAAGTCTATTTATAAAGCTGACCCACATTTATCATACTCTCTACAGTTGTAGAAACAATACGATGTGATTTATTTAGTTTGACATTTTGTGTCAAAAAAGGTGTGGACAGGTTTTATAAAATGCTGAGATATTCCGATGCGCTTAGCAAGGGAAATGAAACCTCAAGATTTTTACTTGTACGTACAAAATCTAGTGTGTACGTAAACTGACCGACTTTATCAAAATAGGTGGATTTCTCGAAAACTCGGTAAGATTTAATCAAATAGAGCTTATTAATCTGAAACATTGTTCACATTGCCGTTACTTTTCTATTATTTTGAATTGACGGAGGGGTCTAACTATTTGGGACTAGGATTTCTCAAACAGCAATTACATACTACAACTATCTATGTATATAAACTATTCAGAGCAAGGAGTATTACATACCCCAAACTTTGTTTGTATGGCTGAGTCTGAAAGTACAAGTTAAATCATCAAAAGTGAACAAATATAGTGAAATAAATCTACAGTAAACTACTAATCAAAACAGTTCATGCAACAATGAAATAATTTATATGTTTAAATGCTTGCCAAAAATAATTACATGTTATCAATTTCCCATGCAGTAAAGTTCCTGATGGATATTTTCTTTAATTACAGGATTTCACTTGAAGATCTTAGCCACTTGCCGTCTATAGTTTTTTTTTCTTTCTGCGCAAAATAAGATAAGTTGCAGCTTGTTAAGTGTGTTCAAAATGTGCCATGCTACCATTCATAATGTTAAAAGGCGAGTACCATTTTTGGTGGCGCTAACCGCATTTGTAATAATTTGGTCATGCGCGGGGAGCGGTTTTGTGTGGGGTGCCAACATTCTTATCATCCACCCCCTCTACTCTGGGTCACATGTTCTGACATTGAGGTCAGTGGCCGAGTCGCTGACAGCAAGAGGTCATCACGTGCACGTAGTTAGGTGGAAAGACTTGCATACGTTTCCAGCCATCCGCAACGCCAACATTACTGAATCATTGCTAGCCATGAGTAATGAAGAGGGACGCTGGAAATTTTTGACGCAAGAAAAACATGCAGCTTTTAAGGTGAGCCAATAAAATTAGCCATAGTTGCTCAGAATGAATAGGGTCATGATATTTAAAAACATATTTTTTATAGATGCCCTACCAGATTTTATGGAACTCTGGCTTATCATACAAGTCAATTATTGAAGCAGGAAGTGAGGCATTTCCACTTATGGAGGCACACTGCAATTCCCTCTTATCAAACAAAGACCTGATCAGGCAGTTGAAAGGGATGAAATTTAACGTCGCCATAATTGACATTGTGTACAATGAGTGTAGTCTCGTTTTATTGCACCATTTGAAAATTCCTGCCGTGGGGTACTGGGCATTTCCTTTCTCTTCGGGGGAGGCCGATTACACGACGGCATTTCTGCCACCCTCTCATGTTCCAGGTGGGTGAAGTTTTTTTGAATACTACATGTTACATATATTCGATGCATTTGGGTTAATCAAAATGTACACGGTTTAATAACCATTCTATACTCTACACTTTGTTACAACAGGGCTATCTATAGGTTAATTAACCACCCAATGTTACACCATTTACTTTTAACTGAGAAAGTAGACTAATTTTTCTTGATAACGGGGAAAATGAGTTTCTGTTGCTTCAGATTTGGTGTGTGTATCGCGACAAGAGCAGGACGTTTGCTACTAGCAGCGGTTTCTGTCTTTCCAGTCGAAGTAGTTGACGTTGATCCATTGTTAACCTCACCTTCGTGTCCTCTCAAATCAGACGTCGGTAGGAGTGCTCGTCTGTAAATATATAGGATATGTTACATAAACATAAGTACGTATGATTAGACACATATAATTATGCGCATAACATGAATTAAGACCTATTAGAGTTCACTTGTTTGACGGGAGTCTTTATCTGGGTGAAGCGGCGATCCTCGCATCCTTTTTGTGTGTGGACTTTAAGGTTCCCATTCCGGGAAAATCGTTTTTTGCATGTTCCGCAAACGAAAAGTTTTATTCCTTTGTGCACGTTAATATGTCTGCAGAGTAAAAAAATATAGTGCAATAAGTAATGTTAAACATAATACACCTATTCAAAAGATTTAAAAATATTACGCTGTCAATTCAGCCTTGGACACCGTCACATAATTACATTTATCGTAATGACAATACAATCTGAGACGAGTCGACTTAAGAACAGTGGCAGGAATCGAGTTTTCCTTTTCCTCTGAAGTTAGTGGGGGTAAAGGAATCACGTTGGGACTAATCATCTGTGCTCTAGTCTCCGTAATGAACGACCTGCAACATATTATCATTATAAATACAATGTTGTAAATGTATAGAATTGTCCATGCATTTATTAAGCAACCAAATAGCACTTACATTATAATAGCATCTAACTTGTCTCGCGTGCCGTCTGCTGCGATGAACCGTTCCCCGTTTTCCGGCATAATCGAGCCTTTATCATCTTTCTTAAGACGTCTTGCCCGATGCCGAGTCTGTAACCCGGTATACGCATCAGATGAGAATAGTGGTAACCGGACAAGATTTTCCAGATTAGCGGAGCAGCCAGGGATCATATCATCTCTATTTTTGCACATAATGAAATAAATTAGTATAATTTAATATTTGCAACATAATACTTTGTGTACATATTTTTATTAATAACTAACCCGTACGAACAGCCATGTTGATGATTTTCCGAGTGGTTCAAGGTTTTTCTTACTTTCGCTTTATCTTTTATCATTTTGTTCTTCCTCTCGTCACTAGTCAACCACGTGTACCCGAATGTAAAATCTCTTTTTACATTAGTGCTATCTGTCCATATCTGACCCACTAATTGATGTATTTCAAAGAAATCATCTGCAATGGAATAATTATTTCAATTAAGTAGTAGCCTTTGATCAAGTGAAAACAATAACTCACTTTGAAGAGATTCTGCAGTCCGGGTGGTAATGCGATCAGTCAGTGGGTCGAGGTAGAACACTTCATTAACCCCAACGTCATTCAAAGTTAACCTCCCCTTATCCATTTTTTTTTAATTTTAAAGGCCGACAAACTTTTTGCCACTGTATAGCTCTTACTCTGCCGAAACGTTGGGCCACATAAACAATTCGTTCAACATTCCTACGTATTTGGGGAAACGAGAGATTAGTTTGACTTTCCCATATATATATTGTATTTGGTTGCATATGGCATATGTCTAATAACCCTCTCATGTTCCGGCAGCATTCATGTCCAGAATGACGCACATGATGAGTTTCAAAGAAAGGGTGTACAACGTTCTGATGAAACTCGGAAGTCATTTAACAATGCAGACTCACTGTTTTTTTGTCAACCGTGCCGTCCAGACACACCTCCCTGACAGCCCAAACCCATGCGATCTCATTGCTGACTTGAGTGGAATGTTGATAAACACAGATTACGCCTTGGACTATCCACGACTTCTACCTCCCAACTTCATCAACGTGGGGGGAATGCAGATCAAAAGTCCTAAACCCCTCCCAGAAGTGTGTATAATAAATATTTGAACATATGCCAATCATCTATTGTGTGCATTATAAATGAAACTGCGTATTTATTATGATCTTAAATTGAAATTCTAGGACATTGAACAGTGGATGCAGAGCTCTGGTGAACATGGCGTTGTCCTCTTCACAATGGGATTCATATTCAATCCAAAAGTGGTTCCGACACGATTAGTTAACGCTTTTATGGAAGCATTTGGCAGACTTCCTCAAAAGTTTCTGGTGAAATTTGAAGGTCCCATTAACAATGCCCCACCAAATGTCAAAGTTTTAGAATGGATCCCACAAGTATGTCGAGTTTCTTCAATTCAATTACCTAACTTAACAAATTACTTCAAAACAATGGTTATGCTTTCATGCGGGTCTGAGAACTACATAAATAAGATAATGCATAAACTAAATGCACTTGTGTTGCATATTTCAGCAAGATGTCCTAGCTCACAACAAAACTCGACTCTTTCTCACCCACTGTGGACTTCATGGGGTTATGGAAGGTATTTACTATGGCGTGCCCATGGTAGGAATGCCCATCTTTATTGACCAGGGTGACGCCCTAATTAAGATGGAAGAACTGGGAATCGCTCTCGGGTTGGATAAGGAAACAGCAACGGCTGACGAAATTCACCACCAACTTCAACGCGTTTTGTATGAGCCCCAGTTTGAGAAGAATGTGAGGAAGTTGTCCCTCCTGATGAGGGACGTGAGGGAGCCGCCGCTGGAGAGGGCGATCGACCTTATCCACTACCTTATCAGACACAAAGGAGCCCCCCACCTCAAACTCGCCTCCAGAAACCTCAACTTTGTTCAGTACTTTTCACTGGACGCGATACTATTTTTGATTCTCCTCCTCCTCTCCTTGTGCTATGTTCAGCTCATCATCCTGAGAAGATTTGTACCTCTAATTTTTGCAAAATGTAAGACCTTGATAGGGTCTACAAGTCTTGGGAGTTATTTAGGCATACCTGAACCGTGTAGTGATGATGGGAACAGGAAGTTTGCTACCAATATCGTTCATGAAAAGGGGACAGAAGAGTGTAATAATAATTTTAATAATTCTGTAGCTCATAATAATGGCTTGCTCGTTATGCCTCCTCCGAGACAATTGTCAGAAATTAATAGCAGAAATGGGAGGGCTTGTTATAATTTAAGACATCATAGTAGTAGTACAGTAATCAGTAATACCGCCGATAAGGTTGGAAAATTTTCACAAGTTGTGAATCAATCTACTGTTCTACCACACCACCAGAAAAAGAGGGACTGACCACCGACAATACGATATAGTATTTTAATCGTATAATAATATCATCTCATGTAATTTAGGGAGTAGAGAATAATTTAGGCAAGACAATAAAATTGGTAAAATTACAAATCAATGTCCATCTTAATCTATTTTATGCTGTGTGCTTAATGTCTCATGACTTTTGGATGGATCATGAAATACTATATTTCCGTTATTTTACGAAATTACAAAAAAGATGGATTATGAAAACATGATATATATTATATGAAAACCCACACACTATGCATGCCGCAACCACCAGACTCTGGTGACCAGAACAAAGTTAAGATGTCTATCCAGTAATTGTTTCGCAATCTTGAATTGCAAAAAATGGTTGAACTATGTTAAAAAATGTTGATATACAAGTTCGATTATTCTGATTGACACGTTTGCAATTCAATTCAATTCATGACGAGAATGTGACCACTCTCAAAGGATGGGACGACTGAATTCTGCACTACTTGTGGGAATCAGCTGCACTCACTCCTGCAATGTACTTCTCGAGTATCTCGAGGTGGATAGAATTTTTCAATTCGCCATGAATAAAACTTTAATACGTGTGGTTAAACTAAAATTGGTGGAGTGCATTTGCTAGGCTAACCTTAATATTCGCTGATGGAAGGAAAATTCTATTAAGTGTTTCGACTTTCCATTAAATCAGGTAAAGTATGCAATATTATGATCTTAGATTTAGTTTAATTACCAGATAACAATTAATACGAACGTGGTATTACCTTGTCTTAAGAAGATTGGGAAGTAAAGTTGTTTGCTATCGAAAAGTTTTATTCTTTAATAACCAAATTATGGACCAATAATCTATACAACTCCAATAACGCAGTAGAAATAAAACAATTGAGTTTTTGACGTGATTCACTCACCACTGGATAGAAAACGTCAATGAGTGATATGATCTTTGCCCGGTGGGGAATGGCGAGATTTTGAGATTTTACTGAAAATAAGTTTGATATAAAATTTAGAGTAGTATTTTTGTGTAGGGTGCTTTATCCGATAATCTTTGTCCTACCTGATGTCACACTTGAAGACATGCATTAACAAGACAATCTGCACTTGACGTTGTACTTGCTAGTTTGTGAGACATTGCGGAATCGGGGCTAATTCATTCTTGATGCTTTGTTTGTTTCATATTTTCAGTCGATAATAATGACGATGGTGAATACGGTAGGTGGTAGAAAGTCCACCGGGGTCATTACTGCCACCACACTCGGACTTGGTCTTGTGGGCACGGTTTACTACTTCCTCAGTCGCAAGTTTGCCAAAATTTTTGCCTTCCAACGCTCCATCCGTGTTGAACTCGAAGATCTTCGGGAAGAGATTCGTCAATTGAAATCTGCACAAAATTCCAATCCGGTGGTGAAAGCGCAAATAGCAACGACAACGGCGACAAAAGTGCTAAAGAGTTCGTTGAAAAAAAATGTAAAGTTTGCGGGTGGATATGACACTGCGGACGATGAGGAGTATGTGACAGCTTCATCTTCAGAAGTTTCATCCTCTGAGGATGATCCGGGTCAATTTGAAGATTTGTCAAGTTTGGCGAGACGTGTTCCAGGCTCAGAAAAGTACGTAATGTTCTTTTTAAAGAAAATCTTTATGTTTGCAATATTTTAAGTTTTATTTGGACCATTTTTCAGTCTTTTTAATGGAAATGGTGCATCAAAATCCCTCAATGAAAAACACAAAGTTCTGGCTGGCGAGGACGATGAATTTTTCGCAAGAGTGGACGCACTTTTTGAGGGTGACACAAATAGTCAAAATGAAGCTTACGAGTGTCTTAAAGGTTATGAACCAAAGGTATAAAAAACATGGACCTAGATACTAGATATGTATGTATGTAAAGTACTTTCCCAGGTTGTTTTGGTACATACTGTATTCCCAATATGTATTTAGATGTCACAATCATCAGAGTTCTGGTGGCGACGGGCGAAAGCCACACACTTTAACGCCATCACCGCTGGGAATAATGGTGACCGTGAGTTAAAGAAGGAGTATGCATTTGATGGTATATCTACATGTTGAGATATTTAAATACTAGTGATAATTATCCACATGTGTCTAAGTGTGCACTTCTAAATTTATTCACAGCCTTTGTATGTGCCGAAAAAGCTCTTGCTCTAAATCCTAATTCCGCAAATGTTCACAAGTGGTACGCTATAACGTTGGGCTCCATAGGAGAGTTTATTAGCATTAATGAAAAAATTCAAAATGGATACAAATTTAAAGAGCATATCGACAAAGCAATTTTAATTAGTCCCACTGATTCTACTCTACATTATTTATTGGGTCGATTTTGCTATGAGGTACATATATCAACTTATTTCTTCATAGTTTCACTAAATAATTTTGCTTATCTTTATGATATTACAATTAATAAATCTGATGCTAGATATCCCATCTTTCTTGGATTGAGAGGCAAGTTGCATCTACCTTATTTTCCACTCCTCCATCGTCCTCTTACGAAGAAGCTTTAGAGCATTTTAAATCTGCGGAAGATATTGGAAACCCATTCAAGGACAATCGGTTATTCATGGCAAAGTGACCATTCACATTCAAATAAATTTTAAATATATTTAATACTTGTTATTCTTATGATCGTTCAATATTGTCTTATTAATAGATGCTACATTGGGATGAGTGACTACATTAATGCAGGACGTTACTTAAATCTGGCCTCAAATCTACCTGTCCTTACGCCCACGGTTAGTAAACACAAGGGTCTAAATAACTTACTTATTTGTAAATGCATGCACATTGTTATATCCTTCTCATAAATTCCAGGATAAAGCAGCACAAGACGAAATAAAGTCCTTACTGCAAAAATACAAACGTTATATTTAGTTAGTGATGATAAGTTCAGATGTCAGATGACCAAGACATGAATGTGGCTCAAAACCTGTGTTATAAAAGTCAAGGAAGTTAAGCGGATAGTCTCTATATTTACAGATCTTTGTTCTGCGTTGAGCTTGTCGGAAAAGGTATATTAATACATGCACTAATATTTTATTGAGAAAGACTTCATGTATTCTAAGACATAATTTTTAATTTTAAGCCTGACAAGCAAATATTTTACATTTCGGATTATAAATACGTTGAATAAATTTTATAAATACATTTCCAATTTTCCGTCATAATAAAATTGTGTATACATTTTTAAAGAATCGAGACAAACATCTACTTATAAGAGTGCATCTCGTGTTCCAATATTTAGACTTGTGTGTCAACATTTGCCACTTTGTGATATTGCATATGTCAACAATTAAATATGTGACGCATTAGTAGTTCAGCTAAAACCAACTCTGGGATATGCAATCGTACGATGGTCATCATATCAGGAGATCGATAAACCTCGTCTGTACTGTTGTGAGATCTCCTCGAGATGAGGATGAGAAGTGCATAAGAGGAGGGACGAACATTTACGAGAATTGGAGACCCCTTGGCTGGATGAATTCGGTGGTGGTGAGAGAGATGAACGGGAAATCAGTGTACCTTTTGTTCATTCTCCGGACAATCTCCGCTCAGCAACAACCCGACCGATTACCCGAATACCCGGGTGCCTTCCTTTTTATCCATGAAGGCTGTTACTCCACTATTGCCACCAACAACTACTTGTAAATCAATTTCAGTATGTGTAACAACCTTGCGGTATGACGAGTATAAAGATAAACCCAAGTTCTGCACTTGCTAACTGAATTTACAGGTAAGCTCCTTGAAAGCGTATTCCAATATAAGGTTCGTGGTTGCATTTTGTAAGTATTTACATATATTGTAAACTTTGTGTGTTGCATGTGGCACATATAGTTTCATACAGCATAAATATGTAATGGACTGAAAAGAAGGCGATGGAGTTTAATATTTAATTAATATGAACTGCCAGAGCTATAGCGGGGTCCAAAGTTTAGTTTAGACCTTTGTAATATTTATCAACATGGTCAATATCGCATTGAAAGGAACGCAGCCTTGTAATTATTTTTGTTCTTCATGCATTCATCATTTATCATGATTGCGGGGTTGACATTAAATTTTTATTTCACATACTTACCTACATACACGGATTGGCTGCATATGTACCTTTGTACATACATAGATACTTGTAAAGCATGTATGTATTTATATACACCCTGGGGACATAAGTATTGGATCTCGAAATCGCGTTCCATTCAATCGCTTATCATGTTATCACCTCTATGTCCGAATCGTATCATATCTCTACATTTAGTTCTCAATTTATAAAATTTAAGAAATGAGAATTGCGAAATTCTTGGAAACGGCTTAAAAAAAGAAAAAGAGACATCTTTGGATTATAATTAGGAAATAATAGATTGACTGGCGTTAATATTCTACAGCATTTTATAGCATTAAATGCAAATCTTCCAAACTTATGTCGCAATAATACCAACCGACTGGAGTCAAGCTTGATGTGCGTAGTTCGTATGGAGTTTGATGTACGGGTCTTCAGGCTTCATTTTTGCGTGGATTTGTTCATGAAGAAATATGTATGCTTCGGGACAATCTTTGATTAGTGTGAAACAAAACTATGTACACAGATTTGTGCATTCTTAGCACGTCTTCTAATTTCAGGCATGTAGATCATATTTGACGAGTGGAATTTGCTTTCATTGTCCTAAAACGATGTCAGTTTGGACATTTTTTCAGATATCTATAAACGTGTTTGATAGGAATTACTAGCGTAAACTAAAAATTGTTACCATCTGTTAGCACACCAGGTGCGTCAATCAATATTTAGTACTAGTGAACAAAATTCCATGCATTATCTACACTGACATTGACATTATTAATGACATAATGTGCAGTGCAAATTCATTAGTAGTAATCATTCATATGGACTTGCCTTAAATGTAGACGATATCAGTATCTTTCGATTTTTCCAGTTTTTTTTAGATCATCTATTTTTTTATCGGATTATTAATATGTAAGATTGACCAGAACAACCATCAATTGTTTATCAAAAGTAAGGTGCCTCCGAACTTGTGCTGGATGGACTAAAACTAACTAGACTACCAAAGTTTTGGGCCAATACTTTTGTCCTCCAAGCACTTTGAAACACTATGTTTATACTATCAAAATAATACCACAAACATATTATTGAAGCGAATAATAAATTGCGAACTAAATGTAACTACTACATATGGAGCGATTCTGTTACCTTGCATAGACGTGACAACCGGTTGAAATTTCGAGATTAATACTTTTATCCTCATGGTGTACGTAAATGTAATCAGTCATTCCATCATTTTATGGTATTTTTTAATTTTTTCCAATTACTTGCAACCCGTGGCTGGTAATTATTATGAAATACAGGTTGGATTCAAGATTATTCCTATAGACTCTATAGCGTATTTCCGCGGAGTGAATTGTATTACTGTCACAATGACATTATCATTACTTACTTATATACAATTCAGACAATTCGGAATTTCGGAACACATTAAGAGCCTTGGGTTGGGTTAAATCGTTTAGGTTGTTATACATTGCATTATGGTCACTATATTTATTTTTGCATATGAATAAATTGCATGATGCGATGAATAATGTGTTTAATTACTTATTGGGTTCGATTGCATAAATAAATAAGTGATTATGGGTTGGATACACATGCATCATTCTATCATTCTACCTAAGAGAATTAGAGACTTCCAAATTTACAGTATCACATCGCATCGAGCAATCCTCGACAACCACTCTGGTTCCATATTATTGTGGTTAAATTTTCATAGATAGATAAATATATCCAGATAGACCAAACATCATAAGTTGAGGAGTACGTGTAGTATACATAACATACATACATATATGTGTTATGTATGGGGCTTGTCAGGATAATATGGGGCATGGCTTATCTCACTAATATCTCACAAAGTTCTAAACTGTGCTTGACGTTTTATTTACTAAACAAAGAAGAAAGTGGTTCAAAGAGAGCCAAATAAAGGTTGCATTCTGCTCATTCGTGTTCTTTGTGATTACATGTAATCAGTGCACTTGTACTCGTGGGTATGTACGTAAAATTGAGAAATTAATGTCTTTGAATAAATACCAACTCAATTTTGTGATTCTGATTTTGCGTGTGCGTTAATTGGTATGCCATTTAAGTTTTTATTCAATAACTGCATCGCGAGGCGACTTAATAGATGCAAAGTACATACATACATACATTCATACATAGCCTGCGGTCATACGTACTTTTTATTTCTTGGGCACCGGTGTTGCAACGAGGCATTTAATTTTACCAGCTTGGTCTATATACCCAAGTAAATAATGTGCCTGTTGATAGCTAACCTGGTGAGGATCATCCTGAGGATGGACTTTTCTCTGAAGCTTTTTTAACAATAGGAAAGAATAAAACCCGTCGTCTTTGCAGCACAAGTAATAACGTGTGTGCAATCATACCTCATACTTATAGGTGACAAACTTTATTTTTTGTGGTCAGTAAAATATTTTCAATATTTTAATACGACATAGTGAAATGCAGCGATCATTGTATAAAACTAGGAATTTAATTAATGTAAGCCAATAAAGGGAATTAATGCAATCAGTCAGGGCCGCTTATACGAGTTGTGCCTCTACGTATGTACATACATTAAGTATGACATATGTGTACTACGGAGATATTCATTCCATCGTGTTTTAGGGATAGGTATGTAAATCTCTTTTGATACCATAAGCTCCAGCAGACGCGAGTCTTATCTTGTGTCCCATTGAACTAATATTAAATAATTCTATTCGTTCTATATTGATCCAATCAGGTGCCGTTTTGAAGATTTATAGAATGAAAGTGATTGTTCAAAGGATGAAAAGGAGACGTGGATTCCTTTAAGACAACTAAATTGATAACGACGGCTAAAATTCCAACGAATTCTTTGCACTGTTCTTTGTAAAAAGACCTGCTACAGAACATTAAAAACTTGTGGCCAAGCACTCGCCAAACTAACCCATTAATCCATTTAATATATTTATTACTGCACATTTAACGGCTCACGCTCAATTCATGGCTGTGATTCTGTGACTTACAAACATTACAAAATTACGAAAAATGTACTGAAAATGGATCAAAGTATTTGAGGACGAATTATAGTGTCAGACATTACTTCAGTTTTGACATTGTTGTAAAAAAAGTTGCAAACAAAGGAAGATATTATGGGTTATGTAAAAGGAATCTCATTTGTCCTCCTCTGGTATATTGGGTATGGTTGACTCATTTAACAATCAACAATGCATATTATATTATTGAATTATTCACCTAAGGGGACGTTCGTAAACTTCGTAACGCAAAGGGGGGTGAGTGGGGGGTCAAGGCCCAATGATATCGTGCCTATGTGACACATGTTAAAGGGGGTGGGTGGGTGTCCAGAAAACCAAAAATTTGCGTTATGAAGTTTACGAACGTCCCCTAATTAATCTAATAAATTTTGAACCTTTGCGCATTTCAGGATAATTTGGTCCGTTATTTACATTTATGCCCCCTTCTTAATCATACTTCTCATCAGCCGAAAATGGTTTCGAAAAGCAACCGATATTAGTAAGTATCGCATTATTTCCTTTTTTCTCGTACTGCATAACCTAATCTTCAATCATGCTTATTACGGACAAATTCATTATTTGTTTGCAGTTCTATCCTGTTGGGAAATGTATCCCGCAGTAAGTCTGAAAATCTGTTAATACGATAGTAATTCGTTAACGACCTCGTGGAATTGTAAATAAATATCATATTTGTGAATATTTGTGATAGTCGCTTTTGGAACTAATGATGGGGTGTCGCATCTGCCTCTCTGGCGATGACATTAACCCGGACGAAAGTGCAATCATTATCCTCAACCATCGAAATCGGTATTTATTACTAAAATTATTATTATTTTATGTAAATAATTTTTTTAAATTAATTTTTAGCTTGGACTGGTTCTTTTTATGGGCAGCTCTACTGCATGCCTCCAAACCCCCTGCACATCGTTGCAAATTTGTCCTCAAGTCTGAGTAAGTATCATAACTTGAAAACATAGACAATTTATTCACTGCGACAATCTGTGTAAACTTTGCAAAATGACTTTATTTTAATTTCATCCAGCGTGCGCTGGATCCCTGGAATTGGTTGGGGCCTCCAAATGGCCGGATTTCTCTTTATTCACAGGTAAAATAAAAGCAATTGAATGCAATAAAAATCATGGGACATGACAGGAATGAAAAAGTGCAGGAAAATTTTCTATATTTTCTCTCTTACAGAAATTGGGAAAAGGATCAGGAATTGTTGAAAAGGTCACTGGATTACTTTAAGGATTTGAAGGAGAACTACCAGGTAGGCTTATCGCCATCATGAATTGATAAGAAATTAATTATATGAGGTTGGCTTTCTTTCTTCGGCAGATTCTTATATTTCCTGAAGGGACAAACTTGTCTGCATCCACTAAAAAGAAGAGTAACGCATTTGCGGAAAAGGCAGGATTACCCGCTTACGATTATGTACTTCACCCAAGGACTACAGGATTTAGGTAATTATTAGTATCGTTGGGTTTAGTATCGTATTAGAATCGTAAAAATACACTTAAAAAATATAAATATATATAAATTTATACCCTTGAAAATACACTTCAAAAAATACACTTATAAGTTATAAATTCTGTGCACTTATGTATGTATTTTTTTTTTTACAGATTCCTTGTCCAACAAATGCAGAAAAGTAAGCATATATATTTATTTATTCCTCCTCTCATAACATACTTATTCATAAAGACCATGCTAAATACATTATATATTTATATGCGTATTTTTGTATATGTGAACAGTTGTTCTGTGCATTTATGTATGTATTTCCCGTTTAATCTGCATACAGATTCGCAACTAAATGCAGTATATGATCTGACCGTCGCGTACCCGATAACGCTTCCCGTGAATGAAACTGATATACTCAAAGGGAAAATACCAGAGGAGGTTCACTTCAATATTTGCAGACACGGTGTGGAAACGTTGCCCAAGGACGAGGAAGGGATAAAAACTTGGTGTGAACAACGTTGGGCTGAAAAAGAAGCGTCGCTGAAGAAATTTTATTCCATAAAGCCAGACGATCGAAGGTTGTCCTCCAGAGTCCGGTACGATCGACCTTGGAATGCAATGTACCTTGCTTTAGTTTCTTGGACAGCGGTGACCGTGTTCACGCTGTATCTCACTTTCTGCACAACGTGGGGTTTTTACTACACTTGTTTTTCCATTCTGGGCTTTGTCCTGGTCTCCTACTTTACCTATGGGATTCAAAACTTTGAAATTGACCTCTTTCGCAAATATGACTGTCCACCTGAGTCAGTTTCAATGGGAAAAGAACAAAATGGTTATCAAATCAGGGAAAATGGGAATAAAAAAGAAAATTTGTTTGTTTGAAAATTATTTGTAAAAACAGGAATAGAATTGACTCAACCTACTTATTGAACAGTGAACACGAAGAAAAATAGCCAGACTCTCAACCTCAGAGTACTCATCTTGGCCACTTAAATATGAGTAGACGTTATAATATATGTGATAAATTTCCTGAACTACAGAAATTCATGTACCTGTTGAATTCAACTTTTACAACAAGAAAGTTCACTCATTATAAAGTGTCAAATCTGATAAGCTTGCATGCTTGAGGTAATATAAGCATATATTTGATGACATTGCTCATCCTATATTTATTTTCCTACCCAAGTATATATTTAGTTTATATATGACATTCCTCAATTACTTGGCTAATTTTATAATATGTACAACTTTAAATTCTTTAAAGCCTTGTTCGAGCTATTAGTTTCCCTACTAATTTGGATATATAAAGTTAAAGTTTTAACGCTTATAAACCTGAACTATCAGTATTCATGAGATTGTTCACGATTAATTAATGTTGTTGTTGTTGTGATAAATAGTCATGTAGTAAATTGACTCTTTACGAATTCGACTTCATAATGTATACTCACTCAGATAATAAATGCTTGTTTCGAATAACTCAAATAAAGGTAACAGGAGCAACTCATATGTACTTCAAGCATTGTAATTCTCATCGGTCGGATAGCATCGCTGTCTTACACAAATTGTTTAATATTAACTGTTATAAAAGCACAAAAATAAAGTAAAATTCTAAGAATATAATAATCAAATCCGGATTTGCTCAGTCCTTTATTTCAGGGGGCCAGTCAAGCTCCACTTCCTAAAAAAAGAAATTGAATTTATTGTATTTGAAAGTTTAGTTTAACTGTATTTAGTACTATATTATGTGGTGTTGCTTACTGTAACATCTAATGCCATAATTTCTGTAGGAAATCCAAGTAAATCAGAAATGCTAGGATCTGTGCGTCCGAAATCTCCATGCACAAATTCCTTAACATAAGTCCCGGCCTCCGTTTTGACATGTAGAATGAACATGTCTTTGGACTGGTTAGATGCTGGTTCAGCCCTTAGTTCCAAAATACTTCTGGGACTTTAAATAAAGTGAACGAACGAGTTTTATAATTTTATAATTCATCATAGCCAAAAGGTTCGCCATTTTATCATAATTAAATTACCGAGTAATAAGTGATCTTCTATGAAGAACCCTCAGCGGTGTAATTTGCTGGAGAACTATTGGTGTTTTAGTTTCGTTTAGTGTTTGCAACATCTCGGCTGTAATTTCCCGACCATCTGATTTGCATAAAGCAGTGTACAACTTATTTTTTGTTAGTTCGCCATCTCGAAGATAGGTAACTGCCTTTCTGTCATGATGGGAATATACATTAAAATGTTTAGTTTACCTTAATGGCAAATATGATCATTATTAACTTAACTGACATACTTGTCAACAATTTGCAAATCTCGAACCGAGATTAGTGATGTGCTTTCATTAATGGTTTTCTGCAGTAATTTAATTCGATTTGGGGTAAAAATAGTCTTTTTGGGGTTTATTAGTTCCACTACAAAAGGTCGGCCTTTCCCGAGCATCCTGTTTACAATTAATTGAAATAATTTGTTAATCACATTCATTATATTTCCGATGTAGACTTATTTTAATAATTGAGATATTCGTACTACTACTTTGTACTACTTGTAATTATTTGTTAATTTACCTAACATCACTGTCTTCCCTGCCGGAAGCAGAAAAACGTAAAGTATCACAGTTGAAAATGGGCGTAACGTGTTCCGTAATGTATTCTTGTACTGAACCTTCCCCACGAACTCGTTTCCCTTCCAAATCCAACCACGGTGACTGACTAACATCCCTCGAGTACTTACAGTATCGACCTAGAAATATTCATTATATGAATATGTACTGCTATAAATACACACATCTTGTGCAACCAAACCTGCAATAAACAATGCCATGTGAGAACAGGCGAGTTTGTCCAAAACGAGCTGATTAGTTGGAATTGGTGGAGGACATTTGAAGTGCGTATGAAAAGTTTCTATATTCATTGAATGAAACATTTGCTCCACTGCCCCCCGGGTGAGTTCGGCCCTCTTGTTTCTCTGTCTTAACAATTTAAACCTGAAAGTAAGCAATGAGTTGGAATATTTAGTTGGCTATTACTCAAATAAAATAGTTTGATATCATTAATAATTACATCGGAAGACATTCAGGATCTTCATCCTTGTACTGCAAAAACATATTAATCACGAGATCTCCATTGGTCATCCATTCCGATTTCGAATCCACTTTCTGTTTCAGATCCATTGTAGAAATCCATTTCCACACCGTCTTCATTGAAATTCCTTCCGGTTTCATGTATTGCAAAGATTTATAAACTTGTGGAAATTTGTCAATTAAATGAAACCAGATGGACTGGGCCCGTATCTGCAAACTGATTGGCAAAGTCAGCACTGGTGCATATGAAGAAGATTCAATTCCTGCCTTTTTAATGTCATCAGCAATCTGAAAAAATAGTACACATGTTGACTAGCGGAACAAATGAAATTTAGACTTATTAGCTTTATCTTACATGATCTAAAAATGATTCCTCGACGCATGACTGTAATAATCCAAGACATGCCGCACAAGGGTTACATTTCAACAGTTTTGCTGGAGGCAAGCCAGTCCCTTCTTCGTTGTCAATGTCAACGTCTGCAACATCATCGTCATCCTCCTTTTTGGAAAGACCTCCAAGTATCTAATATGGATGAATATTCGCATCGGTAAGGTGGGTTTTATCAACAAAAACAAATAGGAAAAAAGTTGGCTTACCGTTTTTATGGACGCGGTATTCCTGTATACGACGGGGTCCTTGACGCCGAGGTATCTGAGCGTGCATTTGTCGCATACGCCGAGGTTTAGCAACTCTGATACGATCTCCTTCTTGAGACCCTCCGTCTCTATTACCATCTCAATCATATTTCGTCTCGAACAGTCTTGCTATAACTATATTTCCACTCTAATATTTATTTAATGGACTTTACAACATATTATTTATTATTCACAAAGCAATAAACTAAAACTCCTCCAAAAAAATCATCGCATGTGGCATGCATGTTGTTAGAGTATTTGAGACGAGGAGTCCCGCAAAACATTTTTCTCGTCTCATTCCAAAGTGCGATTGCACGTTCGTGCAAGTGCAGTTTAATTTTAATAATTCCGTTTAGTCACAGGAACAATGAGTGAATTAACTCCCGAAGTGAAAGGTCAAATCGCCACGATGGAGGCAACACTTGCAGAGGCTGAAAAGTTTTTTAAGCCTTTAGAGCAGGTGGAATATGAAGGTGTCACGGGTGATGTAGGGTCTACAATACTTACAATTTTGCAAGGAAATTAAATTTGTAAATTAATTTACTTTTATTTGTTGAATAGTTGGAATCCGAAGATCGGGCAAGATATGATCTCACAGTTTTGTACGCTGTAAATTCATTATTTTGGAGTAAGCCATTTATTTTTTGTAGTTCACTACTTCATAAACAATATTCATACATGCATTCATTTAATTACTAATTAGTGTAAAAACTAAAAAACGTGGGTTGATTTTGCATGATTTTTTCCTAGTGTTGAAACGGAGTTGTGGGGAGGATCCTCAGAATCATGGGGTCAAGGGGGAGATGGATAGAATAAAGGAACGAATGTTACGTCTGAAAGAGATTCAGGACAAGGTCAATATGCCAAGGGTCAACAAAGGGGCTGCGGAACGAATCGTCAGACACGAGCTGAACCTTCATAAAAACGTCAAAAAGCGATTAAAACCTCCACGAGAGGAAAATTGGGAGAACGAAAAGAAAGAGGCAGCGGCCGAACAAACCGGAAATATTACTGATCGTGAGCTACGAACGCGGCTGTAAATATGTACATATATGGGTGGATAATATGTTAATTAGTTTTTTACATAAATATACTGTATAATACAAAGAATTTATTGTCATTTGTAATTATTACAAGATTGGAAAATAAAATTTCCCACGGGGAAATGTGTTTTTTTTTACATCACGAAGTACAATTCATTATGCTTATATGAACATTAGAATCAGAACATATTGTATTTTTTTTAAACAAACCTATTCATTTTTTACATCACAGAGTTATCATCATATGAGCCAAGAATTCGCTGAATCTCACTGGCATTCGTATCGCTGAGTAATCCAGACTCTCCTTCGGTAATGTTCAAATCCAATCCACGCATAGATTCACGATAAGCAAGTGATGCATTATCGTTGGTGGAAATTCCTTTAATTTCTTCTCGAATAGTAGATTTGACTTCGCTGCAGGATTATAAAAATGAATAAATTATAGAAACATTTAATTTCATGCTGCATGAAAACAATGCATAGAGAGAGAAGTAACGTACTGGATAACATTACGAATTTTTTCCAACTGATTCATCTCTACCCCTTTCTTTACTGATGAGTCGTTCTTAATTGATTCCAAGTATTGCTTCAGGTCCTGATTTTCGGTTACTGCACTGACAAGTTTTTCTTGGAGTTGTTGCTGCTCCTCTTGAGCACCAATTAGTTTATGGTTCTCCATTTTGAGCAATTCAGCCAACTGGTACAATTCTTTAATGGTCATTATAGATTCTTGTTGTTCCTGTTTGGATTTCTGCATTTCTGCCAAAAGGCCTGCAATGAACAAGTTCAACATAGATTACACAACTCAATTAAAACACAGCAATTCGCCTAAAAATATCGAGAGAGCAATTTTTCACCTGCAGCTTGCTTCCGTAAAATTTCGTTCTCTATTTGTAATTGTAAATCCTTTTCCAAATCTGCTTCCGAATTATCTACTGATGTAGAGGTTGCAACTTCCCTTAAGGGAGTAAACTTCCTTGAGTTGTCAGATTTAGTTGCAACCGCCCCTGAAGATTTAGATGATAGCAAACTCGAATTGAGGTTGGTTGTGCTGGTCATGGTGTTTCTGGTTTCCTTCCGAAAGGCCGTTATTCTATAAAAATTACGTGAAATATTGGACAAATGTATTACTACATACATATGTACAACCGAGCGTTACTTTGTAGATACTAAAGCGAAATCAAGTAATTTCAATGCACTCACTTCATCTCTGACTGAGTTGATCTGGCATCCCTTGTTTTATTGGTTGGAACACCAACCCTTTTAATAATTGATGTCGAAATGCCTCCAGCATCTCCAGCAGACGAGGGTGACTTCCTACGCGTGTCTAGCTTGACAAGCTCAATTTCTTGCTTGAGACGTTCAATTTCATATCTGACAAAAATATTACAATTAAATTAACACTATCCGAAAATAAAAGCAAATTCAAATTTAGCGATATAGGCATATATTGTGTAGGCCAACCTCAAATAATCATTTTGTGATTCATAATTGAGCTTCTTTCGTTGACCATCAGCTTCATCATCCCCTTCACCCCCACCATGATTTCGTGGAGAAGGCTTGGTACAACTGGACTTTGCTCGTTCACGTTCTCCTCGTGTCTTCAAAATTTTTTTCGGTTCAAGGTCACGAGTCGTTTTCGTTGAAGACGGTCTACTCCGAACGTGAGTATGGGTTTCCAAGTACAGTTCAGATGAGATTGGGATTTTGTGACAGAGTGACTTTGGATGTTCTCCACCCTCTTCTTTGCATGTAATTTTTTCACTCTGAACATCCTTCTTGCCCACGCCTTTCCACTCCTTCCCCACGATTTCCTTCTCATGAACAGACTTTTTTCTGGAAAGGAGGTCACCCCAAGAACCTAGCATATATAATAAAGTCAACAAAATATAGATATAGATATGTGTGATAAATAAGAATTGAAATAAATTGTAATTTCCTTTTCCAACCTTTCGGGAACACTTCTGATGGTTTGATGGTTCTCCCTTGTTCTTCTTGCTGGTGGTCCTTATGTTTCGAGGGGTGTCGTTGTTTCTTTACCTTTATGGTAACTTCCACCGTCGCCTTTTTGCTAGAGTAAAGATGATTGGACGATTCCACCATGTCCACCCCCACACATTTGCTTTCCTTCTTCTGAGCCATACCCTGAACTCTAAGTAGTAACGAATTAACTTAATTTAATCAAAAAATTTAGAGACGCGGATCATCAGTAATTTAAAGAAAACAAAATAAAATCCGCTGTTTTTATTATTGATCAAACATGTTTGACCGATGCAGGAATGAATACAACTGAATATTTGCCCGGTTTCACAACCCTCCATTTCCAAGTGACTGTCTCAATTTCACTTTTCTTGTATTTTTTTTCATGCGATTTTAACAAACCGTTATTAATTAATTAAGTATTAATGAACTAAATTAATTAAGATAAATTAATTAAAGATTGATGTTTTATTTTTATTTCTCAGTTCTGATTGCTGTCGGGAGTTTAAATTTTCTCTCCACAAGGACGCACCAACACATCATGAATCTGAATAGCATAAAATTTTATTATTAGTCGTCATATTAAAATGTGTAGTATGAGACGACGAACGATGGATGCCGACCTGTATATTTGGTGGTGAAGACAAGGAGAAAAGCAAAATATCTGCAATATCTTGAGGTTTGATGACGCTTTCGCACCTCGCAAATACGGACTGTGCCATATCCTTATCCTCAAATGCCCGAGCCAAAAATTCAGTTTCGACGAGACCTGGACTAATGGCCTGTAATTTAATTAAGTTAATAAGACAAGCAAATGAGCCATAGTCCTGACAAATTAAATATCCCATGCTCACTGTTATCCGAATTTTAGAGTTTTCCACCAACTCTCGACGAAATCCTTCGGTTAGAGCTGTCACTGCAAATTTTGTGGCAGCGTAAAAATTCAAAATCCCTGTAAGGCGATGCCCAGACATGCTGTACACAATTTATTTATTTATAGGCAAATTTATTTATTTGTAGGCAAATTTATTTATTTGTAAGGAATATGACGCGGCTGAGAATTAAATTGACCTGTTGAGGTTGAAAATATGACCATCATCGACGCCACGAGTCAGCATGGACTTGACAGCCTTACTGGTGCATAAAACTAGCCCAACAACGTTCACATTCAGCATATCTCGCATTTTATCGCCCGTGATTTCTACAAAATAATTCGTTCTGAGATTATTTTAATAGACATCCGTTAGACTCTAACGTATGCACATGTTTAGCCTGAATGTTATGCAGGGGTTATGTAGATAGTCGTCATGTCCTTCCGACTGTCTGTCTGTTTTCGATAACCTGTTATCGATTTTGGCCAAATTTGGTAGAAATAAGGGGATCTTTTTTTACGATGATTATTTCGAAAATTAGGTGCTAAATAATACAAACAAATTGACGCTAATTCCTTCAATAATTAGCGCAAAGTATTCAAATTATCGAATTAGTGAAATATAATCGGAGCTGACGAAAATATTTACAAATAAATCCTGATTCGGGATACGGCTACGCAAAACTGAACTGAGAGGTTTAAATATTTTAAACATTTAATTGGAATTGTTAGCCTGAAGCGAAATTGCCACACAAATCTCCTTTCTTAAGGACATTGATATTTCTAATGTTATGCGTAGAAATATGTAATTGTGTTACCGAGTAAAGTATCCTTGCAAGAGAATCCAGCATTATTAACCATAACGTCGACACCCCCATGATTTTTGGCAATCCACTCGAACATGTCGTCAATATTTTTGTCATTCGAAACATCACATTTGTACGCTATTAGTCTACCGGACAAACCCTTCTTGCTCAGATCATTGCTCAGCATCTACAGCATAATGAAATGGAATATATATTAGTAAATAATCGTGAAGTATTACGACTGTGAAAAAAAACTTCTCGCAAATACGTCAATTTTGTCTTTGCTTCTAGCACAACCAATCACCTAAAAAATTTAAAACCATTTCAGTACGCAAAATTACGACGTAAAATAAAGTTAAGTAGACATTACGGTCATTCCATGGCTGACGAGACTGGTGCAAATTGCTTCCCCTATCCCAACGCTCGCTCCGGTAACCAATGCCACTCTATTCTTCCAACGGATCATGCCGGACTCAATTGACATTTCGAAAAAAAAATCTGAACAACTCCAGAAAAAAATATACAAGCTTTTAGAATTATTAGTGATATAGAATGGGGCTAATGAATCGTGTCCACTTTGAAAAGGTTTTGGGATGAGATGATTACTCTTACATCAATAGCTGATGGTCTACTGTCCAGACTGGCTGGCTGGTTAAATATCCTTGAAATTTAAACTTTTCTGATTATCCAAACAATATATGCATATAAAATCTTGGATATGTTATTCATTGCATGAAACCTTGTATGTAAACGCAGATACCCATTCATGCTTTTGCAGACTTTTTATCCCATAACTGGTTTGTATTTACTTTGCATGGACAAATCGTGCTTGGGTTCATAACATGCTCATCTTCAACAAGACATACATGTTTATTACGTATTTTCACAAAACCGACTATATATCCTAAAACTTCATATAAACTAAGCTCCGCCAGCACTAGAACGTAAAACCAATTTTTATTTATTAGTTTAATAGAAATATTATCGATATTGGAAGGGAGTTTTCCATTCAAAATTGTTTGTAATTTAGGCCCTTTACAAAATTAGTTCATGGAAGGATACATTTTTTGTCATTGTCTTTGAAAGAGATCAAGTAGATAAATGCCATCAAATTTTTGTCTGCTAAATTGTGACCCTTCTTATTGGCCACAAAAGTATAAATACATAGGTGGTTATTAGAGTTTGAGTTTAGGTTACATATGTATCTTGTGAAAACTGTTTGTTACTTGATGTGTGTAAATATTAGTATAGGTATAATTTTTATATAATTTTTATCATCCAAACTATATTTTGACAACTGATACTACTTAAATAATTTAATTCTGACTAATTATGCACGCCTTCATTTTTCAAACTTAGTTTGCAAATAAACGAGACAAGACAATGCCAAAGTATTGACACACCCTGCATGCTTTTCTTTAAGATGACCTTCAATGTGTTTGTTCTTGTATTTACATCGCCTTCACTTTCAATTGTTTCATCTTAGGTGTCTTCTTTTTTGCTTCACGTTTTTGTTCCTTCTGTTCCCAGCGACGCTGTTTTTCAGGATCATCCTCCTTTAGAATTTTTTCCTTTTCCTGGCGACGTTTCTCTTCCTTTCGCGCAGCAGCAGCTTCAGCTCGAGCAACATGAGTTAATTTCATGTAAGCTTCTTCAATTTTAGCACGATTCTTATCCGCCTTGGTTTTCCCCTGACAAGATGCAATACGAACACACATTTACTATGTCGCTTAATTTGTGTTTACTGATCTTCAATTATGTATACGTTATTATTTCAAATGTTTACCTCCCGGGACAGACGTAATCGCTTCATTCGATCAATGGTGTAAAAAATGAATTGGAAGAATGGTTTCATGTCTTCGAATACTTGGTCAGCATTATTTCCAGTTGGGGTAGTAAGAAGATTCAGGGTAAAAAATAAAAATCGTCTAGGTTCTGGAGGTTTGAGATCTTTACCACTTTCCCTGTGATACCGAAAATATAAAACTGTCAGCCTTGAATATATTTCTAAATTCCTTTGGATATGGCTTACGGTTCAGTATTTTTCAGTCCGGTAAACTGAAATGGATAAAAAACTTTAGTTCTTACCCATTTCAGATCAAGGTCATTGACCTTGACGAGTAAAATTTTTTCGCTCAGGAGGAGAATTGCTCCTCAGTCAGAGTGAGCAGCAGCGGAAGAACAACAACACTTTCTTCCTCAACATATTACATATTGTTATTTAAAGTTTTCAAAATTAATAGTCAAGGGTTTAAACATGTCTCGCCAAATTAAAATCAACTCTTCTTTGAAAAAATCTGACACTGTGACGAAGGACGAATCTAAGGAGAATTTGGATAAAGTAGAGGTATGTTACTGGTGTTGACAAATACATGTAAATTAAAATGTCATAAATTTTATAGACTAAAATGGAAAGTAAGGAAGAAGTCGCAGGACCATCAAGCAAAGTTTCTCCTTCCGTCCCCAAGAAAAAGTTGCGACTGGTTTGCTACAATGAGAGAAATGAAGTCATCGCCGAGTACGAAAGTCCTTCCACCTCCGTTGCCATTCCGGAACTGAAGTTCACTAATTCTCAAGGAGATGATGTGAAGCTGAAGAAAAGACCCACCCAGAATAACCCACCACTCCCATCACAAATTACATCTCAAGTAACTGCAGTCAGGGAGGCGATAAAAAAGCGAATTGGTTTTGGTGACAAGAGTGGTGAGACGGATGATAAGCTCATGGAGGATCCCAGGTTCAAAGATGCCATGCAAAATCTCAAGCAAAATCCCATAACTTGTACATACAGGGGTTATACACTCACGGTACTTTGGGATGCAAATGAGTCAATGATCGGATATAACGACGGAAACCCTAACCCTAATAATCCAAATGGAAATATTTGGTATAAATGTATTTTAGAGGCTTGTTGGGTGAAAGCAGGTGGGTAAAAGTGTTTTATTTATGGTATTTGGCTAGTTGATGATGATTATGATAATTTGTGAATTGCAGAAACTAGAAAAAGAAAACATTGCAAAACGCACGGTAGTCATCAAACCTTCGTTGTTCGTGATTTAACATCTCCGACCACGACTCTAGGCTTTGTCACTCCCGATTATACTAAGAATGGAGGATTTTCGAATTCTCAATTGCTGACATATTTGCAAGGAAAAACTTGTGTTACTATGCACTCTGCTCTATCCAACCATTTTCAACCCCAAAAAAATGCTGCCAAGATTAAGACAGATTATACATGGAACTTGTCTACCAAGGAAGTCGTGAAAGGAGACGGAAGTGCTCACAAATTGGTAAAATCATATAATAAAGAATTCTCTTAATAAAATGCATTGCGCAACAATAAATGATGATAATGTTACAGGTTGCTCTAAGTCTTATGACCATGATTCACAATTCCGTGTGTGAGAATGAAGATAAGATCCATTTGATCAATGAGATGATCATGTTTACAAAAGGGGTGGATGAGTATGAGACCAACTTCTTCCCTAAATTGATGGCTATTCTAGAAGCAAATGGTTTCAAGTTCCAAGTCACGACGGAGAAGAAATCAACAAAATTCGTTCCTGAGTCCCTTTTGTCCAAAGTTTCCTACAAGAATCTCCCCCATGTATATTTAGCAAAAGACGAAGATGACGGTAGGCTTTATGTGGGTGTGAGGTGGGGAAAGGGAAGTAGATCGAAAGGTGAAGGTTCCTCCTCCCACAAAAATAACAAGAAAACGGCTCTTACCAATTTCCCTGACGAGAAGAAACACCGGATGTATCAACAAAAACATCACAAAATTGATGATGTGAAGATGGTGAAAGCGGCGAAAGACTTTCTCTTTAATGAAGGGGCAGACGAAGAAGAAATTGCTCTCAAAACTGCTCAAAACGTAATATTTGATGAAATGGAGGTTGATGCAAAGAAGAAGGAGGCTCTTGCTCAATTTTGCTGCATTGTTGGCAAAATGCTGGGAGTCAAAGTGGTGAACGGTCATCCCACTAAATTAATCTTCCAGAAGTATCATCATTACGACGACGGATTTTCCCTGTCACTCTTTACACATTTCTTTGGATACATTTTTGGTTGTGGGATAGAAGTAGAGATACCAAAATTAGTAAAGGATGACAATGGAAAGGTTTTGCTGAAGTTGTTTTAATTTAGTGTAATTTACTGTTTTTTATCATCTTAAAGATGAATAATATGTTAAATGTTATAGACAAGTATTAATTCAGTACCTGGTCAGTGATGTGGATACAATCAATTAAGGGTGCAAATTTATTTATCACAGAGACGGTCCGAGAGTCAAAAATTGACGAAGCCTATAAAAATTAATGAATCAAAAAGAATTATGGCATTATTCTTGGCATCGGCACAAGCTAATTTCTTACCACTTCCCCCATTTCAGAGAAAACAACGAATTGAGAAGGCAGTCCGTATTTGTCACCTGAAACAAGTTCATAATACGTCATCACAGTAAAGTATTTTGATAAGATTTATGTTGTCTAAGCTTATTACCAGGTTTCTTATCCGGACAGTAGTTTGCCAAGTCTGAAAATAAGTAATAATAATATTTTCGTACTAATATATACGCTTCGACTTGTGATTCAGAATTTACCGTTGTACTCTTTGATTATTTTAGCACCGGTTTTCTTGGTGGCAACAGCACACACGAAACTATCCATATCTTCCTTGCTCATTTCGACCGAAATCCTTAAAGTGTCCTTTGCTGGTCGGAATATATTTGCCAGAATGGAAACGAGGTCTTGTCGCTATATTCAACACGATTATATATTTTTTAATTCACCGCTTTACATAAAACACGCATAATTAAAAGAGTGATACCTTGAGTAGTTTAAGTTCCAAAAGCATGCCTTCACAACAGACGCGACCAGAACACCACATTTGATAAATTGAATCTGACATTCTTTGAAAGTTCCGAGTCCCTTGATCATCCTCCAATATTGTGGAATCTCCCAGGAGGGTGAAATTTTCTTCAAGGATGTTCCAATTGATGTCAAAGAAAGATTGTGCAATTTTTTGGTTCTTGTAGCGACCCATCACGTAATTGAGCATGTATACGATAATGCCACCCATCATCAAACACTCAGCCCAGTACGCCTGCCATCCTCGTGCCGGCATCGGCACCGACGTTATCGTCAGTTTTGGCGGAGGCATATCTTTCCTTTTCCCGTCCCGTTCATCATCTTCAAAATCATCTTCGTCAATACCTTCAAAATCGTCTTCCTGCAAATCGTTTAGAATTACGAGAGAGTCGAATGTTACTTAAATACTCTATAAAATATAATTACTTACCTCGACTTCGGCTTCATCCTCATCATCAAATTCAGCTTTCTGTTGTGGAGCCTCTTGAGAAGGTTGTCTTTGGCCTGCTTGGTTGAGAGTATCATCGATTTCATCAAAATCATCAGTTTCGACATTTTCTAATAAAATAGGCGTAAAACTATTTATATTACACATTAATCACAGTCAGTCATATTATAACAATTGCATAACAATAAAAATACCTTGTTGCTTCTGTTGTTGTTGTTGCTGCTGCTGGACTGGAGGACTTATTTTCTCTTGGGGCGATGGACTTTGTGATCGTCTCCCTCTAGCCCTAGCCAACTCATCCTCATCAAAATCATCGTCAAATTCTGCAAAGTCGTCGTCATCAACTTCTTTGGCACCTTGACAAGAAATGGTGAGAAATATGCAGACAACAGCAGACGCAAAAAGAAGGATCTGGGTAATATTCATCCTCTTTAGCACGGAAGGAACCGATGCCCTCCCTCAAACTAAATCAGTCAGAATTAAATTTTTTTCAATGAATATAAGCAGTAACAAACACAAACTATGAACTATGAACTAATGCATACTAATCCCAAGCATAAACACACCCATTAAATGTCGTTAACAAAGTATTGCACATACCTCTTACTATTCTTCGAGTATCTCCAGGAGTCAACCTAATAATTGTTGGAATGCACAACTATTACATAAAAATACCTTTTATTATTTTTCGCTGATTAAAGCCATGAAAAATCTCAATTTCTATTCTTCTATTTCTATTCTTGCCGAGACGGCTTTTTGTTTTCCTGATGTGATTCGGCAGAGCAAGACTGGGGTTCGTCACTCCCGCTGCTGTTTTTATGCCAAAATGTTGAGAAATTGTATGAAATTTTCGAAATTTTCGTTAAAATTAAAAACCTTTTATTTTAATCCATTAATTATGCTCTTTGCAAAAAAAAAGTTGGCCAGCTAACACAATTACACTGCATTATTTGAAATTATATCATTCATTTAATCGGGTTAGGGACGAAATGTGGAGAGGACGGAATATCACCTCTGAAATATGGCTGAAAAATATGTGGATGACAGAAATATGGATAGCAATATAATGTGGATGAAAAAAATGTGGAAAATTTGATTCTTTAGATAAATTAAAAATATAGTTTTAACTGGTGCAACAATTTTACATGGAGCTATCATTAGATTTCTAAGAGCTACCGACTTCAAATCGGACCCAAAATTTCCGATCTCCGTCCTAAAATTCGGTGTAAATGGTAGTCTGTAAGTATAGTTTATATAAAAAGTTGCTTCATACTCCACAGCAGATTTTAAATACGAATTATGTAATCTTTATGCGTAATTTTTATACAGAAGACGAGGCTTATTTTTCGGTGTAACACCGAAACTGAGACATTTTGCGACATTTTTGGACAATGTGTGTGGGTTTGGGTCTCAAATTGTAATGAGAACTTCCAATGTTCTAGAACAGACATGAAACAGTATAAGATAATACCAGGGCACGTTACAAAAGTCCATGGGGGTGTAACCTGAACAGTATATGCATATTTATAATTAGGGGGACTCAACAAATACGTCAAAAATTTTTACCGACGACACCCCCTGATTGAGGAGTTAGCCCTCAGGGAGCGTGGTCCTGAAATATTTATAGTTTGCACTGTGCGTAGGGACAAATTAAATTAGGATTAGAAGGGCGAGTACAAGAATATCACATAATCCCCATAACCAGTTTTCTATATTCAAGGCATCCACGTTTTGCCCTTTCCATATTTATGGTCATCCACATTTTTCCACCCACATTTCGTCCTATCCACATTCATTTTATACTCATTTTGTCCGGATCCCATTTAATCAAATCGGATAAAGCAAATGCATGCAAAATATGTAGTTAATTTGGATATTATATGCATATCTGAATTAAGTATATCCGATTATCAAATAATAATGAAGAGCGATCTGATTATCATCTTATTTATTTATTAACCAACAAAAATTGACTACACCAAACAAATACACAAAGTAGAAGGTCTAAAAACAAAAAAATACGTGGCAAATGTCAATTCTCTCTATTTACATTTAGGACATTTTAATAATATTTTTCAAAAGGTATGTTGGACAATGTTTTGGACCAAATTGTGCTGATTATAATAAAGTTTGAACATATTTAGGAAGCTGTGATGTTTCATAGGTAGATTTGTTAAAAACTGACTTTTTAGTAAATCCATAAAAAATACCTCGAAAAAACTCAAAAACTTTTCTACGATTTTATTTCCTAATTTCCAATGAACCTGTAAGACTTTGATTTTGGCTTTCAAATAGCTAGGCAAATAATAATCGCAGCGTAATAAATTTTAAGCATAAGACCATGAGTGACCCCACAACCTTATGAAGGGCTGATTTCTAACTTGAAAGTCGTACACATTTGGTCCAAAACATTGTCCAACATACCTTTTGAAAAATATTATTAAAATGCCTTCGTATGTACATACTTGGATTAATAAAATATGGAGTTTTAAGCATTCATTGAAACCTATAAAAAATCACATAATACTTTCTTAATAAGAAACCACCCCTGGAATTAACCTCCTGCACCTAAAAAATAAATACACTTCATCATTTCCAAACTTTTCTATTTCACACCGTCCTCGTATTGATACTGATAAGTGAGGTCTGCTGGATGTTGCTGGACTTGGGATGCATTATCATCGATGGCCTCGCTAATTGTGGTAAATCCTAACGGTTGTGACATTATTGTGTCGCCCCCAGCATTTCTAGGATCAATGCCATAGTCTGTGCCAGAAGTCAAGTCGACGGGTTGACGGATACGTTGATGAAAATGGGACGTGGAAAAGGCTGGAGTAGGTGAAACGGGGGCTAGTTGATGGTTTTGCTGGTAATCAATATCTTGGAATGATTGTGGGGTTGACACAGGAATATAAAATGATGGAGGAGATGGGGAGAGTGCTTTTTCATGATGAAACTGAGCCGGGGTGGGAGTTGAACTAACTAAGGACGAGGTTCGGAAATGATGCGAAGGGTCGGGCGATGCAACGATTTCTTGCCCGTTATCGAAAAGGTAGTCTCTGGACAGGGGAGACGTTTCGTGAGGATTATTACTTTTGCCGTCTTCAGAGTCCTGCTGTTCGTTGTGAGAATTGTCATCCTGCTCGTCTTTTTCCCCAGAGGATGGAGTGTTGAAGGAATTTCTGTACCCTACACTGTGACCATAGTCCTTCGCACCGACCTCATAGGGATGAATTATGGTGTTGGGAAACGATGTGGGGTGGGATTTGGGCATATTAGGCAGCTGGGAAAGAATGTCGTTTGCTCCACGATGGGAAGGTCTTGGACCTGTTCCCGGGGTTTCAAAAAATACTAGACCAGATCCATTTCCGGGTGACTTTTTGCGAGGGGAAGATGTCGGAGACTGAAATGTTGGTTGAGGTTTGTCGTAGAATTTTTGTTGTTTGAAAGGCGACGACGACTTAAACTTGGGTGCTGGTGTGGACGAAGAACCAGCCCCAGTTTTGAGATAGAAAGAGTGTTTTCCTCCTGGAAAGTCGATGGTGTAAGATGTAGCTGGAGATGGGGAAGGACTTGACGCCACGGTGGAGAGACGTTGATTCAAACCTGCTGGCGGTGTGGGTGGGATGTAGCCCCCGTGGTGATAAGAAGGATGTTGTGAGTTGTAATAGTGATATGGCTCTGTATACCTGCAAAAAATATGGTATTGCAAAAATGTATAACTACTCCCTACTAGTCAAACGTAATTGACAATTAAATTAGTTTTAATTTCAAGGTACCCCAGGTCCTGTGGATGTTTGGTTGGAGGATCAGAGTAAAAGTCGTCAACAACTTGCACTTGAGGAGATTTTCTTTGATTCTTTTGAATATTTTTATTTCTTGTATGGAAATCCTTCTTTGCTGGCCCGGCCTTAAAATCTTCAATTGGTATGAGACTTTTGCTCTTTCCAGATTTAAAGTTGATGGGGGTGTATCCTCCATAGCTCGATGGTGGTCGTCTGTCATGGTCAACATCTCCCTGCTCGCGATAAGAATGATGCTCCTCCTGCTCAGGTTGGCGATCTGCGTGGTCGTCAATGTAGTTGTAACTCGATTGCGATTGTGTGGAAGGACTGCGATACACGGATTTCGGATGTTTGCGAAATTGTGGGGGAGCGGGTGCTGGAGAAGGTGGTGGTCCATTAACAGCAGAAGCGTAATAATTTCCAGGTCCAGGTTCATTGTAAAGTTCAGGTGGGGAACTTTCTGTAGGTTTGCGAGAGGGGGATTTCCTTCTTTGTTTAAATTGTAAATGCTTCTGGTAATTTGGTTGGGGTTTGTGGGATTTTTTTAATGTGTCAATTTCCTCCTCTATTTCGGGGTGACCTGGATAACCATAACCACCAATGTCAGCACTTTCATATTTGGTCCTACCTCCGCTGCCTCGATGATACCCACCCCCGTTGAATTCATCGACTTTCTTCTTTTTCTTTGGTCGTGAGGATGATGGGCCTGCTCGAGGACTTTGGTCATGGAGAAATTCAAGGTTTCCATCGTACTCTTTCTTTTCGGCAGACTCCATGTTGTCGTAAATACTTGTAGGTTTGGGACGTTCTGTGACACAATTTAACTTTTAACTCGGGTTAATTTAGAAAAAAAGATACACAGACTTTATGATATATTATACCGTAATTTGGTGTTGGTGATGGTCTACGGCGCCTCTCTCTGTTTCTTTCGCCCTCATCATTGCTACTGCTCGAGTAGGCGTTAGGCGAAGGGGGTGTGGCAGGTGGTTGGATTGGGTAACTCTCATAAGTTACACTTGGTCGTGGTCTTTTATAACTTGGGGCGGCAGAGGGTGAAGGAGACGTGGGTGGGATGTTGGAATAAAACCCTTCGTGACTGTCATACTCTTCCACCCGATTGTTGTAAGCGGAAGTTGGCGAAAGTGTGGGCGATCTAAAGTTTTGGTATCTGTTGTTCTGCTTTTTCTTGATTCTATTTCTGAACTTTTTTGGGGACGGTGAATTGGTTGGAGGGCTGAGCGAGGGTGGAAGGTAGCCATTGTTTCCGGCCGTGTACGCTGTGGGTTTCGCAGTCAAGGCTGGTTTGCTGGGATGGTCATCGCCTTCCCCCTCGTAAGTCACGTCTGCCTTGTAGCCAATATCTCCCCCAGCGGTGTACCGGACGACTTGGACCCTGAAATAAGATTATTTGAATGTCACAAAAAACTTAAAGCGACGTGGGGAAATTGAGAATCTAGTCGAGACGTTTTTGGACCATTTTGGACCAAAGTTTTAATGATTTAAAATCTCAAAAGTTTTGATAGCTGTTACCTCCCATCAGGAAGATTGATCCGATACTCTCCCATTGTGAGCTGGCCATCTCGTGCTTAAGAATATTGAGAATAAAAATTGATTTGAGATGCAACATTTTAAAATTGCACAACACATTTAATTTGGATATGCAAATCAACCTTCTTTGTGAGAAAAGTGGTTGTCTTCTTTATTCTCATCATCTCGTACGGCGTATGCGAAAGCGTAGTTCTTAGGAGGCTAGAACGTGGAAATTGCATTACACCATTTGCGAACTCATACAAAAATTTCTTATATCTTACGGGTTGAGTTGACTGACTATATTCCTCGTGTTGTCCTCCGTTGTTTAGATTTTCAAAATAGTTTCTTTCACGCTCCCTTTTTCTAATATTTTGATTTGAGGGTGACTCCACAAGTGATTTGTGAAACTGTTGAGGAACATTATGGCTCTGTGTGAACAATTTTTGACTTCGCATTCTCTGTCGCCGGATTGGAGAATAGTAATGTTCGGGGGCTTGGATTTCATCCTCGTGCTCTTGGTACAAGGGTTCCCTTGGACCTTGATTCTCATTTGTGTTATCCGTCTCTTCACTGGACAATGGACCTTGACGCTTCTGAACTTTCCTTAGTTTCCTCATTCGTATCCTCCTTCGACTCTGCGGAAGTGGGCTTGTGGGGTTTGAGGGGTTAGGGGAAAGTGAGATCGTCGTTAGTTCTGAGGACGGATGTCTGGGTGTCGCCGTTGAGGGCGTGGTTGATGTTAATTGTTGTTTCGCTCGCAGTCGAAGAGATTTCAGTCCATCCGTTTGTGAATTGAGACTTTGAATTGCGATGAAGCAGAAGAAAGTCAGGAAGGCTTTCTAAAAAATGGAATATACATAGTCTCAACTTAAAAAGTGATAGTAGAGTAGACGACCATATCGCTTATGTTTTAAGGAATTTCAAATTTATTTATATTCCATTGAAAAGCCAGTTAAATTTCAAGTAGAAAACATGTATTAAACTTGAAAATATATTCCTCTTGTGGCACTGAGAAATTGGTCACGATAGGAGAAAGCTCTATCAAAACTACGCACGAAATTAATCGACAAAGTGTATAATTCCCGGGTCAGAAATTTTTTTGTGACCCTGACACTTATATGGGATTTAGAACAGACCCTTTCCGCAACTTTAATCAATGTTTGATGGTGAAGTTGACTGCGGTTCGAAAATGCCAAGGTCAAACCTAAAGTGCAAATGAAGTCAGAAACATGGATTTTAATCCAGTTTTTCACGAATTTCGCTGTATATGTTAGTGTGGAGCCCTTCACAAAGGTTGGTGGCTTTTAACCCCATATGGACTAGTTGAGGGGGTGTTCCTTCTTCACTGTGACGTTAATCAAATATTTTTTTAACTATCTCGTCTCCATAATCCAGAAAATTGGGCGGTTTTTGCCCAATTCCACCGATTCCCGCCAAAACCATGAATGTAGGCCGATAAGATAACCTTCGATCTCCATTTCGCAATCAACTAACCCTAAGAATATCTAACATAGATTCTGCTTCTTTTTCTTGTGGAAATATGGCTCCGTCTTAAAGAAATTCTCATCTGCAGACGGGTTATTTTTTGTTTGCTTTTTACCGTACCGCTGGGAGAGGGTGTTAGATTTTTTGACCTTAGCTTATGTCTGGGCAAACTGTGGCATGTGACGCTTTCTACTCGAAAAGGCCTCCATCTTGGGGTTATTTTTCAGTGCTCATCTGATTTATAAAGTTGAAAGGTCATTTGTGTGGCCAAAGTCTCCGGCGTCGGACAGAAATTTTTGTGCCATTCTGGTGTTTAAAGCGTCGGACCTCACTGTAGTCCTCCTTGACCTTGGACAACCGGAACTTTTATGTCATAGATAGCCACTGTCCCTAGCGATAGTTCCATAGTTTGGGTAACCAGATCATAATTGTACTTGGACTGCTGCACTACATTAAACATTGTGCATTTTTTTTCTCGTGCAAAAAGTGAAAAATTATCGCCGAAAAATTATAGATAAGCTCCTCCTACTTTTGACCTAGTCACGTCAAGTAAAAACGGTCAACACCAATGATAGGCACTGAATGTGTGCACAAACCACAACTGACCTTTTAATTTTATGTTGACCGGTTCAAAAACTACGCTCTACTATCACTTCTTATGGTAAGACTATGTACATATGGGAAATTTCAATGAAGGCATCTCTGAAATATACACAATGTTTTATATTTATGTAGAAATGCAAAAATTTGAAAAAGTAATCGTCTTATTTAACCCCAATTATATTGTTAGACAGATATTAAAGATAGTTTCTTTAGCATTATGGAACTACTATGTTAAGAGATACATAGTTTGCATTTACATAGTTTGCTTCGCACTTGAAGCAATAATTAACTCAGTTTTACCAATTAAACTGAAATAGTACATTATGGAAAGATCTTCTTTGTTCTTCGCCTTGAATGAATCCTACGGTCTGACAAATCACATTATTAAAAAAATACCATGCAAGTACTTTTTTTGTGGAACATAAAATTCTTTTAGCATGTTGTATCGCAATCGCCCATTTGAAATTAAATGAGACGTCGTACTTACATAGCATAAAGCTAAAGGATAATATAGTACTTATTCCATGGCATAAAGTTTCTGATTTTCTAGACGTCGTTATGGGTCAACAAGTAATTTGCTAATAGTATGTGTGTATGTGTACATATGAACATATGCACATAAATACAATAAAACTCTTCAGTGTAGATGCTCGGTTAATTACCGTATAATTATTCTAACAGAACTGTATCATTGGATCCAATATGACATCAGAATAATCGTCATAAATTATTGCTAGTTCTAAAACGGTACCACAAAGCACCATAATAAAAACAAACTTATTGAAGTTAATTAAAAACAAAAATACAATAAATTAGTAATCAATCACAACTGTTAGACTGATTTTTTTTCTAATTAGTCGTACAACAGTCCATACCGGCCCAGCAAAATAACCCACAGTGATTGCTAATGAAAGTGAACTGTTGTTGAAAAAAATGGGAAAAGTGAGACGGACAATTTTTCTGATACAAAGTACTTCACCATGCACATGTGCATAAGTGCATATATCGTCATAACCCGTAACTACTAAATAAAATGAGAACAGACTTAGCCTGCGGTTTAGTCAGTCATGTTCAGATGCTGACCTAGCTGACCATTCATTGAGCAAATTGCTTTACCTTGTGCATCCCGACGTTCTTCCGTCCGAGTCTGAATCGCATCCCAATTATTTCTTTATTAAAACCATAAAACTCGAAAAACAAATCAGAAGAAAATGTACTAAACTTTGTTCACTCCACTTTTGATTCTGCAGACAATTTAGTTTATGTGGTTTCGCATGAAAGATCACCACTGTCTGTATTTAAGAGAATTTGAGATAGGAGAACTGATACTAATGACGAACATCTTCCTATACAAAACTGCTGTCAGTTGTATGAGACTTTTATCAAATTTTTGTAAAACACTGCTGAAAAACTGCTAATGTCGTAGTTTAATATTGAATAACGGGTTTAACAGATGAATTGTTCACGAAAATTTCAACAAAAGAGACCACTTTTTGTATTGTGGCTAAAATTATAATGTATACTAAAATAATGTCCGTTTAATCGTGATATTGCTAATGTTTCCGTGAAAGATATGGGGCTACGATTTATATGCGATTATTGTTATAGTTTAAGGAATGATGCGATTAACACGATGCTACTTGCCCAACGTGCTGAATGAAACTGAAAACTGGCTTTCATGTAACCATTTCCTTCACCTTTGCTAGTTTTACTTTTCAAATTCACACGTTTAATTTTACCACAAATTAAGTATACGTGGTTCTTATTACAAAGAAATATTGTACAGATATAATAGGTCTCAATAACCTGTGTAGAACTTATTAGATACTACGGCGAGCTTATGTACATGGGTTACCCATGCACAGGGCGTGATAATCATCGAAATATTGTGCATATCGTGGGTACTTCAAATTTCGGAAAAATTACAACTGCGTCTGTAATGACCACTTGAAGCAATGAACAATCCCTAAAAAGTGCACATCTGAAAACGTGTGATACAACAAACTATAGTCAATAATGGATTCTTATATATACATAATAATACATTCCTTTCTTGTAAGGTATGTATGCATGCATATATGTATGTACTTGTGTGCCTGATTGGTTAATTTCTTTAAAAATCTGCCTTGCGATATTCATTATTGTTCCATAAAAGTACAAATTGATTGAAAATAAAATCGTTGGTCGTAATTATATAAAAATTCTAACGTAATGTTGACCACAGTGCATGTGTAGCAATTTGGGTTTTAATTGTTGTCATTATTATTGTCGCGTATGTGTACAGAATTCTGCAAATTGCATTCAGGGCTCAATTGGACACAATGGATGCTATCTCTCCTCAAATGTTTGACATAATGTTTTCATTTCTGACACCTCCGCTGAGCGTTTCTCCTTTGTTTCCCGTGACGTTGATTTGACATCTTTCCCTGTTAGATTAGTATCATGCGAATTTGGAAAAAAAATTAAGAAACCAACAGAAACCTTTCTTTTGTAGTTGGACATGTTGGTCAATTGTATCTGTTTATATTTGAAAAAAATCCTTTTGTTTGTTTTTACGTAATTTGAAACATTTGGGGAACGGGTAGACAGACAATTTCAATTTCTTTATTAGATTTCGGCAACTTTTTCAGCTTGTATTTCGTTTAGTTTATGTAAAGTCGTCGCTGATACATTTAAATTTCTATCTATAGTCTAGACTCTAGAAAATACAGATCATGTACACGAGAAGAGCTGCTACTTGGGAGGACTTTTTCATTTTTTTCGAAATTGATATTGCCTGCACGTGTCACATAACTTGAGACGGAAGCATTGCACAAGTTCTCAAAGTTATGTGACATCCCGTATTCAACTCATTATGGGTTTTACTCCTTGTTGTTACTGAATCAATTAATTTTATAAATTGAATTGTCCCACGAATAAATGTTGAACTACTTTATATTGACTCTTGTAGCAAAACAAATACAGCTTTCATTCAGAAGTCGAGTTTAATGAAATGTGAAATAAATCATTTCATCAAAGGATATTTATTTACAACTAACAAGTCGCTCAATTTTAAATAATAAAGTGCTTATGGGTTTATATGCGTTTTTCTTCACATCAACAAACCTTCAATTAAAACCAGCAGTAATTACTATAAAGTATTGTCAATTGTGGCACATTTGCTTTCTTCACGTACGCATGCATACATAACTCGTTGTCGTCGTCATCCTCTTTCATGCGTGTTTGCATTATTACGTTCATTATGTAAATTCTGTATCCTCCCATTTAAAAGGGGGGTGGTATTATTTGTTGGGTGACGTTGTGAGATGGGAAGTGGAAACAAAGATTATCTAGTTTTTAATTGCATTCAGATACGCTAAATAGAATTAATATGAAAATGAGCCTTTCGGCAATTCCGATTGCTTTAGGCTTTGTAGCTTCATAAGTAATTACTGTTCTCTGTAGTGAAATGTTTACTGAAAATCCTGCAATGCACTTACAATTGTTATTAATATCCAAGTAATTTGACAATTCATTTGATAATTACCGATTCATTGGGTAGATGCTTGCGTATATATGTACCTACTTATCCATACAGGTCTATTCCTTTAGATACCTGTTGTTTAAGAATACAAAATTATGTCAACATTACATACCTATTTTCCCCGTATTACAGGGAGAGCTACTTTTAACGTCACAACGCTTTATTAGGATTAGAAGTTGCACAGTCAAACCAAACCAAACTTCATACATGGAAAGTTATTTATGGGCAAAGCAAATCACAGTTGTCGCGAATCGTGAGAAAATCTCTAAAAGTGTTAATTAGCGAAAATTAGTAATAAGTTATTTCGAGTCATACTGGTTGAGTTACTGTATTCAAACTCCATCGGCCTACACGTATGTACAATGTACACATGTATTATATGTACATGATGTATGACGATGAATGACAATAATTTTTACGCTTGTTACAAATACTGTGGCTTTGGCCTATCTATTGCTTCCTTCCTATAAATATTTAAACTGACTAGACGGCTAGCTAGACACCTTCCTGGCTATGTATGATTAATCTGATAATTCAAGTGTTGTCAGAATTGTCAGCAATTAGTCAATTCAAATGAACTAATTGATAAACCCTTACAATTAGTGTACAGAGGGAGCAAATATGTCAAGAATGTGTGTCGCATCAGATATGTGATTCGGTACAAAAAAGGATACTTTGTTGTTGCTTGTCAGATTTTGGATGTTTTGTTAATTGACTCACTTCTATACCGTCAAGTGAAGTATTTATGTACCAAACACAAAATTAATATATTAAATTTGATCCAGTTCAATCAAATATGGTAAGCATTGCCATATTTTAAATATGGTGATTCTTTCTTCAAATAAATATGTATATACGTAAGTAGATCAATAAGAATGGATGCGATAATGTGATTGATATTTTTATTCCAAAAATATCATTACAAACAATTGAATAATGTCACGTTGCGTTGCGAGTGTCATCAACTCGAGTCAACAGCGGCGTACAGTAACAAAGTATCAGTTTATTTTTTTAAGATTTTAAACTTGTTGCAATGCATAAATCTAGGGTACTCATGAACCTATGTATGTAGGGCAATAATAAAATCGTGATCCATTACTACGTAAATACATAAGTCATCTAAGGATAAGTTAGGAAAAATCTTTATTCAACTGGTTTGAGCAATTGACTGCAAAGGGAATAATTTTATATTACGCCCAAACATGAAATGTCACATTAAACCCATTTAAACTATAATTAACATTTTTAAATTGAGACTTTGGGGTAAATGTAATATGTACATAAATAAATGTACGCACAGCATTCCTTAAGAAAATTTACACACCGCAAAAATTTTAAACTTCAATAATTTGATATGGTACATATAGGGTTGCGAGATTGTTGAAAGTTAATTAACAGTTACACATTTTATGTGGTCATTAATGCCATAAGTGACACTGGGGATAATATTCTTGAATTTTAAATTACACACAAAATGTGTGATCAGTAACGAGTACTGGGTCGTAGGTCAGTCCACATCGTCCATATTAAATTGGAATATTATCACATGTCCATTAATCCACAATTTTGAGATAAATACGTGCACGAGATAAAAGCACATGGTCATAATAGCCGATATACATACGTATCAATGTATGTGTGTATGCTAGATGTCAACAAGAACTATCAATGGTCAGTTTCATTTACATAATGTCACGAGTTTCTGTCTATCTGATTTTGGATGTCATTATATAATTCCTTAAAAAATTCAAGGTTTTCAACTTTAAGAATTATTTCTTGGTTCATGAAAATGAAAAACGGCGATGTTAGGTAATTTAAAATAGTTCGCTTATTATGGTTGCACAATTTATCACATCGAACAAAATATGAATGCACCTGCAACCTGCTTCACCTATATTTCGTCCATTGTTTGCTTGTTTATTAGATAAGCAATTTTTAACTAGATCACAATTTGTAGTAAGTTACATTGCATCAAAACTGACAAGATCACCACGAAAATTATTCCATTAATCTCACGATTACTGACCATTGACAGGATTATTGTTTTTCGCGACATGAGGCTTTTAGAAGTGTATGACTAAATCTTGCTTTTTGGTCAGAGTCAACAATGCGCAATAACTCGTAAAATGCCAGAAACTGCCTAATTTTGAAAAAATGAGTCAAATAACAACAGAGTACTAAGCACACATAATTGAGGATCACACAAAAAAGATTTAATGTACGTAAGATATGCAACCAAATTATTTACTTACATTTATTACCTATAAATAGGTGAAAAATGTATCAATTTTGCATATATTACTATACGTATGTTCATACACCAAAGTAAAAGAAAAAGGTTGAAAGATCTGTGCGTTTACATTACAACAGATGCATGTATTTACATGTATAACACCAACCGTACAATTCAGTCAGATTGACATGTTTACTTGGGTATAGGAACCAGATTATCTTGTCTCTAGGTCTTTAAAACCTTTCTCGACTAATTTGATAAACCGTTAATTCAACCTTCGATGGTACAGTCACTTTGAGACTTGATTTAAATATTTTGATCATTGATTTAAATCGGTGTTTGATGACATGTTGCTTGAGACACATGTTTATTTGTGCGAGCTATCGGTATTCCTATAGAATTCCTTCATAGGCAAATACAGATAATTAAACTTTGTGGTAATTAAGGTGTCATTAGTGTGGTAAGTTGTGGGAAGTAAAAAGAAAAGCGATTCCGGTGTAAATTCATCATTTCATACATAATAGGGACTCCCAACTTTGTAAAAAAATCGCTTTTTTCGCTCTTTTCTCAAAACGCTTTTTTGTCAATTGCGATGCAATTTCGTTCTTTTTTCACTCTTTTGGTCCAAAAATAAAATTATCTTAACCTTGATTTTATTTTTAAGCAAAAATATTGGAAAAAATTTCGAAATCACATGCGGAATTGAGAAAAAAGCGTTTTGTGAAAGAGCCAAAAAAGCGATTTTTTTACAAAGTTGGAACTCCTTAATATTGATAAATGGTATACGTATATGTAACACTGCACAACAAGCATCCACACACCATGGTACGAGCAACGACTCATTGTCCGTTATTGAGAATTCATGAGCGATTTACATATGTATGTACATCAAAGCTTACTACAAACTTACGAAATATAATATCCATTGTTATAGTTCGTATACACTAGGGCCCACATTTTTGGCAAAATATGAGTTACTCCATTATATATTTTTTTAAGATGAGCTTGATTTTAGTTAGCTAAATAGCAGTTTAATTTATTCGACGGAAATACAAAATGATTCCTGTACGCTCAGTTTGAGACACTTTCATTTCATTCGAGTTGTTAAATATTCACATATTTATTTACTTCTCGATGCCACTAATCGACTCTTGTGTGTGTCTTCCTCAGGTATTGTTTAATGCTAATGGTTATACCGACCGACCGACGTAGTTATTTATTATTGCTAGTGATGATTATGTCGAGAAACAGTGAACCTTTGAACAATGGAAATTGAAGACCGGAAGAAATGTAAAAAAAAATGAGACAGAAAGTATTACTCACTCGAGTTGTGAGGATTTTTTTATTATTAATTCTCTTGATTTCATTACGTGACGTTATTATGTATGCTGCTTAAAAATTACAACAATGAAAACTCTACAGAAATATAAAATACTAGTAGCTTAAATTAAAAATCTAATTAAATGCATACATATTTTTAAGTCATACATATCAAAGTTATCTTACTTAATTTATTTTTCTTACTCCCTGACGATTACTTTATGACGGGGCTCCTTTGATTGAAATCGAAGGATATGTTTTGTGTGATTAGGTAATATTGAACTTAATTAATTTCCATTGTAATGGCTGACTAGTTGATGAGAAATGTATGTGGTTTTTGCTCCAGATGTGAACCTATAAAGTTAGTTTAGTTAACATAGATATTAAATAAGTCTGTCAAGTTTCTGATTTTCTCAAAGATTTGGCACTTTATGCACAGACCAAGACTGTACTTCAATTTCAGCCTACATATATAAATTAAATATCTTATCAAAATTGATGTTAATGAAGTTATTTCCTGTCAGGAGGGCAAATGAACAGAGTGATTTGTTGCGTTATAAAATATTGATTTACTGATCAATTAATCTGTGCATTAACATTACAAGAGAAATATGGAGTGGTTTTAATAGGGGTTATTAATGCAATCATCCTTATTTATTTAGCATTTACGTTTGCATTAACTAAAAGTTAAGTATTCTTAATGCACGCATACACATGTACTTATATAGATAGCTTTAAAATTAGCAATTACGAATCAAATTATAAGATCATATTACAGAAATATCGCTGTATATGGCACAGCTAATCAGAGTCTTCGTCTGACCCTTTAGGTCGCTGTCGTTCCTCCAAAGCTTTCTTTATCGTTCCTGCCAACTCGTCGAATTGTTGAAGTGACGCCGCAACCGTTGAATCTGATGCGACTTCAATAAGCTGAAATTTCCATAATATGCATGTAAGCAATAATGAGTAAACTAAATACAAAACTCAACACAGTTGAGTATGCAAATATGTGGATCTAAAGAAGGTGGTGAGAGAAAAATATGTTTGCATACCATCGGTTTGCTTTTGACATGACGAATCAGTCGTTTCCAAATACGCTGCATCTTTTCGAATAGTTTGTACTCCACGGGCAATCTAGTTTTGATATCCGCTGCTCGAAAATTGGGTTCGATTTCCACCAACCAATCTTGCTGAAGTTTAAACCACTAAAGTATCAGACATATGTACATATTATGAGCATACAATAGTTTGTGTATTAACCAGTTGCCTCCCAAGCACATGAATGTCATGTGCTGCACAAAACGTCGCTAAGGGCCCAAGTACATCAAAGTCGTGTAATTCTTGTACGGTAACCATGCGCCCAAGTACATCAATGTCGTGTGATTTCAAAAACAAAATCTATCGCCCAAGCACATCAAAGTCGTGTAATTCCAAAAACAAAATTGTCCGCCCGAGCACATCAAAGTCGTGTAATTTTTTTTAGCCCGAACCAGGGCTTATGTGATCGTCATGTCCGTCTGTCTTTCGATAACTTTCGAACGAGTTGACCGATTTTAACCAAATTTGGTGCAGACATGTATATGCAACGACCGAGTTCGAAGATGGGGTTCGATGAGAAAAGATTTGGATCGGTGGGTATTAGGCACCTAAATCTCAAAATTGTGATAGAAAGCTGAAATTTGGCACGGAGCGTGCTAATGGTTCCTAATAGAAGAATATAAAGCGAGATTGGAAAATTTTTCAACCGGAAGTACCGGAGAGGGTATGACCAATACCGATTTTTCAAAATCATCCAATCGAGCTGAAATTTTGTATAAAGGCTGCTTATGGCCCCTAATGGAAGAATATGAAGTGAATTGGTAAAATTTTCATCGTCCGGGACCCGTTGGGGTGACCCATACCGATTTTCAGAACTTGTCGGAAAAAAGCTGAAATTCAAAACAGTGATACTTAATGGCTTCTCATGAAATAATATGAAGTCAAATACGAACAAAAAGCAACTATAAGTTAAAGTCACCCCAGAGGGGGTGACCCATACCGATTTCTATGAGTTATGTAAGAATTAGTGCAAAATAGTATCACAATTGTATAGAAAATTTCATTGTGAAAAACCTATCAGTACAGGCTGTACTGATAGGTTTTTCACAATGCCAATACTGCCCCAGAGAACGCTCGACTTACTTCTTCACTATCTGCACATGTTTATAAGTTTGAGAAAAGTTTAGGTCAAATATTTGCTATTGATAATAAATACTTGATCGTAATATACTAGCCCCAAAAAACTCCAGCTTTATAGAGATTATTTACGGAAATTCCAACATATCTGTACAGCTTTGCTTAGCCCGAACCAGGATTGATTAGCAAACCCATGTTTGTCAGAATGTTGTACCATTTTTCACTAATTCTTGCATTAACTTAACGTCACTTGGTAGTATTACTTGGCACCAAACCAAATACCACGAGCAGTAGAGGCTGTTCGCATAAAAATTTCGAAATTCAACCCTCCTATATTTTAATTCTAACTTTTTTTTCGACTCCGCACTAAATTTTATCTGAATATATAAACTCTTAGAAATCGGTATGGGTACCCCTCTGGCTACTTTTTGTTCCTCTTTGACTTCATATAATTTCATGAGAAGCCATTAAGTATCACAGTTCCGAATTTCAGCTGTTTGCGACAAGCTATGAAAATCGATATGGGTCACCTCAACGGGTCCTGGCCTTTAAAAATTTTACCAATTTCACTTCATATTCTTTCATTAGGAGCCATTACCAGCCTCTGTACCAAATTTGAGTTTTCTACGACGATTTCGAAATTTTGGTGCATAATACCCCACCCACTCCGATGACCCCCACAGGTCAACCACTGGACCGATGTCGCCCATCTTCGAACTCATTTCCTAACTTTGTCCAATCTGCATATGGTAAAAATTTCAAGTCAATCGGTTAACTCGTTCGAGAGTTATTTTAAAGACAGGCAGGCAGACAGACAGACAGACAGACGGACGGACATGACAATTACATAAGCCCTGACTCGGGCTAAAAATTGCCTTGGCAAACAAGCAATCAAGCAATGATAAGTAAAATAATTTCTATATGTCAAATTATCAGTATCAACTCTGCATTAATTTGGGCGCTAGCGTACGTGTCATAATTTCATATCTTGGACCGCATTGGAAATGATTGTCCAAGAAAAATGGTACAAGGATCGCGAAATTCGAAGCGTTATATTGGGGGCTTAGCAACTATTTTATGGCTTCAAATGTGGCAGGCAACTGGTTAATGCAGAGTATACGAGATTATTTAATATTTGTAATCTATACCAGTTCCATGCTGTTCTTGGCCATATTAATCTTACGTTCCCACTTAGCCAGCTCTTCATATTAGATTTGATAATAATGATGATACTTAATTCTTAGACAAATTATTTATCAATAATTTAGTACATACCTTCCTCAAACGGTGGGTTAAAAGGATTTTCCTTGAGTTCCTCAGTTTTCTTTACGTATTCTTCCACGATTTCTTTGGATTCGTCAGACATGGAAATGTAATGTTGTTCTGTGAATTAAATAATGGCTTATTTAATCCACGAAACTTGAATACACAAATACGTACATTCCTTATGACGTGGTGAAAACATACTTGAAACGGAATCCAAGCTGAATGTTACTTCATACTCTGCAATTTTCTCTTGCATATTTTCTAATGCGACTTCAATCTCCAATTCTTTAGTAGCAAGGTCTCCAATATCCACAATCCTTTGACAATAAGTAGCAATTCCCTGTTCTAACAGATATTTAAAGTTTTCGGTTTTTGCAACCACTGGAATTCCTGTAAATTTAAAGCTAGGAGTTACAAGGTGCATAAATGCGTAATATGCACAGTCCAGCTTTTTTCAACCTGTGATGTCTGAAATTGCTTCCCAATGTCGAGATCTCAACCCATCATTTCTCAGAGCACGCATAAGAGGAGCAAGAGGAAGAAATTCGTCCATCTTTTCTTTTACTTTGACTGCTATTGCCTTTGTTATTGCAAATATTTCAAATAAAATATAAACTATAAAATTGCTATTTAAGATTTTCCAGTAAATATTTATGCTGAATAATGAACACTAAATCAGATTATGCATGTACCTGCACTTTTGACAACCCAGCTTCTCCAAAGTGAATGGCACATTGGGAAATTTTGTCCACTCCTTGGTTTATAACGAATACAAGAGCATCAATATCTACTTCTTCCAAAGTGGCGTTGTTAACGGCATCAATAACTTTCAGCCAATCTATATATGTGCACATGAATACTAACAACTATTGTACACCCAACAAAATATGTGGATGTTTATGTATTTATCATATATAAAACAGACTGATAAGCGCATACCAACACAAGTAAACCATAAATCGTGATATGGCTGAATTCCCGTCAAAATGTTATCCAGCTCATCCTGAAGAAGCGATGGACATCCGAATATTTTTTGGCGTCGGTTTAGCAAGTTACACTGCTCCTGAAACCCTTTTTCTTGTTCCAACAGCTTGTCAATTTGTTCGCACACTTCTGTAGCCTGCTCCAAATCGACGAATTCGGACAAAGCAATAACGCCATACGACAAAGCTTCCACTTCTGAGCTCAGGGCGTTCAGTTGTTCTTGTTGAAGGTCTAAGGACCTGTCGTAATCATCAATTAGCCAGTTAACAGCTGCCTTGCTGAGCCTCATGATGGTTCCAGCATATACTAGTGTGTTCCATTTGGCAAACACATCTTCATCGGGGATATTGTACAAGAAACGGTCGAAAACTGTGTAGTCGTTGATGACACCAATTGTAATTTCTTGCAGCTTTTCTACTTGTGCAGGTACTGCAGCTACGTAAAACTTAAGTTCCTTCACTTCCTCAATTATGTTGGAACGAATGTTTAATTTACGTTCCATTTCTTCATATTCTTCATTAACCTGCAATAGCACAGCAATTAGGAAAAAATCAGTCTTTAGCAAATTTCTCCGTAATATGTATAGTTTTATTACTATTACAAATTAATAAACTCACCCTCTGGATAATCTTTCTTAATTTTTGAGAATGTGCATCAAGAATTGTGGTGTACATATTTTTCTTCTTATGCAACAATTCGGTCCGGAGGATCTCAACATTAACGACAAATCCAGTGATACTGATAAATTTTGGAATGTCTTTTTCATAAACTGCTTCCTGACTTCGATGCAACTCTACTTCAGAAGCAACTTCTTCAGCCGTATGACGCTTAACATTCCATTCTCTGTATGAAAATAATAAAGCTTTTTCATTGCAACTAAAATTAAAATCCCAAATTATGTTTTTTTTCTAACTTGAGAAATTCTTCAGTGTTCCAAATTGTTAGATATTTGTTGTACAAAAGCACATAAGTGTCAATTGGTAGTAGAGTTCGCTTCAAGTACTTTTGCATCTCCTTGCTCAGACGTTGCATTTCCGGTTCGCCTTCTTCAGGACATAGAAGAAATGGTCGTGTTGCAAACTGCATCTGCGGCATGACTTTCGGTAAAAGCTGCAATCAATATTATTAAACGATACGAATGTCATTCTAATAATAATCAAAATGCAAAAATGATTCCACTTGATTCAGATTTAGCTATGAGTTTACCGTCGGCAGGTCCTTCACTGCCTCCACAACCCGAGTAAACAAATTTTTGACCACTGTAGAAAAATCTCCAAGCTTGTGGTTGTATCTCGCAGAGTCAGCTTCCATTACAATGTCGATAGTCCACAAAGGAGGAACTCCTTTTGGTGGAGGATAGAGTGAATTAATCAAATCTCTTTTATCCCAGGCGAATCTTCGCTTGTAATTAATTTCACTTGTCACTTCCTTAAGTCGATTTATAAACTTTTCCAGAGCTTCGGTTACCATTGATCGAATAGTGTCCTGCCCATAAATAAATAGCAATAGCAATACCGGATTATTCTAAACTCGGGATAAGGAATATCATTAACTACCTCCATCATTAACTTGATTAAAGTCAAATAGTTGTTTAGTTTAGACATGATGAATATTTCATAATTGGTCTCCTTCAAGTTGTACCATGAGTGTGGGATTTTTCCAAGATTCTCGACTAATACATTGACAACAAGTTGACACCATTCTTCCGTTAAGAACTTTCGAACCTAGAAAACAAAATGGTTTATGCGCATTATGGATACAGACATATGTAGCAGTGTGAAAAACTACGTTTACATGTAAATAAAAATAATGACTTGACTATTTTGCAACTGATTCGAGCGAACCTCTTTAATGTTTTCAATCTGACGACGCTCCCATTCATCAATTTCCATGAGTTCTAAATCCGTCAAGATCAAAAATTTTCGCCTGGCATCCAAACAAATCTCACGGATTTTGTTGAGAGCTTCTCTGGGTTCCTTTTCTCCAAATCTGACCGACAGCTTTTGGACTCGGAGTTTTTTATAAGCAAAAACCTGGATGGGAACGTCTATTGATATTTCTTGAAGACGTTTCCACTCGGTTGTCGAATCTTGGGGTAGCATATAATAATAATGACGATCTTGCTCAGGGATTGAAACCCACGGTTTGTAAAGATGATGATGTTTGTCAATTATTTGGATGAACTTGGCTTTTGCAAATGTTCGCTTATACTCCAATTCAATCTCTTTCTTGACCTTAGATAAATGTGTACATATGTATTTAAATGGCACCCACTAATAAAATTCTGAATTTTTGTTACCTTCTCCAACGACTTATCTGTATACTCCAACCTCGGCGTACTTAATGTTTTTGCTAATATGATGTCCATAACTTTCTCACTGATTGAAGGTAAGCCATCCACAGGCAAACAGTCAACATAGAGGTTAAATCGCATAATGTTTTCCCACTCGATACGCCGAACAACAGCATCCCGAACTCTCTTTCCATGTTGGTTAGGATCCTCGCCATCAAAACAGAGATATATTTTAGGCACCCATGCGTGCACTATGGGGGCATAAATACTTCGGACGTAGAATCGTTCTGTCTTCTCGTTGTAATCAAACACAGCCACGTCCACCCACTTCCAGTCATGAATATGGACTTTCTTCATCTTGTCAAATTCAATGACAAACTTGGTGTGTCCATCGATGAATGAGTCAAAGTCGGGACTTGTGGGGCGAACTTGACCATAGTCTCCTTTTAATATTGCTTCGGATGGGAGGCCACTCCACTCTTTGGAATCCTCTTCCTCCTCGTCCTCGTCCCCTTCTTCATCGTCAATCTCCTCCTCCTCAGCATCCGTCTCTTCGTTACGTTGTTCACCATCGAGCTATATAAAAATACAGCTGTAATATTAGCTACATATGCATCATCATCAAATAGTTTAATAAATGTGTGTGGTATCTATATATTTGCATAATGCTTTATACCTCAAATTCGGGAATGGTTTCAGGCGCTTCGGTTTCATCGTGCAGTACGACTCTATTCGTTATAAAGAAAAATACCATTTTATACATATTTAACCATTTAACCATTTTATACACATTCATACGGTTGACAAAAGTGTGTGACAACACTCACACATTGCTTTGATCTGTGACGTCATCATAATTGTCGTCCTTCTCTTCATCCTCCATCTCTTCAGATCCTTTCATCCTATCTGCCCTTTTCTTTTGAATAACATTTTTTACAGGGATGAGAGTTCCAGCAGAGTCGATGAATTGCATGGTATCATTGTAATTTTGGATGTCTGTGGGTCCTCCTTTATTTTGATCAGATGCAGAATCCCCGGATGAATTAACTAATTGCTCTGCATCCATTAAACTGAGCATAGAGCCTTCCGTTTTTCTTGCAATATGCATTTGTCGGGACAAGCGAACTTGCATCGTAATTCTTTCTATGATACGAGTATCCGATGTTCGAAAAAGGGAAGGCACAGTAGATCCCAGTCGGGCTAGGAGACTAAGGTCAAATTCGCTAGGGTTGTTTTTCACTGTTGGTGTTTAAAGTACATCAAGATTATTTAAGTAATGTATGTACATATATGCACGTAAATAACGAGGGTAATAACTCGTTATTCATAAAGTTATTATAACTATTGATAACAAGCATACCTTGACTGGGATCAAGACCCAGCATCCTCACAGTTCTCTCAAATCTAAATCATTCATACATGTGTACATATGAAATATGCTTGGGTCAACTCAACCTCGCCAATAACCAATCTCGGGATTGTATTTCATGATTTATTTATAAAATCTCACCTTTCCTTGAGCAGCCACTGATACATCCTATTCAACCTGGGTGTTGCGGTTAGCAAATGGTCAACGACAGTTTCGGATAAGGCTGGACTTTTTTTCTTTGCAGCCCCAGCCGGAAGTGGTAGAAATGCTTTGCCAGGAAGAGGATAGAATCGCTTATCTTTAAAATCTAACCCCAATTGAATCCATTCTTCAGGTGGTCGAATGTCGAAGGTACAATTATCAAAACAGTTGATTGGAAACTGTGGAGAGTCAAACGCAAAGTATGAAATATTTATTGTCCAGTTAATATTATTAAAAGTTAACGAATTTCCTAAAAATAAGTGCCACAATGACAAGGGCACTCTTTTTTTTATCACACTCGCTGTACCAGCTAAGATATTCTAAAGTGAAGTCGAAGTGCTTGAAGTCATGGTTGAAGCGACAGGAGACATGCCAACATAACGAGGTAAATATGTACATACAACAAAAAGTGACCAACCATGTGACCGAATGGAGGTTTGGATCGGATGAAGGGATGGATATCATCGAGATGGTGATCTTTACCGGCCTTTTCATGCCTATGCTTGTCCATTGTTGGGATTGTATTTTCTCCCGAAGGATTTGAATTTGAGGTGGATGGGTTAGAATCTTCAGACGAGGGATATGAAAGCGATGATCTCCCATCTTTTGGAGCGTGCAAATGAGTGTGCACTTGATGTTCGTCTTGAAAATCTTGGAAATTCCTGGCAATAGAGACGCATATTATGTGCATAGGTAAATATGCATGCACGTATGTAGTGAAATAAGCAAACACTTTTTTCCTTGGACTATAAAATCTCTCTTAAATACTCCATTCACTCGGACTCGGTTTCTAAAAGTCATTTCCTGATAAAATCTTTCATTTGTCTCGGCATAATTTGGAGGTGGAATTAAATCGGAACTTTCAATTCCCAGACTTTGCAACACGACATTTATATCCGTCCGTTTATATAGACGATGAAGCCGTTCACAAACTACGGCTTGGGGTACTTGTCCAGCTCCACCTTTGTATGGAACCTGTCAAAGTTGTAGCAACGAATACATGCGTATTTATTATCTAAGGATTTACATGACTATGAACTGTTGCTGATGTCAAACAAATAAACAATGTTTACACCAACCTGAACTTTTGGGCGGTATGTTCTGTACGGAAACAGGAACTCGCCCTTATTCACCCAAATATTGTCGTAAATAATGGACTTTCTCCTCCCAACAAAAACTTTCTTCTTTCTTATGACACCATCAGCATGCGTGAGATCTTCATCGTCCAATCCATCGTCATCAGGTCCAACACGTTCACGATTTAATTCTAGATGAAAGTCGTCAGAAAGTGGAACTTGTCCTGGAAGTTTACTGTACTCGTAAGTTGGAGCCTATATAAATTGCAATGCTTCCTTTTACTATTATTTGAGGAGCAAGAGATATGCATAAGATGCAATTCAAATCTGACCAATTTCGTGTCTGGCATTCTGTGGGTCTTGGTGAAGCGCACCAATCCCTCCTGAGAATCTTTCTTTGTCGAAAAGAGAAACAGGTCCAAGGGAAGCCCAACTGGCTGTCCTTCCTCGTCAACTGCGAAATTCATCGACATTTTCTTCCTCTTATTGTCCCCCTCTGTCCCATTGTTCGATATCATTGCTGTGGTTCCATCATGGTCTGTCCCGCCCTGTTCTGCCATTGTTGAAGGGGCAGTAGATTCAGACATCATTAAAGTTACTGAAGTGGTTAAACAGCTATGTCGGTTTTAGAGGTTTTTGCTGTGACTTAATTCAGTTAAATGCGGTATATAATTACAATAGTGAAATTAAATTTCATGCATCGATGTCGGTTTTTAGTGAATTTCAAGGTCCTGAATTTTACTTAGTTACGTGTCTACATATGTAGACACGTAACTAAGTAAAATTCAGGACCTTGGTGAATTTGTATTACGATTTTGTAACCTCAACTTTTCAAGAAAGAAATATCTTTGGCTGGACTTTAAAAGATCCTTGGAAACTAATTATCCTCTACGACTTTTCTCCTCCAGCGAATCAGTATTGCAGTTCAGCGTGGCAATGCTGCTTCAATTGTAGGAACTCTCCCACCAGGAAAGAAGTTTAATGAAATGTATTATATTTAAAACTGCATTTTAAGAATTATTATTATTCAACGAATTGTCCTTTTGAACTTAATTTGTATTAATGTAATAAAACTACTTATTTGTTTAATAATAATAATAAAAAAAATTATCCTCTATTCTACGATTGTATCTGGTCCTTATCTAATAAAAGTTTCTCACAGAAAAGACGAGATCGACATATTTTTTCATTACGAAACATTGCAGCACGTTCTTGAAACGTAACCAGCGATGTTAGCTGGAATAAGTTTCTATGCTATTAATTTTAGGATAACGCGCATGGCATTATCCAAATTGCAGGTCTCCACAAAAATGTGAAGGGTTTTCATATGTTTTAGATATCTATAACTACTTAAAAGTATAATGAAGATTATCCATTTTAAGGATACGGGGAAAACCACCCATCATATCATGTGCATATCGGTAAGTCAAGAAATATATGTATGAATGCACGTTGAACAGGGTCACAATACTATTTGAGAACGGTTCTCGAACCACCAAGTGACGTCAATCAATCATCGAGCCATATAAATCGAACCATATATCTACTTACATGTTTATAAAGTAGACATACTGGCATTACAAGGCAAATTTCCCAATATTGTTGATTGGAATTTTGCGGAATTCAATTCGATTTATAGAACTTATCTTATTTTTACAAAAGTGCACATATGTATGCGAATGTTCAATAATTGCATTGCAGTATAAAAATAATCTTTTACAGCCGATTGGATACATTAATATCTTGGAAGGTTGGCATGTGATGATTGGCTAAATTGTAATCTAATTGTGCAACAGCAGTCTGTCAAAATAATCAACAGCATGAACAAAACTGCATACAATTGAGAAACTGGGTATTATTGGGTACGCTGTGCACCCCCACAATAAATACAGACATAAACACGTATGCACATGTGTATGTGTCAAGTGATCTAAATCTAAGTTTGGGGTTTTAAGTATGTTAATGCACTTGGCTTATCGGGTTGGGCGAAGAGTGAAGGGCGATGTTCACCAAAGTTACATCCAAAGGTCCAGTCGCTCCCGAGCTCAAGTGGGTTAAATATGTAGGCTCGATGGATTATTGCAGATTATCAGATTATGATGGATTAAGGGTGTGAACAGCATTAACAAAACGGATGACTTTGCCTCTGATTCAGAATTTTCGCTAATAAGACAACTTAAGTTATGAACCACTAGCTTTGTTTCGTCCTCTCAAATTAATTTAAAAAAATTGAATTCTAACGAGTAAATGAAAAATTGACAATTTAAAGACCAAATTCTTCGACATTTCAAAAATATAATATGATGGAAAAGATATTTAGAGCATAATATGATGTGATATGCTGTCTATGATCTAAAATGTAAAATCTACGTATTGTAAAATATCTATTAATGTAAAAATTCACATGAGGTGACCTAATTGGAAGGACTTTTGTATATAAAATCAATCAAAATCAGCGAGAATCATTTTCACCTATGCTTTGTTTAGGGGTATAATTTTAATAGTTTTATTACAGAGGTCCACTCATGGGTGCAAATGTCAAATATGAGGTGGACGCTGAGTATCATCTCGTTGTGTGTGATAAGCGTTGTAAGCACTCCCGGTTGGGTCAGTAAATGGACTTTGGTAGAAAAATGGGCATTTGTTCGGGTATAAAATGCATCCTAAAACTGCAGAGGAAATCAGTTCGAGCTTAGCTGCCACCAAGAAACAACACCCAAACAACCAAACTCTAATTTTCCACAAAAATCTGCTGAAATGAAGGTCTGCGCCCAATTGGTGATCTTGGCAGCCGTTGCTGTCGCTGTTTTTTCAGCCCCAGGTAAATAATTTCGACCGAGTGGAAATTATGAGGTTTTTTTTTACTTAAAAAAACTTTTCCGGGGCTTTGTGAATTTATAAAGACATGCAAATTTGTTAACAATGTCATTAAAAATGAAAAAGTTTTAAATATAATAGATTTCGTTGAATTTTTTTCCTGGTGGGAGGGTTCCCAGGATTGAAGCTATATTCCCACGTTGAACTGCAATGCTTAATCGCTGGAGGAGATAATTTCTAATCTAAATTACATGTAAAATTAGAAAATATTTACAAAATTTTACTTTTTACAACCTCAATTCAGGCTAACTGGCCAGAGGTTGAACGTTTGGCTGCTGAGCTCCACACCCTGGTAAGCACTTCCATCCTCACCATCCGAACCACTGCTAACGACGACAATCCTACCGTTGGTCAAACGATTGGGGAAAAACTGGACGCTGCCAGCGTTGAAGCCACCGTAATTCTCGAAGCTGCTATGCAGGAGATTGCTGATCGAACCTTAACTGTTCCTACTGCCCAGGGATATCTGCAGGGTCTGCAGGCCCTTCTTATGCAACTCCAACAGGATTTGCAGGCTGATGTTAACCAACTTTCTCTCAACGCCCAGAACACCATTCGTAGTACGTTTGCCTCTGCTTACAACAGGGCTGAAGAAATTGCTTATGCGATTTATGCAGCGCTTGAAGCATAATTGAATCAATGTGCTTTTTCGCAGATCAAATCAAACTAACGTCTATTTCTTGTAAAAAAATATAAATTTTTCTGAAATTGAAATAAATTCTGTCAACTTGTAAACTTAACACCTTACTAAAAATATACTTTTATTTGAATCCAGCTAAACTACCATTTACTACATATATATGTCTTACCCTCGTTATAGTGGTACTGGTTGATTTGAATCATAATTACAACTAATGCATAATGCACACACATACAACAAGACTACGATTAGTCGTTTGAACTATACCGTATCCATTAAGATTTATGTAATGTACTAAGCATCGTATGTATGTAGATATACTCGTATGAATACATATAGATTGGTAAAATGTGCGAGTGAGTATAATAAGGAGTAAGGACGAGGATGAGACTCACTGTAAACTGTAGAATCCGGATTTAAAGGCCAATGGTCAACGTTTCGAACCTTCGTTCTTCTTCAGGACCGGAGGGAGAATTTTTGGTGACTGCTCACGGGAAGAACCAATGTGAGTGACACTCACATTGGTTCTTCCCGTGAGCAGTCACCAAAAATTCTCCCTCCGGTCCTGAAGAAGAACGAAGGTTCGAAACGTTGACCATTGGCCTTTAAATCCGGATTCTACAGTTTACAGTGAGTCTCATCCTCGTCCTTACTCCTGAATACATATAGATATGTACATAAAAAAAACATGTACATCAAATATATATTTCGGTATATATGTACTGCATGTAAGCGCTTGCATGAGTATGAATTATGAATTACAGTTTTTAGTCCATTTCTAAGTACGTATAAAAGTAGATTTATTAGCTGTGTCTGATCGTCACCTACATACATATTTACATAAGGAAAATAGTGAAAAAAATTGATTGAGTTAGAAATAAAATAAAGTAAAATATGAAAATTATTGGAATTTACCTGAGTAGCTTTAGTATTTGGAAGTAAACTGACATATTCCTCCAAATTGGCAACCATTCGAGGACCCCCTGGAACAGAAACTTGGAATGGTTTAGTATCAAAAGGGTATCCCATCGGTCTGATATCAGGGTACTTTTGATCCTTAATCCCACAAAGAATTGTACTCATTTTGCACTGTGGTTCTTGCTAAAAATATATGTATGCAGGTGTTTGTATCATGTCAATCATTATTGTTACAAAGACTAATTTATCACATTAAATACCATCAGGTTCAAGTTTTCAGGTGTGTCAATTTCAGCATTTGTCACCATCACAAAAAGATCAAAAACCATTCCTTGAGCATTTCCTGTGGGGAGTAGTAAGTTTGACGGCCAGCCACACCCACATTCCGGTTGTTCATAACTTGGTGGAGAATCCATCCAGTTTTCCAACTTCCAGTTTAAATTTAAATTTGATGATGAGGAATTTCGAGTGACTACAGTTTTCCCGTAATTTACTGTTATGTATATTAATAAAAATTAAGAAGCAACATTTTTTAATACTTGTAATAATACGTTGATTAATTTCTATTTTAGTTTCATTACAATGTACAACAAACGAGTCCATGGCAAAAAATTGCCGAGTTTGCTCATCAAGTGAGAAACGCTGTCCTACTTCATTGAATCTTGGGGCCATGAAAACTCTTACAGTTGCTTTCTCGCTGTTGACGGATGGTTGTTTTTCCTGATAAAAATACCACATTTTAAGCAATTTAACTTACTTAGCAAGAGCACAATTTCAAAAGCAAAAAGATTCGTCTTACAATGGTGATATTATACGTGAACTCGTCGTATTCCAATCTCTTCATACAGTACTCAATGGTTTCGTTGGACATAAAAATATCTTGCTTAATGGGGATTGAAATGGTCAAATTTTTGAAGAATGTTTGTAGTAAATTTGGACTTTCTGAACTTGCAGCCCGGACCGAAATTGACTCAACAGATACTCCTTGCCACAACAAGGGAAATTGGCCCTAAATAAATTGTGGACGTTCACATTTTATACAATACATGAGATTTGTTCACGTAATGATCTAGCTACCACAGTAGGATGGTTTGGAGCCATGTAAGAATGATGTCGGTAGAAAATGTCGTCAACAAGTTTGTGCCACTGGTAAAACACAGGGTCTCGCATCGAAGTAGACGGGTTAAGCATCACACCTCTTGCAGTAAACTGCGTCAACAAGAAAAAATATTTAGGTAAGTAAAATCATGTTTCATATTTATTTTCTCGTTTTAGAGGTACAACATACATTTCCGCCTTCATTAAACATGGATCCAATATGACCGTGTCCAGCGTTATGTATCCCTTCAAACGAATACCTGTCCTCGTTGATATTGTTGATTGATGCCTCAATTAGCTCCCCCAGATAATCGATACCCTTCAAGTCATCCAATGCAACAAACCTTCCGTCCCTCTGTCGTATGAACAAATGGTTTGTGTTTGTTGAGTACAACGACATAATAATTTATGATTTCATTTCATACTTACAGCAATCAACATCCTGTTATTAATATCAGCATAGACAGTTTGCCATAATCGTGTGAAGCGAGTTATATTCTGTAACAAAAAAATTACTTGAAATGTGGTGCAAGTCAGTGAAAATCAAGTATTCAGAATTTTACAATGAACGGCATATTGCTTGGGCGCGGAGGGTACGTAAATTCTGTGGTGCCCTCTTGAAAATGAGGGTCATATCCCTGCCCAACTATTGCACCTTCTTCATATCTCAGTGCCACTACTCGATTAAATCCTTTGGCAAGGCGTTCAGCGTCATATCTTTCTCAAGTGAACAAAATATTTGCAAGTAGGTAAACACATACGCCTTCGAACAATTCATAAAAATTTGCAATTTCTCAAACAGCTCACCTTGCAAGTACGTTACGATGAAAATAGTAAAATAATTCCCCACGCCTATCATTAGTAAGCGTTCCGTTGGGGTTGTCCAGCATTATGGGATGAGTCAAGTGCCAAAAAATATGCTGGGCATTTACTAGCAAGTCTTCTCGAAAATACCAAAATGCGTTTTCTTGCCCATTGTCCTCTCCTACTGTCCCGTCAATTGGAATACATGCCTATTTTTTAAATTAATGCAATTTACCATATATTCGTAAATAATACATTTATGCTAATTCAGAAATTGACTCTGTTTCACCTTTCCAGAGTTTGGGAATAATTGGGTTGGATTGGGTATGCCGATTGTCTTATATCTATCCATCATTAGCCACCAAGGCAAAGGTCGTCTGGTGGCTTCCTCTTGCTGCAGACCATCTTTAGTGGAATCTGTATGCAGTGAAATAAATAAGTATATATTATATATACATGTGCCGTCTATTGAATGTGCTGGTAAGTCATTGAAAAAGGTATACCAATTTTGTCCGAGAAAGTGCAAGTTGTACAAAAAATAAGGAAAATGAGCGCCTTAATTATTAGTCCCATATTTATTATATATGTTGAAGTTTGACGTCCGAAATAGGACTAGTCGTATGAATTAACCGATGGATGCCTTTTATGTGTCAGGTACCCTCTGTAATTGTACAGTGACAATAAATTGAGCAATAATACAGCTCTTTGACACGGGACACAAGATAGCATCATATCTTTCAAGTCTGTCATGGAAGTATACATATTTAATTTATGTATGTAGGTACGAGCTTATATTCAGATAAAGTGTGTAATGTAGCATTTACAAGTGTTTTTAAGTCCATTAGCAAACAGTTAGTCATCGATTCGATCACTTGTCATTGTCGCTTACAGAGTTTATAGTTAGACCCATGACGATGATAAAAAGGCGTGAATGAATGGATATATCTACATGCACATGGGCACTTGAGAACTACATAATTGACGCATGCAAACAAGAAACAAATAAGTAGCATAACTTTGAAAGCGCAAAATAAATACGATTTCAGTGTTTATTTTCAGGGTCAATTTACAACTTTAGTCTACTGTATCTTAAACCTTTTCATCTATAAGACACTGTGGATGGGTGTGCACAGATTTGTACTTTTGACTTTTACATATATTTGTTGAGTGATTTGATTTGACATAAAGATTTCTAGGCGATCCCAGAAGAAATATTGATTATTCTTCCGATTATAATATCACCCATTTCATTATTTACATGACGTAATTAAACATTAGCATTTTTATTTATGAATGTCCTAGTAGGGTGAAGTCAATGTGTTTTACCTGAATTTGCCACTACTTCCTCTTATTTTATATTACATAAATTATATTTAACATATGATAACCTAATTATAATTGGGTTATTAGACAAATATTGAACAAAGTTAATGTTGATATTTATTTACTTCTGCTTAGAACATGTATTTAGGCTCTAATTTTATGCATGTGTAATTGTATGGGCAACTCTTTGTGTTCGAACGTTACACGGAAAACTCCAGTTATTCATACAGTATATAAAGAAGTGATTCGTGTGAAATTTCAGTTGAAAGTATCTAAATTCCTTTTAGTTTCCACTAAATCATTTATCCAACAGGTCAATGGCCGCAAATAAAGGCGCGATGTCATTAGGACTCGTCCTTCTAGGAGCGATAGGATTTTTGGGCTTTGGTTGGGCTGCGTCTGCCGCCCAGGAAAAGGTCTATCCAATTGAACAAGTATGTATACGAAAAATAACCGCAATAACTTTTACCCTAAATACTATATAATTACTAAAACTTTGTATTTATTATTCCAACTATTCAAATGTATTAAGAAACAGGAGGTTCTTAAATCGGATGATACAAAAGAGGATTGTTCCGAGAATGACATTTTTGGCTGTCACGAAGATCAAGATTGGGCAATTATTGAACCATGTTGTTCAGGATTTTGTTGTAGACCAACAGGGTCTCAATATGGTCGTTGCAGCGATTGGGGATCGTGTTAAAATACAGACTAATTTGATACAATTTTATATTTTTAATCAAGAAAACTGATTAAATATAACAATGAGTAACACATAATCTTATCTTAGCTGCAAGCATGCATAATCGAACTATTTTGTAATCAATGTGTAATTGAGAAGCGTGATACGACATATTAACATAACACTCTTCATGCAGCATTTAACAAATACATACAGAACATATAAACCTCATATTTAAAAACATTTGCAATTTTAATACTTTTCGACATGTTTGCAAAGATAAAATATTTTGTAGCTTTAGCAGTTTTGTCGCAAGCGGTCACTGCCCAGGACCCTTCACTTTTTTGTCTGGATCAAGTAAGAGTTTACCGTTTTTTTCGTGTCGTATTGTGAGACAGCCCATTTAAGTAATAATTAAATAGTCCATTGTACTGATATCTTGTACATATTTAAATGCATATTCATAAAATGCATGAATAGGCAACCTGTTGCGAAGGAGTCCCTGATGTTACTTCACTTGGAGATTGGGACAATTGTACCATATTTTACCTGTGCTTTGGTGGTGCTCCTTCAGTTAACCGTTGCACCAATCCAAGTTTCCCAGCATACAATCCAGAAACAACGTTCTGTATTGCTGAAGTCGATGGATGCGTTGATGGGACACGAGCCCCCATTGGTCAAACTACGACTTCTATGACCACCATTACTACACAACCCCCAATTTCAACGACAGAGTCTCATGTGGATGGGAATTGCACAGAAGATGGAGCGTATTTTGTCCCATATCCTGGAGACTGTAGAAAATATATGATATGCAGTTCTAACGTTCTTCTTCCTGATGTGCAGCAATGTCCACCCGGAACGTTATTTGACCCAGATTTGAGGGAATGCAATCTCGAAGACTTGGTCGAATGCAAACCCCAGTGTCCAGACGTAGGAACCATTACACTTCCACATGACAGTATGCAAAAAATATATTAATAGAAAGTAATATTTGTGTCGTGCATATTAACCTTAGGTTGCAATTTATTATTCAATCCACAGAAAATTGCTCGTTATACTGGTTGTGTTCAATGGGGACTGCTAACCTAAGGCAGTGTCCACAAGGCCTTGTTTATGACCCTATATTGACCACGTGCAATGTTGAAAGCTTGGTTTTTTGCCCAAACCTGTGTCCACCTGAAGGAGCTGTGAATCTTCCCCATGCGAGTAAATATGTGAAACGTTAACATAATATGTACATAAGATGCATGCAATAATAAGGTGTTACTAGTCTTAAGTGTTATTTCAATTTATTTTGGGTAAATTCCAGGCAACTGCAGTCTCTATTGGCTGTGCACATTTGGTAACCCTACGCTTAGATCTTGTCCTGCCGATCTTCTTTTCGACCCTGTTTTGGGACAGTGTAATTTGCCGAGTGAAGTGAATTGTGGAAGTCACATCATTGCTGCTTATAACAATGTAAGGACTATATTGGTCGGCAATGCATACGACTATGACGAGTCTGACAGCCTATTCGACTCCCACGAGGATGAGTGGGACACCACGGATTAAAAAATCTACTGAGTTTCAAGAAAAAATTGCAAATATCTATGTTCCCAAGATTAAACGATGTGTGAGATTATGGAAATTTAATGGTTTGGTACAAGGAAAATAAAGTTGGTCAAATTACGCATATTTGTATAATCTGTGATGTTTTATCCATGATCAGGTTCACGAAACATGTTGCAATAAAAAGTTGTAGGACGCAGAAACTTGGCATAAAAAATGTCAACATTAAGTTGAATGAAAGGGGAATATCATACGCAAATTGAGTACAACTACGCGTTAAATTTCACCTTTGACCATCAGTGGGAGTCTATTCATCTTTACGTAATAAGTGGATGAGTGACCATCATCGGGCATTAATCGCCACATGGATCAGCAGCTAGAGATTCAGTCAGACAACAATGAACAAAGGGACGCCGTTCGTCTCTAATCCTCTTCCTCCTCCGACGACATCTACTCATCACCCCACGAGTGTTGCCCTCAACAATTTCCAATCGCCATCAATAACTTTCTTCCAATCATTAAATTATAGCAATTGTCTTATAACTAAAAGATTAATTGTTCACTTAAACATGTAAATATTCAACGTTTATTATGTGTACTATGATAAGTACATATAATTAGCAGTTCATATTATTTAATCCCCGCATGGGGAGTACGAGTCTGGACGTTTATGTTAACAATCACTATGCATCAGTCACATGTGCCTATAAATAAATGAATCAACTTCTTTGTTTCAGAATTAATTCCGACGTCTGGATGATGGAAACCAAGACGGAATATTTTCATTCAATGTGGCGTGGTCATTGAAGACATTACTATCCGATATAGATCAGTACATCATGGTGGTCATGTTCGTCTCGTGTCCTGTTTTTATTTACAATTTTCATGTATAGAAAGCATGGCATAATAGTAACTGCTTGCAACGTGGTTACTTGCAGCGATTTACGACGCATTGACCACAAAAATAAAATCATATTATGTAGAAATCCATATATATTCATCTTTAAGCGACTCATTGATTTCCGTCTTCTTCTCAGACTGCAGTGCTACGCCGATAAAATTAAACCCACTTAAATTTTTACAATTTGAGACTATTTATTTGGTAAATATCTACGTAAATTCTCTACACATTGCATAGTAATTCTTACATATATGTATATATGACAATTGATAATCCTTCTTAATTTCTGGAGAATACGAATATTCTGAGTCGTAAATCTCTTTCAATCGTTAATGTTGTTGCGTCATTCAGTTCAATCAACAATTTAAAGATTTGATGCATTCTATCTTGCCATACAAATCATGGAATGTTTGATTTATCGTAACTAACAATGCATAAGTGCAACATAATTATTTATGATGGTTTTATTAGGTTTAATTTCATAAGCAAAATGTCCATGTGAAGTGATTAGAATTGAGATTGACCAGAATACAAATACTCTGAATACTTAGTGATGAATGTACTTTGGAATTAAATCGCTCTGGAATTTATAACTATATTAAAATTTATGCACAATTAAGAATTATGTAATGCTTTAATAAGCTTGAAATGCAATTACTGCCTTTAAACGGAGATAACCCCCACTTATAAATAAACACAACATGGAATTTCGCGAATTTGTTGTTCATGAGAAATAGCGTATAACATAAGAAATGTGCGGCATGTCATGAATCAGTATTTAAACAAAGAGCCATAAGAAATTCTTAACACTATTAAAGTGGATGAAAAATAGTCCGTATATTCGTAAATACATAAATTATTGGTTTAATTTTACTGGATAGCAACAAATACTTTCCATAATTGAGCAACGGCATACATGTGTTCATGAAAAGTCAAAACTAGATAAACTTGTACCTCAAGCAACAATACAACAAAACAAAGTTATAGTTGTCCCAGATGGGAATTTAGAGTACATAATATGCTTAGTTCTCGATAAACTTTTTGTCTGAATTATCTCTCACCTAAGATATTGGCACGACAAATTTCAATTTCTTGCCGATTGTCAAATTCGGTCCCAGAGGTAGTAAGAGTTTGATACCATAAAACAGAACGGAGTTTAATATCGCTTAGTCTTAAAGGATCTATTTAATGGAAAATATGAGAAACAGGAAACCTCATTAAATCCTTCGTCATAAGGGGAAAGTTTCCATTCCAAATTGTGAAGTTGAAACTGAAATGAATAAAGTTCCTCCACAAATCCCATACTTGTAAATATTTTATGAAAAGGTGAAATATACCCATAATACTCACGAATGTTCTGAGTACATAAAAGCTCCAGCGAAAACTTTCACTTTCGACTTTTTAAGCTTCCAGGCTCAAACTCGTGGTGAAAAGTTGGTAGGATTTTTCTTGGATTTTCGGATTAAGTTAGAACCCAAAACCGGAACAACCCCCAGAAAATCTCATTATCTCAAAGTCTCGTGCATGTTTCCTTAAGCCAAAAGGGATAATTATTATGGTGTGGCGTATCCTTATGCAAAATCATTTGTTACTCAAATAATTATATCATTTTTGTAAAATCTTGGCCCATGGAACATAGGTGACTTGCTCGGGCTATATCGAGTCTGCATTTGTTTTGTAAAAAAAACTTGAATTATTTTTTTGTTAATTTTAAATTTGAATAGACACGTATGCCATGCACATACGTCAACTAAGGACCTATTAATTGAGTGGAATATATATTTAGCTTATGATAACTCAACTTAAATTCATATAAATCTCACTTTTACACAAGTTGCCCCTGTTGTTGTTACTGTTTTAATGTGCATATTTTTTGCCTATCTTTTAGCTGATGAAATTTAGCAGACATTATTGCGAATCATCTTTTGGCGTTATTCGTACACATACATATGTACGGACGCTGAGGAAGCTGGATTTTTGGACGAAGTTGCTCCGTTCTTTCAGAGCATGTTTTATTTCACACTGACTGCGTGGCGTATAAGATCACGTATTTTATTCGCCTTTGTGCTGGGATAAAAGAGGAGCCGAGTTGCTCTCAAGAGTCAGTACGCAACCAGCGCCATAGTGAGAACGACGCAAAGACCTGAGAGAAACCGAACGGAATCCATAGTCTCAAGTGCTGTGAGACGACGAGAACAACGTTGATTTGCACTACGAATGTGATTTCAGCAAAGAAATTTACTTGAGATAATTCTTGAACAATTTAAACATCTCTCGTGCAAATATTCATTTGGAGATTGAGACTTTATCAACTGAGCTTTCTATCTGCACACACGACCACCAAAATGGACTATTCCCCACTTCTCAGCCAAATTGAACATCCACTCCTCGATTTCGACGACGACTCGGACAACTTTCAGAAAATTAATCTCAATACGGAACCTGAGGAACTGAATGCTGAAAGTCAAAGCACAGTCATTACGACGGGAAAAAATGTAAGCGGTGGCTTTTTTCGAAGGAGTAAAAGCAAAACTGATGAGTTAAGTACTCCTACCAAGAAAAGTAGTCCCATCGAAATTAAAGGGTCCCCTAGTCATCACAAGAGTCAAAATAACAAAGAAAAGGAACAGCAACATGGATCAAATTCGTCCAATAGCGGTAGTTCAAGGATGTCCTTTTTGAAAGTATTGACCAGGAGGAACTCGTCCACGAATCAGGGAAAGCATAAAAGTAAGTAAAAGGTTCATATGTAGCACAGGAATTTTGTGGTTCTCATTTGCATGGAAATCTAATGGTAACCCTTGAGTCTTGTGCAATGCTCATTTGCGAGTAAGGTTTGAACTGTGGACGCAAGGAAGAATCCCACTCATGTCAATTAGCTCAACTTATTGTGGGGTTCATTTCATGACTTCATTGGTTGAATTAAAGGTCAATTGTCGTCCTTCCAACTTCATTCAGTTTCAAAGAAACCGTCCATTTACTGACCATTTGGATTTAGTGTCATCACTGCTTACTATACATGCATCTATTAAGTAATATTAGGTTGTGCATACATACAAACAAAAATAAATACGTTTTTAGCATAGCCAAAAAGGGAACAAAACCTAACTGTCACAAACACTCGCATGGCATACGCAATTAGCCAAAATCCCACCTGAATATTGTATTGCAATTAAGATGATATTATACGTAATGTATTATACGTATTGTTCGTGAGTGAATTTATAATGTTTTTAAAGCACGCCGTGAGATTTGTACCGGTGGTTAGTGAATCACAGTACAAAACAACAACCTATCTTTGGCATCCAAACGCATGTGGTTAATACTTATTGGTCAGTTTTTTTACTTATATAACAAGCTTCAAATTTAATCCAATTAAATCAAAATTTCATTTTGCTTTACATATCAAAAATTCTTAAAGTATTGAAGCGACGTCTTCATGACAGGACTTACTGGTCAGTCGTGTTGAATTTAGTGCAAGTACAAAAAACTGAGGTGGTTCAAAGTCCAATTACAAAGTTCACTTGTTCTTATTCAATTCACATAATGTATCTGCGCTATACTTTCTTGAATGGTTACGGTGAGAAAGAAGAAAAACAAAGCATGTTAATTGAGAATATTACTGAATAATATGCCTCGTTCATAATATTAGCACAGTTGAGAGAAATCGTAAACAGCCTCACATGCGAATTCATGAGATTCGACATGATACAGTCATAAATAAACGATGAGTCATATTTACTTAATTTCTTCTATACTTAATTTAAATGAATAGAAAAACATATAAACATTGTCCCAAACATTAAAACGCTGGAATTTAAGTACAACAGAAACTCAATACACGTTCTTGTAAAGCTAAAAAATAACTGTAAATCAATTAGTGTGAAGTGTCATTGCTAATTTAATCAACGCGTTGTTGAGGACATATGCAAATTAAGAACCGTATAGTACATAGTACACTCAAATTGACTGTCATTAACATTCTGTCTTCTTTTTACGTACTTAGCAGTAATAATAAATCCGTAGCATTGTTGTTCTATTGCATTTGATGTCCTGTTACTTCTCTTTGTAGACAAAGACTGTTTGCTATATGCAACTGCACACATTTAAGTATGTTCAACGGAATTAACCAATCTTTGATAGTCACGACCTGAACACGTGCACGTTATTCTGCTAATGACGCCACAGAGTAGACGCAAATATTTTGTGCTACGCTCTCCTCGCTTTATTTGTTTAGCTGCATCTCCACCTTTTTGATATTTTGCCAGGCAATTTCATCCGCACATTTGTGAGAAATGAAATGAAACGCACTTTTCTTGTGAAATACGAAGCAGATAGAGAGCTTACTATAATTGTTCGAGTACGTCGTACGTTTGTGTACATATGTATGTATTAAATATTTAAGGAATGGGTCTCAGATTGCGAAATTTTGCTACGTTTTGCTAAATAATGATCATGAAAATAAAATGATAACTTCGATTTCAGTACGTACTTTGATATAAATTATTAGTAAAACTGTGTTTGAAAAATAGAAGATACACTTTTCTGTCCAAGTGGCATACCGAGGTTATTTTCTTCCTTGTTTGATTAGCATTCAATCAACTCGATAAAAGTTCGATGAAGCCAGTTTAAGCCAACTTTTTGCAATATTCTCGAGATCAGACTAGTTAGATGGTCGTTAGGTCAGCCAAATTAATTTGCCAAGATTTTGTTCAAGTTGGCGTTATAAAATATGTAAATGTTGAATTTTCATTTTAATATGAACCTTAAAATCCTAATCCATAGTAAACTATAAATAAATAAGTAGATTGTCCAGATGAGACAGAAATCTAGTTGTATTTTTCCTTGTCGAAATGAGAATTTGAGTTTATAACCTCTGATAAAATAAGTGTATCGTCGTTAGCAGTAAAATTTACATTTTAATTGGAATTTTCAAACCTCCAAGCACGAAGTCAATTTGGTGGTACGACTGGTGATAATTTTATGTTTTATTGCGACATAAATATAAATTAGATTGCACACACATATGTAAACATAATGTATATGAAAATAAGTACGTAGAATTCATTACCATTACCACAGCTTGTTGACCAAATTATTATAAAAATGAAACTATACACGAGTCAGCAAATTCCCAGTCACAAAGTAAATATTGCTTGTTACCAGTAAACTTTGACAACTAAATGTCTCCAGCTTAATTGTAGACAGTGACCTAAAACTGCAAAGTTCAAGTTGGGTAATGTCGCTGGCTGCACTTATCAGCCATTATACATAACTTCCAGATATCTTCCAGCTTTGTCATATTTTGAGCATGCGAGAATACTGCTGTAATCATGGACGACTGGGTTAAAAACCTTATAAATCTTTTTAACCCATTATCTCTCCCAAGCGAAGCTATGGCTAAGAATATGACGCAAAATAAACATCTGTGTATAAGACCAACTTTTGCCACATATAATTTGTTCGTGACAGACTGAAATCTTTTTGTACCCTAGAAAGTTTTAAACATAAAGCACTTTCATCACGTAGTTTTTACTATTTTTTATAAGTCATACATAAGTAGTAAATACTCAGGCTAACTCGCTAATTAGTACAGACGTGCTTCGGGTTGTGTCGTGTACCTACTTAAATTGATCGTTAAATGGTTCATATCCCAAATTTCCTTATCAGGATGTCACAGTCACCTATCTTAATTACACCAAAAATTTCCATGTCCCAATAAAGTAGCTGTGTCGTAATGAACTAAAAGTAAATCTGAACATAATCCTGTAATAAATATACAGATTATCTCAAAGAGATTTTATTCGTTGGGCCATATTATTTTAATCGTACGGCAAGGATTGTATAAGTATTTCATGGATATCTTCTCTTTTTATTCAAATTTGTAAACAAAAGTTTTCGAAGTACATCCAATAATTGTTCATAGTGTGTTTCATTTACGTCGTATCGAATGTGAATTTATCGTAATTTCTGCAATAATGTACTATTTTGCCTCCATCTTTGAATTTGTTTTGTATTTGAGATGGAGAGAGGAAATTAAACGGACCGGAAAACAAGGCAATTATTTTTCTCCATCCGATATTTATTTGGTTGGTTAAGCACCAAGCACGTCGCATTCAAAGAGAGAAAAGATCTTCTTGAAGCAGAACAGAATAAATAAATTCCTCTCGATGGAATCCAACATGCCACGAAAACCACATTGCACTGCACACTATGCATTACAAAGTGAAAGCAACAGCAGCAGCAGCCACCCACCCACCCACTCACCACAATAAAGGCAATAACTAAGGCGAAAACTGATCAATTCTTCCAAACTTGTGAACAACAAATTCCTCACAGGAAGAACCAACTCATTCCTCTCCCCCAATTCTGTTCAATGTCGAATTGTTCTCATCTTGTTCCATACATTACAATTTCTCCACGTCTTTCTCTTCCCTAAAAACTCAAAATCTTAGACCTATATTTAGGTCAAGCTTTCAAGGCATTTGGCTTGTTGGCGTGGGGAAACGGGAGAATAAGGAGAGTCAAATTTACGAGGTAGCGTATCGACAATAAACGCCGTTTATTGTGAACGTTAAATAAAAATGTGATATTCACCTCATAAAAAGAAAGTGCGGCGCTAGGAAGCATTTGATTGAAATCTTGCTCACTTTGGCTGATCGCTCTTTATTGCGACTGCTGTAACTGTCTACGAAGTCTCTCTTCTTGGGTTCGTGATGGAAATAAAAGTGGGAGGAAGAAAGTAAAATTCATTATAAAGTTTGGGGCTAAAAGTTTCTCGAGTTAGAATCAGTACACGTTCATACATATCTACATAAGGGGGAAGTTTTTTAAGAACAATTTTGCTCGAAAGGTAGTTTCATTGTTGCATACAAATATTACGTAGCAAAAATTACTCAGCCTTCAGCAAGGTGATAAATCCGATAAATATATAAGTATACATATGGACATTAAATTATGAAAATATTGGAAAATTTAAAGTTTCTCCAAATACATTATTTCGTTTTTTACCAACTGCTTAATCAACACACCGAGTCCTTCCTTATACGTGTATAATAATGCTTGGGAAGCACATGATTTATGGGTGTTTTGAGAGTAGCCGCATGAATTCATGGGATTTTACGGACTTAACCAACTTATTCCACTCGGCTGGACTTTCTCTCTCGCCACGAGCGAGACGGGGACGATGAGGCGAGACTACTGGCTTCGTCTCCACTTTCTCCACCAGCAACAGCATTTCCTAACTTCACCATAAGCGTGGACAGGAAGGAGCCAAAAGGAGACGGGGAATTGCATTACTCTTCAATTCGTCCCGTCGCAGTCTGCTACTTCTCAAATTTCAGTCAACCAGTTTGCTCCCAATTTTCAACCCTCTTCTCCTCCCTTATTTACTCTCTCTCTCTCCTGGCAATAACGCCAATGCAAATCCGGAACCGTTCCCATTCAAGCCATTGCATTTTATGAGGCCTTTCAAGCTCTGTGCAACTGGATGAATAGGTATCCACTTTTTCCCCGTTTTAAAAATGCACTTCATCAGCACGATTCTTTCGGAGAAAATGTACACAGTGTTATTTTATAAATGATGAGTTGTACATTTTTGAGCGTATTGATATGCTGTTACGAAGGACCTTCGGTATTTTCTCCGTTTTCTCCATTCTGCAGACAGAGATTGAAAGGATTGATGGTGATTGAGTATGAAGGAAGAGGGATTATTTGGATTTTGCAGAATAGTACACAACACAAACGAAGGAAACAAGACAACTGCTCCTGCTGTTGCCCCAAAGTTGGATTCAAGCAGTCAGTTTTAGTTTTCTTTTTCATTCAGGATGGAATAAGTTTGTGCTGCTAGAGAAGTGTAGTGGTTGTCACGTATTGATTCCGGATTTGTTAGTGTCAGACAAAATCCCGTTTAGCCAGCTTTCACCATCTGTTCCCATCTCTCATTCCGTTGCATTTCGTACAGGAAGCTTAAAAATAGTTCGAATTGGAGGCCTGCAGAGTTATGTAGGTCCCAGTCTAACAAGTGCTTGATGACGATGTTGTATTTATTGGATGATATGAATGGCGTCAAGTTATTGGAGAGAATATGAATCTCAAGCTTTTATCAGCGATCAATTATTCCACACTATTACTTCCGAATCCTCCAGTATTCACTGCTTGCGACGTGAACACTCTCAGAAGTGCATGCATATGTATATCAACGTATTATAGTTCTTAGCGTGTTGCTCATTCATACACAGTGCATACTGATGCAGATTAGAAAGATTTATGATACAAATATGCTAACACAGCAAATCGTTTAAAAACTTAGAATCTAATCGAATACATAATTTGAATAACAACATGTGCAAATACTTAATTACAGTCGCACTTCCAATAGTATGCATAGTACGTAAATGTCAATGCCAATTTGATAATTCGACTAAAATTGCTTCCCCCGTGCAAACAACATCAGAAACCGGCATAATCAGTTATATCGTGTTTGTCAGGTTTGTCATGCATCTGTAAAACTGTACTCCGTGTGAAATAAGTACGGTGCAAATTCCCCATATGTTTATATAGGAAACAACCAAACCATGAAGAAATTCCGCTTGGCAGGATGAAATAGACCTTATACAGTTTTTATTCCCCTATAAGAATAAAAGTTCCATCTTAGATTTTTCGCTAAGATGAGATTTGTGTAAATTGAGAAGATACTGGAGAAAGACATAAATCAATGTGTTTCTAGTGGTGTGTCACTACCAATAATAAATAACTCGACCATGACACCCTTCCTCCATCATCCTTGTCTTGAAGATCTCGTCTCGGTGTATCATCTTGTTACATGGAAGGAGTAAAACAACAAACAGACGAGCAGAAATAATATACACCGATTGAGGGCACCATCATGCACACAGAAAAATGGGTTTATTACACTCTACATTGAGATTTTTAGGGCACGTCGTCATTATTATGACATCCCCGGATTTATTGGAGAAAGGATGAAAAATGCTTCACAAGTGGGTTTCTAGAGACTTCTGCACGGATCAAATTCGGCACGAGGGCAGTAGGAGAATTTCTGCGGAGTGAAACTCATGTCAAAATTATTATTTGTTTCGACAAATGTGTGAATGTCCAGTTGGGAGAACATTTGGCGGTTTGGTTGGGGAGGCCATTTGAATAGAATGGGAGGTGATGCGTTGCGGGGGGAGTTGGTGGCGGTCGTGGCGATGCATTGGTTTTGGTTTTCGGTTGCCGGAGCGAGAGAAGTGGAGCGAAAGGACGCGGAGGAGGCAGATGAGCGGTTTGAATATCGTTTTTATCCTTGAGCAGCTCCACCACGGCTCAAAACACGGCCACGTTCACCGAAAACGGGAGGATCGATATGTTACAGCCACGCAGGCTCCTCTGCTTTCACTCTCCTTTATCTTCCTCGAGGAGAACATCCTTGAAAGGAGTAGGTACTTATGGCCAGAGAGGAGAAGGAGAAAGAGATAAGGTTGTGAGTGTCCTTCTTCTGTGTGGGTCCCCATGTAATTCAGCCGTATGAGATGATGTAGGAGAAAAGCATGCACGATAAGCGTAATGAGGTTTTTTAAAATGTCAGATTTGAAATCCTAGACAGATGACGGCGAAGAAAGCCAACATTACATTTCCTGAGGGTTTGCATAGACCAAATAGTACGAGACCCAGGACAGTACTACATACGTAATATTTAGCTGCACATATATCTTGTGTAGGAATTGTTGCCTGCGACAAGATTTCTATCCAGATGCTCATTTCTTCAAGCCGTATCTCCAACTTTCACAGTGCTTGCTTCCTGGCTGTTTGGTGATATATAGAGTATGAAGAAGAGCAATTAGAGTTGAGAGAGTGAGACGAGATGCAGGAAACAAGTGGTCTCTTCTTTCTACAGCCAATAGCATGCACCACGTAGTAATATCAGCCTCTCTCCTCAGTGAAAGTAAGTACATAGTCTCCTAGCTTTTTGTGGGTGGGTTGGCTGCTGGTTCCATGAGGAGAGATCGTACTAATGGTATGACCTGAGATGAGATAGGGATCGATACGGGTGTTCTCAAAATTGTCTTTTATCCTGAAAAAGTGCAACCACTTTACCAAACTATGTATTTATGTATATATGTACGAACGAAATGCGCATAGCTATGTCGAAAGCTCAGTTGTTAGTTGGTGGTAGTGTTGTAAGTAAATGCGCTCTTTTAAAGATTGTTGAATGTGAAAGAAAAATAACAGAATTCGTACATACATATGTATGTACGTCAATGGAACGTAGTGTGCTTTCTCCTTCCCATTCCTATGTACCCAACTTAAAACTACGTACGTGGCTGGCACTATTATTCTTTCCTGGTTTCGATTTCCAGACGAGATGAGCGCAGAAAAGAAAAACTTTGCAATTTGGTTTGGCAATCAGCCGAGAGAAAATTCATCAAAATGATATATAAATAATAGCAGTGGTTGTATGGTATTTATTTTTGCCTTTTGTCACAATTGGACAAGTGGGGCCTATAAAAATCCTCCCACGAACTTTGTTTAGGAGAAAGTGAAAGTGACTACACTGGACAGAATTTCTGGTCATCAGTTTTCCTCGCCACGGAACCCAGTATCGTTTGGCAAACATTCAATTCTGTACGATCCATCCGTCTGACTCCTATCCAATGTATTCAGTAGAACGGGATGTACATATGTATCTTTATGCACCAAATTACGTTTCATTGACAAATTATGATTACACTTTACAGGGTGCAGTGTGGTTTTGACTGCTTTTAGTTGGGTTTAATGGGAATTTTGCATTCTTCGTGCAATGCATAGATGGGTGAAAGAGAGAGTATAATTCTAAGTATGCGCTATAAAGGAGAGGAATTGGTCCCATGCTGGTGGTGGTGGTCAACATGAAAACTTTCTCCGTTCATGATTAGGCTCCGCTCACACCATTGCATTGCCACTCAGGAAAGCAGCAAAAGTTTCCCCCAGACTTATATTTCAAGATTTGAGATACTCGGGATCTTTTTCCATCTCAATCTCTGGAAGAATTTCTCTTTACTTGGCCATTCTTCATATGATTTTATTGTGGCACGTGTTATCCATCTCTGGGTGTTCAAGCATTTTGCATGTTTGCAGCTTTATTTTGAAGTTTTGAAAAGCATGCATAATTTGTCAACAAACTTTCATCCTCTTATACTTTCCATTCTTGTGAAATATATAAAAAAGTGGTCAACAATATTTATATATGTACAAATATACACGTAGCTAAGTTGGACATAGATATGTATATATATATACCGGAAATTTGACGAACATGACCACAGCACCACGGATAGCGTGGAACATATTTTCCTCGTGTGTAGCTAGAACTGGATAAAATGATAAAGCGATCCTGATCTTATTATGGGGGAAAGTTAGTTGTGGAGTTGAAGGTGATGTTCGTGTGTTTCAATGGTTTCGATCCGTGGTGGCATGGGTCTGGCCATATCATACTAGATATTATTGGATTTTGTCATCTTTCTCTTTCGGAAGGAAGAAGGGTTGCAAAGAAAATTGCATTTTCATGTTCTCTCCCAGTACATGTTTTCACCCAAGCATACAAATGACATGATTATAATTTATTTCTCATATTTTACGTGACGTGTCCCCCCTCCTCCCCCCACAAAGCATAATTTATTTCAGCATGATGGCAAGGGAAATAGGTGATTTTGACTAGAAAATATTGTCTCCTGTGCAATTATGTATTTATATCATTAGCATTATTTATTTATTTATTTATATTGCAGAATGAAATCAGAAACTGATGTAAACTTTTAGTTCATGTCATTTTGTTAACTATTGCAGAAATGACGGACAAATGGCTGGAGGGTGGCGAGCCAGTAATGGATGGAGTTGCATTTTGCGTGAAATTTCTGGGAAGTACGCTGATTGAGAAAGCTGGTGCTGCAGATGCTGCTGAAGCTACAAAAACAGTGATTCAAATGGTATTTTGAATATCATTATATATCATTTAGTTCTGGATATCATTCTTTCATCAACAAAAGCAGTAAAAAATATAATAAGATCTTTTCACTTGACTCAATTTAGACTAAAGTTGGCCACAAACCGACCAGATTAGGAATGACTGTGAGCACAAATGGTATAACGCTATCGGACCCATCAACTGGAGAGATTCGACTGGAAATCTCAATTTATGAGTAAGTGAGGCTTGTTGTATTTTACTTCAACTATTGTCAATCCTTTAACGAAACAAGTTTACCTTTGTTACGTTATGTTGGCATATAAGTCATATGTACTCTCTTTTGTTTGGGGTATATGCACATATCTTATTTGTCCTATTTAATTTATCATTTGTTTCATTCAGTTCTTCTCGTCAATCAATCTTATTTCATTCTTTTAGAAGAAACTTGTCATGAAAAGGAGTTGAGTTGGTTGAAGCCACCCTAATGTGAAATTAATGTTAATTTATTTTCCCCTCTTTGTTTACAGTATCGCACACTGTTCAACTGACTCTAGCCATCCAAGTATCTTTTCCTTCATTGCTACTAACAAAAATGATGTCAACGAGTGCTACTGCTTTGCCACGAGGAAGAGGAAAATGGTATGTTGAACATTCAAATGGATCTAGTATACGTATGTAGATAATGTTGGCGTAATCAATGAAATTCACTCTTTTTCCATCTCCCTCTCAAGGCACAGCACATCACGCTAACAATCGCACAAGCATTCAACGTGGCCTTTGAAATGTGGCAAAATTCCAGCATGGAGAATTGTGGTGGGAGCAGTGTGTCGTCTTCAGATGTGGTCGAAGTCATCGTGGGATCCACAGACTCGACCCAAAGCAATGCCAGCACAGGAAGTGACCTTCGAGACTGGGTGGCGTTTGACCAAGACAACCACGATACGGATGCGGAGGAACTTGGAACTCGATTCAGCCATGCCATCAATCTCGTCACTCTGTCGCCCTTCCACAGGCCAAATCCAAATCCTAGTAGAAGACTTAGACAACCTCCGGGGAAAAATGGGGACGATCTTCTCATATGTTTAAATTAACCCTACTACGCAATAGATGTTCCTATGTATTTGCAAAATACGTATAAGGATGACGCCTAATTTACGAAATTGTTCTGTCGAGCAGACATACATATAAACAAATATCTATTAATAAATAACGCCAACTTATGTATATGATTAGGCAACTGTGCTAAATATTATATCTACGCAGAACGATTTTTAAAAAAGATGAGCTATTTTGTAATGCAATCACCACCACAATATAAAACATATATTTACATATAGACGTGCTTATGCGTTTTATATTTATATAAACTGAATATAATTTGATGCAAAAGATAAACAATTAAAATGCAAATTAAACTTAATTTATTTATGTTAATTAATATGCGTACAAATTTGTATGATGGTGTTTTTGCTTTAAAAATCATGGTGCTATATTACGAAGAATGAGATACATGCCATAAGCCAAATAGATTTGTTATAAGTTGAAAGATATTTCCATCCTTGTACTTGTAATACTTATTGTTATATTACACAAAATACATACTTATCTATGTACAAGTCGCATTAGGTAAAGTTGAGATTATGTTATAATTCTTTTGTCTTTTTTACGCAATTTTTATCATTTATTATCGGTTAAGTTTTAACTAAATTTTGAATCACTGAAATTCATGATGCTGTAAATACATGGACTTGATTATAATCTTTGTTAACACATATTACCTGCTATTGTTACTAAATAAATAAATTAAAAAGAGTAAGAACTAAATATTGGTTTTGGAATTTTTCTATCTTACAAAATGACGAGCTTCCTGTCTCTCCTTCGAGGAACGATGGTAAGTCCTGCAGACTGAACTTCGACTTCCTGAATGGGAGCCACCTTTTGTGGGGGAGAGTTGCTAATTGGAATTGCGGATGAGATTGACCCCTGCGCAGTGACGATGGGTCGACCCACGCCGCTCCCCAGATTGAAACCACGAGACCCCGACTCTTTCTTTGCCGTCGTCGTGACTTCTCCTCCTCCGGTGCCAATGCTGAAATTTGAGTCATCAGAGCCCACAGTTTCTGCAAATTTAAATAGCATATACGAGTTGGTAAAGTAAAGAAATATAAGAGTTAAATAATGATTATTATTTAATAATCATTAAAGGTAGGTAGGCAGGTAGCCTACCTGCCCCTTGAAGGAGGACACTTCCTCGATAAACTGCTGTGATATTATCCCTCGCTAGCAAAGTGCATTTCCATCGCTGTAGATCGCTCGTTTTTATCACAGCTATTCGTATTCCACAACTACCCTGGTCTAATGGAGGCCCATCAAATGTGTAGAGTTCTTTTGCGGAAGAGGTTACTTCCTGATAATTGGATTGATCAAAGGTTGCAATGAGTTTGTCACTTTCTTTTTGCTCCCATAAACACAAGCGGAGAGGAACCCTGTTGGAATGACAGCTCAACGAAGCAGGGGACCCCAATCTTCCAAGTACCACGGGATGGGTCGAAATCTGGCCATGGAGTTTTGAGAAACGTACTGCGCATAAAATCAATTTCCCTTTAATAAAATCTACAATGCAAAACATACATTTACGCATTTTTGTCTATACATACCTGACAAAATTATACAGAGCAAAAGTCCTTCTGAAATTCGATTTCTGGTTAATGCAGCCATTTCAGCAAAGAAGCAATGAACTGCTCGTCACTCAGACTTTGAAATGACGCCACACAACTACTGCAACTGGAAGACTTTGCAACACCATCACATAAATACGTGATACGTATGAATCGCAAAATGCCTTCAAGCAAATCTTCCTACTTCTTCGTAATGGAAAAGCATTGTACATACATATCCAATACAGACAAATGAATGTGCATCTATGTATTCTGTATTCTTTTGATTTTGACCAAATTGGGAGAGAATGTCAAGGACAGAAATGGAAGACTCGTTTGTCGCAGCATAAACCACTATATCAACGTACTCAGAATTGGATACAGATCAGTAAATCATCAAACATCTTTTCTTCAGATTATGCACAATGATTAAATGATTAAGCGAGGGGTTTTTAGGCATGGATTTTCTTGATTAGTTTCTCCAGGAGAAGAATTTTAAGAAGTTATTCAACAACTACAAATAAAATTTAAAATCAATACTTGGAAATATTGGTAATGTTTTATACGGTCATTATCTCATTATTTTAGATGAGAAGCACAAGATCTATAAAAATAAGTAATTTACTAATTTTTATAGAAATTAAATTAGCATTGTATTATTTCTACATATTTACTTTGCTAAATTGGCATGAAAATCCATTGAACAAAGCTAAAGTGCATGGTGTCGTTAGGTTTGACTCTCGTTATGGCGACTCCAGCGCCATCTGCGAAGTTACGAATTTGCACCTGATCTCAGAGAGAACTCGGAATCTCATAATTCAAATTTATCTGCTCCTGCTCCTAAATAAATTAAAACTTTTAGTAGTTTTGCTCTAAGAATAATAGTTCGGGATGATTGGGCAGTCCGTTCGTCGTGCGATGTTGAAGGGGCAGGGGGCTGGGCTGAAGATGTCGGTGAGGACAATCTACCCCCAAATCTCGAGCAACGTCGTCAGTGGGATGCCACGGACTCGAATTCCTTTTCCCGTAAGTTACAAGTTTCTCAATTCCTTAAAATAATAATTTAGACGTAATGCGAACTTAAGTGCTCAGAAGGGTATGCGCCAATGAATGTCAGTAGGACGTGAATATGTACTGTGTAACCATACAAAGGATTTGCCTCAATTTGTGTGAATTGAACTATATATCGATTATTAAATGTACGTTTGAAATTATGAATTAGCTGTACTCTTATACGATTGGCGACGATGATCTGTTATTAGTCTTTAAGCTATACGTTATTTTTTAAATCAATGTTGCCGTCAGTCATAGTTGGGACACTTTGAAGACGAATTAAGCAAATACATATATGTATTCCTATGAATTTGTGTCTTTGTTTTAAATTTCAGGAGAAAGTGGGATGCGGATTGTTCATTGCGATGTGCGTTTTGGCCACACCTGCCTGGATTACGACTCACATGGACGATTACCGAGGAGGACCTGTGGGTCAAGCTTAAACCGTTTCGCGTATAGTCATTAGTCAATAAAATCTGTGAGAATAATACCGTAAAACAATTTCAATTTACAATTTATTAGCGGAAATCAAAATGTTATATAGACTATTCAGTCCGTAGTTTGTGAATAAACAAAAAAGTTAATTTCGATTGTACTATTTTCTCTGTTATATTTATTTACTTTTTCATAGAACTCATGTGAGCCGAAATGACTAACAGAGCAAAGGTTCCTATAAAGTACAATGACACTGGAATTGATCGATTGATGTAATATCGCTTATCTGGAAAGAAAAACATACAAACTTTTGGGATTAGACTTTAGAATGTATGTGTTATATTGCTAAATATTCCTTCGAATTATTTATATATTAATTCAAAGCCAGATCAATCATAAATAATGACGTGTAAAACACGTGTTTGACATGTAAAATTAATTAGATTGGTTGACTTATTGAGTCGAAGGTCATAATGTTTTTATGGTAAACGCAGAAAAAAATGCAGTGATAGCTTTGAGCGTAGGATATCTTGCATGAAAATAATTCCTCATAGCATCGATCTGCTAATTCTGTTCTGAGATGGCCGAAACATCAATAGAATAAAATGGAATTAATTAGCAGCAATATATTGAAATAATCTACAAATTAATTATAGTAATAGCAGCAAGAGAAATGACACGAAACAAAAATTGCAAACAGCTTTATTTTTTAACTGAGCAGAGTGAGATTCTTTGATATATACGTATGTATTTATATATTTCATGCATTCATTTTAGGGAGACGCATAGTGTATCTTTATTTGGCATTTCAAACGCTTGCTAATTTACTACTACTACTAAGCTACTACTAAGTAGTCTAATACTAAAATAAAAACAATCTCTTAAAAACATAAGATAGCTGAGCAGTGAGCACCATGTCAATTATGTATATTTATTAAATGACCTCTAAGGGAGAATTCAATTAACTTGCTCTCTTCTTAAGATTCTTCTGGTGGAAAGTAAAATGTATTAACTGTTATAATTATGGATGACCTATTTATTAAAAACTAGGGATTTCCGATAGGGATTTCCGATTTTCATAGTCTGGCTGATCTGGCTTTGGATTGTTTTCTCTGACTATGTTTCGAATGTTTTCAAATCGTCACCTGCTGGCTTTTTCTGATCTGGGTGCACTTCCCACCCACAACTTCGTTTCACAGCCTCCTTCCACCTCCAGTATCGCTCGTCTCGCTCTGAAATAGTCATTAGCATTAAAGATAAGCAGTTAAAAATATGGTTTACAAAATGGACTTGTAAATAAGTCACAAGTTGACAGTAAAGGACGAACGATATAATTAAGGGTGAACGAGTAAAAAGTTGTGGATATCAACAAGCAAGAAGGTATTGAATTGTGCACGTTGTCATTAGTCAACTAATTCTATGAGCAATCGCGGAATTATGTTTAGGGTGTAGTAGTGGTAGTAATAGTAATAGTAATAGTAAAACAACTAATAAGCAGGAATGAATAATTAACGTATAATAAGTACCGGAAAGTTGTCCGGGAACTGTCGTCCCATCACCATATTAAGTACAGAATGAAAAGGGGACACTATATGTTAGTGTCATATTGATTTCAAAAATTTCAAAAAAATCTCGTTATCATTGAGGAGAACACTAGAACTAGTAGTTCATTATATGCTTCAGGATTCTTTACGCAACAATATGTGATAACGAGAGTTTTCACACGAAAATGATGACTAATTTGCACTGTCGTAATGTACTCACCATGTTGGGTTATCTTCGGTTCGAACACATCAGAGATAATTTTGGAGTAATCTTCTGAATTAATGTCCCACACATTAATTCCTTCGGCTGAACCGGCGGCCATGGCTGCACCTAAAGCAGTGGTTTCTGACATTGAAGGTCGGACCTGAAAAGTGGAAGAAACCCGTGCCATATAAGTGCATTAAAGCATCTTAAAATAATAATTGCATTTTTATTACAGTATCAATTCCTAGAATGTCAGATTGAAGTTGCATGAGGGAATCTGAGATGGTCATGCCCCCATCGACTCGAAGAGATGTGAGAGGATGACCACCCTCCTGGTTCATCGCTTCAAGCACGTCCTTGACTTGAAACGCAACAGCTTCGTATGGAACAAATATTTACATATGTATTATATTTACATATAAATACTATATGTTCAAAATTCCATGAATATGCATCAGCTACCTTCATAGGAGGCTCGAGCTATGTGACCCTTAGTCGAATGCTCAGTTAAACCACAAATTATTCTAGGGATAACCAAATAAACTGATAAATGCATTATATGTAATTTGTTATTTTGTTAGTATTCAATAAGTCTGGCTTACCCCCTTGCATCTGAAAAAATTAATTAAATATAAGTTAAATTTAATTAACAAATTGTCTACATGTTCTGTTCCATTACTTTTTTTAACTCTTTGATTCTGACTTTGACGTATTACATACATATAAAAACGTTACATTACCTGGACGCCAGTAAGGGGCGAACAAGCCTGAGAACGCCGGAACAAAGTAAACGCCACCTGAATCTGGAACACTGTTTGCCATGTCGCTTAGCTCCTCGTAACTTTTACCAAGTCCCAGATTATCTCTAATTTAGAATGTGTGTACAAATTGTAAAGATAAAATACAAATTAGTATAATAAATGATTATTAATTTAATTTATATCTAACCAACCTTAACCATCGAATTGATGCCCCTGCAACAGCAACCGAACCCTCTAAAAACATTTCATATTAAATTAGTTATTTTTTAAATACAATATTGACCACAAATAAAATCTTTATACAACTCACCTAATGCGTACACGGTTGGCTTATTTGGACCCAATTTATATCCTACCGTCGTCAATAATCCATGGGCAGAGTTTACAATCTGTAACAAAGAATGTAATGCAGAAATACAGAATAATATGGAATTTTAACATATTGGTCAAATTTGAACGTAATTAGAATGAAACAAACAGTCTAGCATATTTGTAAATTTATAATTTAGGGGAAAATAAATCAATGAAAAGCAATCGACTCCACAAAAATAACCAAACCGAGGATTTACTTGGTTTCCAGTGTTGAAAAGTAGAAAGCAACCCGTGCCATAAGTACATTTAGCTTGACCAGGTTTGAAACACCTTTAAACAATTATATTATTATACTTATGCATGAATATTTATTTTTATATGTTAAATATTATTACATTTGACCGACTAACGCGGCCTGCTGGTCGCCTAAAATCTATAATATCGAACATTTAATATTTTTCATACAAATGATTGCAGGTTTATAATATAAAAATTATTTTTTATTCGCACCCCAGAAATTGGGACTCCAGTTAGCACCGTTCTAAAAAAGGCGTGCATTTCAGATCAATAAGAAACATCAAGAGTCCAAAAGTTGTATCTATACCTGGACATGTGGCCATAAATTTCGGACGAACTTCGAATGGCAGGCAGCAGTTTCATTGGAATTTTAAAGTAGCTAAAAATGCAATACAATAAAATGACAAGTCATTTTATCTATTCTTTCTATCGACAGTGTTAGCCACACAATTATTGGATATTATCTGTTAGTACTTGCAAAGGTACGGGTCCCATTGTAATGTCTCAATGTTCATCAACATTGTACGAGACGCATTGGTAACATCGGTTAAGTGTAAGCCATCCGCCTTTCCACCAGTCAGGTTCTATATACAAATATAAAAAGGTTTTGAGGATGTAGAACAACTCAGCAGTAGAAGGTCACCACTCAAACGACAACGAACGAGAGAGCGAGGAGACAATGTGTCCAAGAGAAAGGAGAAAGCTCAAAGCTTTCAATGAAATATTGATTCAAGGATGGACCTATATCTTAAATGTCATTTTCTATAAACCGTGCAATATCAGGCATGCACTCGGTCTCTATACCCGTCATCAAATTAAATGCCTGATCACGCAACATTTCCTAAAGCCCAGCTCATTCCCCATTTTATGAGTTACATGTACACAGACGCACCCAGAGGAGCCAACTATCTACTGTTCCTAAAAGACATCGATCTTCCTCAACAGCACTCTTGACTGCAGGAACTTTCTCCAGCATCCACTTCATCTGCAAGACAAAATAAAATTCTATTTGTACCCTTATTCTTGTGGCCTTATTTGCATGCATAAGGTAAATATGTATGGGTAACCTTCAAGGCGCTAAAATATGTGCTCATCGGAAGACCACATAACCGACGGATACGTTCTGCTTGAGCTTTCGTTGTTGGATTTCCTAGGATTTCGTCAACCTCAGAAGCTGTTCTTGTATCCAACCAAACTAGAAACACCATAATATACAGATGAATATATTTCCAGGGTATTACTATACTTCACAAAATATATATGCATACCAATGGCATTGTACAATGGTTCTCCTGTCAATTTATCCCACGCTATAATCGTCTCCCTTTGGTTTGTTATTCCAATGGCTTTGATGTCTGACGGATCTACGCCCAACTTTCTGAGATTCTCGACAGTTTTGTCGACACAAGACAGTGTAGAGTTGAGCAAAATCTGCAAGAAAGCAATGAGAATTTAGAGAAATCGTCCAATTAATCTGATGAGAGTTCCTATAACCAATGATGAGTAACTAAATACATACATACATTGCATGCACTTGGGAGGCGTAGTAAAATTCACTTATTGCACTAACCTTAGCATCTTGTTCAACCCACCCCTGTTCAAAATTAATATGAATAATGATAATAAACTTGTACATACATTATTTCTGTAATTTTAATGAAATTGTGTATTTTGCATACTTCTTTTGGGCAGCTGCGTGGAATTTCTATCTGATGATAAGTCAGTAGCTCTCCGTTGTTTGCTGCAAACACCTAAAAATTGTTTCCAGTGTAATCAGTCAACAAATAATTAAGCGAGGAGTTCATGAGTAGCAAATAAAAAAGTTCATGTTTCGTTCAAATCCTGCATGCGTACTCAATTTTTGCACCAAACACAAATTCTACAAGACATTATCATAATTTGCCTGTCATTTGAGAAAAAACAACAGGTGGTTATCCTAAGTAGATATCTTGAAGAATTGATTTTGAATAGTCTCAGACATTCATCGTTATCATTGGGATTTTCAGCTTGACAGCTCCACCTGCTATACATATATGTATGCATGAAAAGCTTGATAAAATAATAGTGACAACAGACAAGTACTTTCGTGAGCAAACTCTGGACGACATGTAGTAAAAGGGGATCAAAGAAAGCAAATATAATTCTATCGAGCTTTCACCCGTTCAATCTTTGGTTAATTCGCGTGGGCGACAGTGAGCCTACGTGCCTCTGCATCCTTAAATTCACATTTGTTCACTTTCAACTTTGGTCGTGCAGTCTATAGCCTGTTAAAATAAGTGAGACATATCGGGATTTTTTTTGCGCAACAAGATACTAAACAAGTAATATAAAGGAAAGTGAAGCAAGATAACCCAATAAGTTAGCTGAAGATTGGGCAATGTCATGAATCACAAATCAATGGAGTAAACTTTTTATTAGTGAACTGTCTGACCATGTCTGACGAGCAAAGTTTTACAGAATCCTCCGTTTCACTATTCTTGTACAAAGCAGCGATAGATGAGAACGTTTGTTTGTCCATCCGTTCGTTTGTCTGCTCGTTCATTACTTACATGATCATTTTTTAAGGAAATAACATTTTGAAGTTCTGTTTTCGGATATCGAGAACAAAAAAGGTAGTAGTTTGGTAGCTTGTTAGTCGACCCTGTAAAATTATGATCTTCAAGTTAGCGGTCACCAAATTTTGACTAGCAACTGGTAATACACAGTGTACAGAACACTGGTCTAAAAAGACCTCACCGTGAAGTATGAGGCCCAGTTAAAGGTGAAATTTTAAATCTCGGCAAATTGAAAGTAATTCAAAGTAAAATTGTTTAGAAATTTTGGAACTGGAATTTAATTCCATATGTATGCGTCGAACATTCATCGGATAGCACTATTGTTATTTTGTTACATATGTTTCCTAGAAGTAACAGTAGATGAAGTAATCGCACAAATGTTGGTAATTTTCAAATTTCATCATCCTAATTACTATTCTTGTCTGAATTTGATACCGACTGGTTGTGGTGCATGGGATGGAAGCGATTTAGCATTTATCACCGGGCTGTATATTTATTAGTCAGATATAGAGATACTGGAGAGATAGGAGTTAAAGGTAAGCCGAGAAAGGATAAATGTCATCCATCTGCTTCCTTCTCATCAAAGGAGATTATCACTCTGACGTATGTACATAGATGTGCGAACTAATCAATTCCAACTAACAGACCAAGTCTCTGGTCAACAAATAAATCTTATGATACAACCACCATACTTTAATAAACTCACTGATTATGAACTCCCGAAACATATGTACATAGCTGTTCCGTGTGGGGACTGCATGGTTTGATTGCAATTGTAAATAAACAATGGTTTACGAGGTCTTATCATCCGATAATGACAACCATTGATGATTGATAATTCACCAAAATTCATTGACTGACAAGAGTGATTCTACTCATCTGTTTTAGATCCATTGTACATAATACAAAAGTACATATTATTTGTATGTGTCCATCTGCAAATAATTCATGGTCTATACGTAGTGAGCATTACTTATGTATTATGAACCGTCTGGTGATATTTTCTGTCATTCATCCATCGCTGGAAACCTAATGGTCATGGGGCTGTCTAATAGTCTGCAATTTTCATAGTCAATCCCGTGTCACTCGATTATTGTCTACTCTGTCCCTAAGTAATTCATCCATATTGAGAAAATTGCGTCGTTGAATTTACTTTGAATGCAAAAGAGGTGCAAGTGGTGGACCAATGGACAAGATGAGACACTGAATTTTTTTCGATGAGGGGAATCATCAATATTTATAAACAATCTTATCACAGAATTTTCATGATGAATAGCGTGGCATGACAAGGCCACGTCGTCGGTCGTCGGTCGGTATTGTCGACTGTGTGTCCAACAACATCGTTGTATCATCATCATTCTCGCACTCTAATGCAATAACATTCCCGATGTTCTTTCCTGACAGTATTTCGCGAGGTTGGTTGTATTGGCAGATGTCTCATCTCAACTTGTGGAATGATGGTGAATTTGTGATCAAGGGAATTAAAATGAATGCAGTCTTGCCAGTTGAAATTGCTTTGGCAGCGTTAGGTAACCATTTGATTGGGGAAAACTTTGGGTCGTAGAAAAAGGACTTTCCCATGAATTTTGTAATATTTATATTACTACGGTCAATATACTCGTCTAATTGGGGATTCCATAAAATTCCCTGTGATTGTTACTAATGTGTGTACTTGAGTTGTCTCGAGTGTGCCCAATTATACATACATCTAAATATGATTACTCTGATAATTCACACTGTAGTCAGATGATATTTACAAATATCATCATGCGATGAAATGGACAAGCTTTAATAAAGTGGACATGCATTTTTTTGCATGGACGTCTCAATTTTATTTTATATGAATGTCTTACCAAGAATCTTGAACTTGAAGTGCCTTGATCCAACGATCCCACAAGAGGTCCATGTTTCCCAGCCATTCCAGCCCAAATTCAGGAAAACTGCGTCACAATAAACTAGATTTGTTTTTAGGAAACTATTTTTATTCAAATCCTGCTTGTTCTCTCCACTTCACTAAATCATGCAAAAAATAGCAGGTTCAGTACAGAGTGTTGGTTATCGGGTATAGTTCAGGACAACGGTGATTATTAAGATGTAAATATTTGGATGGGGAATGTGATGACAGTTATTGACATGGGCCACCTGACAGGTCACAATAAATACATGTCACTCAACTTACTCTAATTTTTTTGAGCAATTAAGAGCAAAGTAACCATTACATTAATAATGTGTCCGCACTATGCAACTGGTATGACGAAGAACGGCGACCACTCATTAAATTAAGCACGTACGTATTTGTTGCCAGAAAGCAGTGGCTACGACAGGTCTATCATTAGTGAATGAAGTGTTTATTTTGACGATGGTCGAGTTAGGTAACGCAAAACCCAAGCTATCAGACAATATTTGTGCGGCTTTATGGAGTTGGTAAGAGAAACTGTGGTTCGAGAAGAGCACGCTACTCGCTTTTATACCTGGCTAAAAAAACTCTAAACCTACTTTTACTCTACATTCGGTCCTTGCCGATGAGTTTAATGAAAAGCATTTGCATTGTCTCGAAGTGGTATTTTTCTTATGGGAAATTCAGTGAATACATAACTCCTGGACAAATGCATAACATGCACAAGGGCCTCTTATTAGCTTGAGAGACCAGTAAAGTAATTATGAAACTTGCAGTCAATTATATTGAATATGTACACATACTTACCTGCGGTCGGTTGGTAAGTTGGTGCGGTTGCCCGTTTTATTGTTGTCCAGTATTATAAAACTGAGCGACTGGCTGACTGGTGGTTCCTTTTTAAAATGAGGATAGTTCTTCTTAATACTTTTGGTATTTATACTAAATTCTATATTATATCACGCCCGTCACGAAATGTATCCGATGACAGCATATATAATCAAAGCCACTTTTATCACGAATGTCATCAATCTTGTTGATGGTGGTGGTGGGTATTTAAACTTTAAATTATTTTTCATCAGACACTCGTCGAACTGTCGATATGTATAAATTTATATTATGCAATGTCACAATCAGGTTCAGACGGTATGTGTGAACGTATCTAAACTGGTGCCGATAATCGTATTATTGTACTACTTTCTTGGTACCAAGAAGAGTTGAAGCAGTTCTATAGTATGTTATACCTTATTCCATGAGTTAAAGTTCAATTGAGGATTTTGCAGTAGTAGTTAATTTAGATATTGTATTCGAGTGGTTTAGTTTTGGATGGCTGGCGTATTAAGTATCACAAGCATCGTATTTCAATTTAATTTATTGCTTAAGAGCAAAACCACAAATCTATTCGTTTTAAATATGTATAAATGCCTTATTATATGGCATGTAGAAGTTGTGGAATGCCAACGTCTCGGACATTAATTTCAGGCTGATTAGGATGAAATCCAATCTATGGAAAAGAGTGAACTAATAAAATAATGAATATTGCTCTGAGATATTAAAAAATGCTTTGAGAGTCGGTGAGACTGAGTTATATGACGTCCAAATGAATGGATAAACTGATTACTGATTGTGCATTTACATTATGTAAATTACATATCGTGGCTTGATAACCCAATTGCTTACTATAGTTCATGTATGAAGTTAAAGAGTTAGATATATTTAGCTCGTTTACATATGTATTATATCTGAAAACTGAAATTCTTTGGTGTAACATCAATATTTATAACTCCTGAGTCCACACATTTCTAAAATTTGATTTTTATAACTACATGGAAATAATGTAACACAGGGTTAGTCTACATGTATGTAGTTCGATTACATCCTTATTATTTAGCTAGCGATTTCACAGTTTGTCATATGAATACATGCATTGCCTAATCGTGACCATGCTACTACATAATTCTTCACAGGTTTTTAATGGATATTTATGCGTCTGAGATGTTATCTTCTTACCTTAATTGAGATTGCGCGAATATCTTGAACACATAGGTAGGCCACGATCATAGATCTATATATAACGCTAGGATTATCACAATTTAATCGTGCTCATTGCAGATAGTTCACAAATTTGTGTTGTGGCAGTGACACAAGTACAACCACTGAGGAGCTAATTGTATTACGTATTATATATGTAAGAACACTCGAGATTAACAATATTCATGAATTAAATCATTTACAGAAACATTAGTTTTACTGCATTTTTGCAACAAATGGATTGATTCTTTCCAATTGTATCAAATACCCCTCATGTATTTGCCTTCTAATCGATCTGGATAATTGATTGAGCAAGTTTTGCCTTTAAAGGGATTAGCACATATTTGTTATTTTTCTAAATGTGCTTTCCTGCTTTGAAAACCGCTCTTATAAAAATTTACACATGACGTAAGTTCGAGTTGGTAGTTTGGTACAATACCAAAATAAAATCCATGTGCCAACCAGACTTTGGCTGAACACAAGGTTGGTTGGGTTCGCAAAGTTCGCATTCTCATTTTCGCAATGTTCGGAAGGAAGGCGTACGACGATCAATAAATATCCCCGTTCTGCATTTCACCAAAACTCCATGAATAAATAACATGTAAGAGGACGACATCAATTTGAAACACTAACAAATTTCACATTTGGCTGATTTGGCTGGCCATTTGGAACAAATTGCAAGTTTCTTTCTCCATGTATAAATATGTATCATGAAATGATCATAATGTAAACCTTCGATTCGCCCCAACTGAACACCATGAATGAAATTTGTTTACAACATGTGCTTTTTTCTGTCAAGTTTTTGTTTTGCAATTTCTTGCACTGTTTCACATTTCTAATTCCAGTTTTAATTACTTGAGACGGAAAAAAGTGTCACAATATTCTAAATACTTTGAACTTGATTTAGGTCCACTTCAGTAGAGTATTAAGAATTGCATATTATTAAATATTATGACTGACGCTACCACAATTTCGCCCAAGGAAGTTGGTCATGGGGAAGTTGCAGGAGGGTCAAGTATTGCGCCCGATGCGGGTATGAGCCCCTTTGAACAGAGGTTTGTTAGTCGTCGTTTTTACGAAACTTAAAAGTTGAAATTCATTGTGGATCATCATCTAGTACAAAATGGTTAATGATGTAAATCTGTTTCGTTTAGAATAATACAGCTGGCGAAAGAGTTCCCCAAAGGGATTCCAGGCAAAATCTTGCAAAATGACATGCCTACCACAGTTTCTGCAGATGAAAGAGCGATCGTGATTAACAAGCTTTTGGCACAGGTACTTGTAGCGTTATAGCCATTATATTGGATATTGTGAGATCAAAATTGTTAATTTTTCCAGGGGATCCTTGATATATACAAACAAGGGAACGAGTTACTATACAAGCTCAAGGGTGGAAAGTCTTCAGAACCGGATCAAATTAAGGACGCAGATAATGAAGAAAAAGTAGTTTTCGACATTATCAAGGAGGCCAGCAATATGGGGATTTGGATTAGAGACATCCGACTTGCTAGTAATTTAACATTGTCGCAATTGAATAAAATTGTCAAGTCATTAGAGACTAAGAAGCTCATTAAGGCTGTCAAATCTGTTGCGGTAAGACAAATTACTTGTGTTGTACTTACTGACTGTGCTAAGGAACACTAAGGAAGAAGTATTGAAGTCATTGAATTGCTTTCATGTCAGGCATCAAAAAAGAAGGTTTACATGTTGTACGGACTGGATCCACATAGATCGCTTACGGGTGGGGCGTGGTACTCTGATCAAGATTTCGAATCCGAGTTTGTCACCATATTAAATCAACAGTGTTTCAAATACTTGTCGGATAAGAGACAACAAGCACAAGCCAATGTTGACGACGTCGGGCCCAAGGCTAAAATGGCTATAGCTCTTACCACCCTGGACGACCTGTGGAAATATATTTGCAATCTCGGGATCAGCAAGGTAAATAAGTATATATTGGCGTATATATATCCCAGAAGTAAATATACATAAACTCACTAGAATATTTATTGGTGTATGAAAAATGAATTGGTTGGAATTTAATAATTCTAAATATATATACTAACAGATTCGTGTTAAATATTGGAAATACTTAGGTTGAACTAACTCCAGAAGATATTACAAGCATTTTGAACACGCTCATCTTTGATGGAAAAGTTGAAAAGATACGGAAAGGGGATTTGGAATATTATTTGGCTGCCGAACCAATGCTCGAGACGACAGGTTTGATACAAGTACCTTGCGGAGTTTGTCCCGTAATTAAAGATTGTTCGGAACGTGGATTGGTAAATCCTGGATCATGCCTTTACATGAACAACTGGTTATCAAGTGAGTTTTAATTTAACTATTTTAGGATATATGCGAATGTTTATCAAGTAAGTGTAATAAACTCTTAATTGTTCAAGTCTATTGATTTTATTCCAATTTTTATTAATTTTGCTTCCCTCCTTATCCCGACCCTTCAAAACTTGATCGGTTATCAAACTAGTGCATACATCATCTTGGAACTTTATTTATGTGTTTGGTACAAAATCTTTGGGAAGCAATTTCTGAAATAATAAACGTTATCAAGTCCAAGAACTATAGTATGTTTTAATAGCAATATATTTATCTGACTTGTATGCAAATTTTTATTATTATCAATTCTATCTGAAGAGAACAATAATTAATTGTAGAAAAATGACTAAACATCACATTCATTTCCCACTAACGACGAGGTGAATTGATGATACGAAATCATCAATCAAGTTTTAAATCTTATCAACATGACTTATAGAAATCAACACTAGTGTTTCAAATACGACTCATTGTTGTCCTGTCAATCTGCATACACTTCTACACCATACCATTGTAAATACATACATCAAATTATCATGCATTCATATTCATGCTGACGCGTTACTTTACTAATGTCTAATGTCTACACCTTTGATGCATGCGTAGCTTTGCAAAGTGTCAATTTAGTAAAATAGGAACGCAATAAACAAAATCGACGTGATTAATGTTTATAACCGGATAAACGACACCGCGGACCTGTAATTATTCTTTTAAAAAATATTTCATACATTGAACAAGCATATTTACTATAATAAAGAATTGATAGATTATAAACGCTACATGCAAACTTGGGTTGAAACTTGTTATTATTAGAGTTTAAGTAGTAAGTATATTGTAGCAAAACATCACAAAACTGAACCAACTAATTGTTATTATTTCTCGCTCGTACAATATCGTTCGTTGTACGGGAGTCGTATACATATATTCAATCTGTATTTTATAATGTCATGCTCAAGCTAAATAAATTCATTATAAAATGGCGTATTATTTTGCTACCAATTTAATTGAAATCGATCAAGATACCAATGCGAGTCGCGGAATACTCTTAAAAAATCAGTCTCTACGGCAAAATCTAGCAAGACGTATTCACTATATATCTTGTCAGGGACTCATTCGATCAACTACAAAATACTGATGACAATTTCTACATGAATGATTCTATATCGATTCTAAATCAGCAAACTCGGCGGATTTTGGCACCCCTTAATTTCCCAGTTTTTGCCCGTCCATAATCATCATGTCGTCATACAGTCTTCATGATGATTTGTCTTTGGACTAGTATAGTAGTACGAAAAACAAAGCGGGGTAGTTTGTTTGATTTCATAACTAAACCAACCACGGTGGGATACATAAAAATACCACGACTAAAAGAGATTAGACTTGGCTTGCCTTGTTTAGCACAAGATTAGCTACATACATCGTTACATGTGTAGCCAGGCTAGTAGTTGTTGCCTGTCATTACGAAGATAGAACTAATTGTAAGCAGTTTATCTCATTATTAACCTCAGTTATCCTCTTACCAATTTGACCTAGCATAAATCTTATCCGCATGTAACTTAGGTATGTTTTTAATTTTTCGGGCGGCGATTATGTTGAATTTCTGAAAAACTGGATAGGATTGTCGATTGTAATACCATGTAATTAACAAATTTATTGTTATGCTACACTGACGAGTTGGTACAGGGTGGTTTAGGTTGTAGGAGATATCGTTCTTCAGTACTTCTTGCTTGTTCATTTATAATCACCGCTGTTACCTGAAACAAATGAATGAAATGTCAAAAATTGCCATTGCATTAATTTAATAAATTCTCAATGATTAGTCGTAGTTACAGTTTTTCCATGTCCATTTTTGTGATTTCGTCCATTATTTGAGGCTGACACAACAGAATTAATACTGGGAGATGGAGAAGGGAACATCCCTGTGTGTCGTTGTTTCGGAGGTTGAAGCAATTTGGGAAAGTATTTTCTCCTCCCCCCATTTCCATCTTCAGAAATTGTTGCAGATAGATTTCGCCTATGATGGCTACCTGGTGCTCCATTTTGTGATGCCGTGATATTAGGACGAGCCTGTGATGACTGGTTATTCGTTGAAGGAGTTTCCAAGTTCTTTCGCACACTGGGAGCAAACTGTACGTTAGTAGAATTATGTTCCCTGCTAGGATTGGACGTGTTAGAAATGGCGTCTCCATTACGTATTACCGGGTTGAGATTCAAACCTTCTTGAGACATTCGCTAGCAAAGTATATAAAGATATATATAATTAAATTGAAACCTTGCACATAGAGCTACACAGAATTACTCATTATTGTGGCACTTACGCTGTACAATATCGGACTGAAGTTGGCACACATATTAAAAAATATTTGACTAATAAAAAGCGCAGCTGTAATACCTAAAAAAACAAACGTTTTTCAGTTTATTTGTGGCATTAATTTACTCTGCCTTTTTGCAATATGTATACTTACAGAATCCCACAACACAAAATACTTTTAGTCCCTTAGCTTCGCTTTTTGAAGGGAGGTCTTCTGTGTCTGAACCTTGGGTGGTTACATACGCCAGCAAATTGATTTGGAGAATGAACATGCAGACGATCACAAAGTTAATGGCAGTTCCATGCACTTCTTTTTCAACTTTAGTGGGTCCGTAGGCAAAATAGATATTGTACCGGTCGACATAATGTTTAAAGACCAAGTAGACCAGACCTAACAAGTAAATTATTTGATTAGGTGAATGGAAGGAATTTTAACCCTAATGACACTAGATTAGTATATATAAAAATATTTAAACGTACCGAAAGGTGTGACAATAGGGAATATGACGCTGAACACACTGAAAGTGGTACAAAAAGCATAGGTAAGCAACCAAAGTGCTGAAATACTTGGTACATACGGTGTGTAACATACCTAAATATTGCAAAATTCAACATCATCCAGGCGTATTGAGATCCAATTTGAAAGTCCTATTTTCAAATTAAAAATTAAAACATGCACAGTTATATCATTATTATATAATCAAATGATTTACCCATAAAACGGACTGGCGAATGGCCGCTATTTATATTTAAAATAAAAAATATTTAGAATACCACTAATCCTTGTTTGTCTACAACTATATTTACACGCTTACTTACCAATTTCTGCGGCGGAACGAGCAAAACAAAGCTTGATACAGTAGACAAGAAGCTCTGGTAGTCTGTATAAGGTATAGAATAAACTATAGTAATTAATTACAGTGGGTTGTCAAAAGTGTTGGTGGTCCATTTTGCGCTCGGTACCGCGTGAGATATTTTTGCCCGGCGATAACCATGGACTAATTCTCCCGGCATTTTTTATAGCCCAACAAATGTAGACGAAAATACATCAAACAGAGTTTTGAAATCTGACCCAGTTCGGGGGAAACTGAGAAAAAACTTTAAAAACAGTATAAAAAATTATGCCAAAAGTGTTGGTGGTGGTTGATTTTTCGTATCTACAGGCCACTCACGTCTGAATTACCAGTCGTAGCGTTGGTATAATACTCTTCTATGTTCATTGCGCTATAAATTTATTTAAAATGGCCAAAATACGTGAGTTGACCATCGCTGAGAAAAATTAATCAACAGCTCGCGCGAGAGATGGGTTGGACCCCAAAATCTTGACCTTTTGACCTCATTTAACGTTTGGAAAATTCAGAGCATAATCATGACGTCCGCATACCCTTGCGCAGTGGTCAGCAATGCAAGTCAAGCCCGAACAACAGCCAATGCATCTCACCAAAGCAGAAAAATGACCTACTATGGTAACGACCACGGTTCTGGGAAGGTCTCAGGGGCCACAAAAAAAATCCAGATCGCATTGGATCACATAATCTTGCAGGTTATTTTGTGTTTTAGTCTACGCGAAACAAATTTTCATTGAAAGAAGCCGGTTTATGAACATACACATAGCAAGATGTACGAGTCGATAATATTCTGTATATGCGTGGCGAAGGGAACGCGCGAGTGTGATGAAAAATCATCAGGACGAGATCCTGTGATCCGATGAGAACAAATTCTGTTTTTTTAGAATCCGAAGACATTAACATGTTTGTAGAAAATCAAGTGAACCACTGAGAACCGATTGCTTGAAAAAAACTGTGAGTTACACTAGAGGCTATTTTTCTTATCTTACTTCCCAGCATGTTGTGAAATTAATCTCATCTTTATCTCGGCCAGATTCAGTGATTGGGTGGAGCGCATGTCCTCAAATAAAGTGGGGGACACTAGTTTCAATATTATCACAATGAATCTGTTCAGTGTGTATTGCGTTGTAATTTTTCCGCCCTCTAGGTCCTTCAAAAAAGGATTGTAATTCCTATGGTAAGTAATTTTTCTGCCTTGGCGTGATGCGGTGCCCTTTGTTCGGCATTGTTTTGCGTTGTTGACCACCGCGCAAGTGTGTGAGTATTGCATGATAATATTCTGAATTTTCCAGAGGTTAAACCAGGGCAAGAGGTAAAGATTTATGGGTCGAACCCCGCTCTCCCGCGAGCTGTTGATAAATTTTTCTCAGCGATGGTCAACTCACGTATTTTGGCCATTTTAAATAAATTTATAGCGCAATGAACATAGAAGAGTATTATACCAACGCTACGACTGGTAATTCAGACGTGAGAGGCCTGTAGATACGAAAAATCAACCACCACCAATACTTTTGGCATAATTTTTTATACTGTTTTTAAAGTTTTTTCTCAGTTTCTCCCGAACTGGGTCAGATTTCAAAACTCTGTTTGATGTATTTTCTTCTACATTTGTTGGGCTATAAAAAATGCCGGGAGAATTAGTCCATGGTTATCGCCGGGCAAAATATCTCACGCGGTACCGAGCGCAAAATGGACCACCAACACTTTTGACAACCCACTGTAATTATTGGCATTCATTTACGTACATTACATATCACACAAATATTGTAAAATTTATGGAACATTTATATTTTACTTTTTAGGAAACACAGTTTCACGGAAGTAACAAATTGGACATTAATTAACAACCACATATAAACCGCACACAAACTAACCTCATCAACTCTGAAGCCGTTCCAAGGAATGTCGATGTGCAGATATAGTTTACAAACAGAGCTCCATTATCTTTGGAAAATACACACTCCCATTGCAAAGCTGTCGTTGTAAAGTCTTTCGTAATTATTGCAGTAAGACTACGCATAAAAGTCAACGAGTTAGAAAATACATCACGAGTCATCGATAATATAAATAAAAATGTTACCTCGTTATCCCCAAGGAAGGAAGGATAATTACCATGAAAATGAGGAATGAAAACACCTAGATAGATGAAACGCCATTATTAGTTTTATAACAATTACTTGTAATAATACTCATTCTCCAACTAATTTATTTAAGAAAATACAGAAATCTAGAGATTAGTAGTTAAATATTGTAATTCTTGCGTTGCTTGCCTTTATCATTCTTGAGCGATTTTCACCAGTTTTACTCCAAAATCCAATAATTTTGTCGGAAACCGAAACCAAGCTTGGAAGAGTTACTGCAGAAAATCAAGAAAAGTTCAACGTTACTTCAACGAGATTAAACTGTCGTGAGTGCTGTTTAATTTAGAGGTGTCGTTATAATCTCGAAAATTAGTTCGACGATTCTTTTCGTCATATATTTTTACATTACATTGTTGCTGGATGTGTGAATTACATATTTCTTACGTTGCTTTCACTCTTTCACTTGTGGATGTAAGTAACATACTATGTCTTTATACATAGCCACATCCATAGAACAAAGAATGCACTTGCATGTAAATTATTTTATTTATCTTACCAGCAACAATCCAAAGGAGAAGTGTTGGCACGGTGTCAATTAATAGACCCGTCTAGTAATAAGATCCAAATGGAATGAATGGTTATTTTTTTAAATTTGGTTCGTCAGTCCACTTACAAGAGTTGAAGTTGGAGATTGTGGGCCATCATCCAAGTCGTTGGTGGTAGCATTTGTGGCGTTAATATTCAACAATGGAATAATAGCTTGCAGTAAGAATACTGGAGTAGTGTAGAACGCGACAATAATAGCTGAAAATATTATCACCAAAATTAACACCACATTAGTACGTCCCAGCACCTTCCTGCATACACACACTTACCCAGTATAATGTTCACAACGAAGACTTTGACATACCACGTTTTGAGTCCAGTAGCTAGATTTTCCCTGTTTTTGTAATAGAAGAAGTGTCATACAAAAGTGTATATGCTTCGGTTCGTTTAGTTTCGTTTGTTCGATCTATTTAATTTTGAATACACATTATAATAGTCATACCAGTAGATGTCTTCTGGTAGTGGAGCAAAATTGACTGTCCATCTTCTTGATTTTAACTTGTGGCTAATAAATAGAATTATTAATAATCAAATTTAAGTAAGATAGTAAAGTTTGGTTGGTAAAGCTTTGATTGGTAAAGTTACATAGTAAGCCATTTTCATATATTTTTACCTAAATTTAGACTGAGGAGTTTGTGCCAATACTTTACAAACAAATCGATAGTCATTCACAACTCGTTCTGCCATATCCACCGTTTTGAAGGTAATAAATGCAATTCCAAGTGGTTTGGTCAATGCGCGCTCTCGTTCCGTTCCAACTTCTCTTGTAAATTGCACTTCTTCTTGTGAATAAAATTCAATTGCATCCCTCGAATCACAGCCACAGCCCTCAGAACAAGACCAACAAACAGCGCCACAATAATATGGGGTCATTGTAGGGCGCCTTCCATGCTTGGCCATATAATCTTCCCTGTTGAATTAAACGAAATAAATGGATAATAAGTAGACAGTAAGAAATTTTACACTAAATACAAATCCTAACAACTAACCAGTATAATATCGCCAATTGCGCAGTTTGTCTAAGTAAAAAAATATTGGTAAAATATGCATTATTTTCTTACAAAATGTAAATCATGTATGCAATATGTGTATACCTGGAGAACTCAACTTTCTGAAGATCAGTTATGTCATAAGCGAATGTAACTACAGTTTGAAATACAAATAGAATAAATTATCTAATATTTAAAGAGCAACATCAAAAATTAAACACAGACAACACATGGTGAGTTTCTGACCTTCTGATAACTCCACATCCGGATAAATCTCCCTAAGTAAAGAATCAAATTATTAATACGTTTAGTCAGCCCGTCAAACGCAAACCATCATTAATTAGACTCACTCGAAATGCATCTTCAGTTTATCTTCCATGCAAAATTTTCTGCAAATCCCTACAATCATGATGCTCCGTCTGGCAGTAGGATCATCGCAATCGACAAACTTTAGCGCTGTTTGACAAATCAATATAATAAACAATCAATTATACTATACATACCAGAACAGAAGAAAGACGCTTATCAACCATATTACCGTTACCTCTAGAAAAGTGTCTCATTACGGCAATGCTTAGGAAAAGAAATGTAATGGCGAGTATTACATGAACCCAGAGTAGTTTTGCACTAAAATGATATAAGTAGACACAAAAATTAACCTTATATGAAAGTTATACTAATTCTTTAGTTCTGAAATGTGTGAACTCACTTATGTTTTAAATTGATAATCGTAGTCTGGTTGAACTGAGCAGTTTGATCTGTGAGTGGTGTACCTGAGTTGCAATTAGATAAATGCGTAAATTGGTGTTAACGTTATGTCATGGTTTATAGTTATATGCACCTTGATAATTAATCGGCAAAATTATCACGACTGATGTTAACGTCACAATTGAAGCCAAGAAAATGAGATGTCGTTGAAATGACAGGTACTGGACGCAGTCGAAGCCACATTTTTCCATATACTGTTTATCCCTGTAGTAGATACAAGTAACATGTGTCAACCAATCATATAAATGTGAATGCAATCTAACGGTACAGATAATATAATATAATAAGACATTTAGTTGATTGGCTTACGTTAATGAAAACACAATCTTGATCCAACTAAAGTATCCTGTGTCCATAATAACCTTCGCATCCGAGTGAACAATACGACTATAATCATGGTCGGTGCTTTGTTGTTGCTGTGCCCCAAGTCCACTTTGGCTCTCAGGACTTTCAGAATTTACATTTACCCCACCGGGTTTGAGTAACTGAGTTGTCGCAGTCGTACCGGAGGGTGTTGAAGTTATTTCTTCCCCTTCGCCACTGATGATGACATGATTATCTCCATCCCCTCTACCCCTTCCTCCTCCTCCATTACCATTAGGGACTCCTGTCGTAGTTGTACTTTGCTGACCTGCAGCGCGGCTACCAAAGATCATGTGGGTGACCCTAATACGATAAAAGTATACTTATTGTTTTTCTAAAACTTTATGCACAAATAAAAAGTGTGCAATTAACAATGACCTTTCTGCAAACTGCTCTGTGCGCTCTATGAGAGCTAGTCTGCCATAATTCCATGCTTTCTTCCGGAGAAATGAGAACAGTAGAATCATTATCTGAAACAATACACAAGTATAATTAAACTCTTACACCTCAGTAGTATGTAGTATGTGAAAAACTTGTTCTTATTCTTACCATCCAGCCGATAATGTTGAGAACCAAGTTCTGGGGGATACCTTTAAATGATAACAGATTTAAGATTTATTTATTGTAAGAAGTTTACAAGATGTCGACATAAACACATAAATGGTCAAGTAAGTCACAAAAACAACAAAAACAACATCAACAATAATCAGCTTTGAAACTGATTATGAAATGAAACCAGAACCAAGCCTCTGCGAGCCATATGAGTCTCCAGTGCAGAATACGTCATCAGCCTGCTAGGGAAGCTGTCCGAAGCTGTGAATTTCTGACCCCGTACCGGGCTCGGGCCCGAAAAAATTGAAACCTGAAAATTGAATGTTTTTTTTGCTTGCATAATGTGTGTCGAGGTCTGCCCTCCAAAAAAGATAGTTATATAAGATAAGAAAATATAAGATATAAGATAGGAAAAATCAAAAACAAAAATTGTAATTATATGTTTTTGATTTTTCCCACCAAAATTTATAGCGATTCGAACGGTAACCAACTATCTTTTTTGGAGGGCAGACCTCGACACACATTATGCAAGCAAAAAAAACATTCAATTTTCAGGTTTCAATTTTTTCGGGCCCGAGCCCGGTACAGGGACAGAAATTCACAGCTTCGGACAGCTTCCCTAGCAGGCTGATGACGTATTCTGCACTGTAGACTCCTATGGGTCGCTCTGGCTTGACCAGAACATACCTTCGTATCCATTGAGCCCTGCAAATTTCGGACAAAAATATATGAATTTTAAAAGTAAGCTTTGGTGTAGTAACTACTTAATCTGTACAATCTTTTAACCTGTGCCAAAAAATCCACCTCTCCCCCGATTTTTGTACTTTGCGTAGATGTTGCAAGATTTATCGTCAGACATGGCATCCATCAATATTATCAACACTATGCCTCCCCCCTTACCGCACCCACTTGTCTTATTATCTAATTGATGCCTGGGGTCTAATTATTTTCTTTGCGTAAGCCTCTTCACTTTAGTTGTTATTCATTGTTTTCAAATTTCGAAAAACACACGTGCTCACTTTTTACGAGCAAATCAATCTTACACGTACGTAAGATGCAAATATGCAAATATTAATATTTAGTTATATGTCGCCAACAATTTTACACTTTTGATACTGTAAATCTCAATAATTTCATAGTATAATGTGAGCTTTATATATAAAAGAGACTTCTTGTCCCGTCACACTATTATCGATTTATAAACTTTTAATTGTCTATTGCCACAAATGATAGAGCTGTCATCTTTCTCCAACTCTAATGCAAGCCAAAATGCCACTGATCAAGTCACGTCACCATTATTTCTTTGCATCATTACGAACAGGTGAGCAAACTTTGTCCACTAATTCCATGAATAATTAGATATTAATAATAACACTAGTTGACTCATCCCTCCTTCTCCAAGACTCAAATTTCACCCTTTATTACTATCGCTTCGGCTCTGATTCACTCTGTCACGACTTTGTCATTGTTGTGCTCGCCACTTTACAAACTTAATGAGACACATTGCGGGTTTTAACTTGGCGAGTGGTTATCAGCAACTGCCCTTCGGTGTAAAATCGGGCCAAAAAGAAGGAAGGATGAAGGAGGAGAATGAAGCGTTCAGAGCTGGCGCCCCGTGTGCTCAAAGGCCAAAAATTCAACTCCACTGACTCAACGCAACTCGAGTGTGTGACGTCACGAGGGCAACCAATGCAATATGCCAACCTTTTAAACACACACTGCAGTGATTTGCAGTCTGCATTACAACATTTGGACAATGTGCATTTATGACAAGAGATGATAAGGTCATTTTGTATCCTCAACACAATGGAGCGTACAACAAAATCTCTTTTGGTTTCTCTGCAAATGAATATCCTTTTATTCAACGAGGCTTACTTACTGGTGGGTGGTGTCGAGAGTACACACGCTTTTTAAAGCAAGAACAATTTTATAAGATATATATTTTACAAGTAATATATATATAAGGAAACCCATAAGTATAATACAGATTAAATGAGGATTCTGAAATGTGGTCAATTACAAGTTTTCCCTAACCCGAAATGAAACTACGTAATATTAATTAATTGATTGAGAATATTTTCGAGTACAGAGTAGTGATTTCTGTAAGTGTGTTCAAGAATGATTATTATATAGTATGTAAAACTGTTTAAACAAAAACTAATAATTCATGTTCAAGTTCACATAGTCGGGTATCTGGTAGTAAGTAAATAAGTACAAATGAATCAGGGAAGTTATCACCCATGGGTTATCGTATTTCAATGGTTATGCATAGTAAAAACAGATAAACCAAATGTTTGATAATAATTTGTACAGGTGTCAAATTAAAAAAAACTGTGTAGAGGACAAGGAATTGTTTTCAAAACTAATACAGGAAAACGAACAGTGGATTTATTACATTGACTAACTATACCTAATTGTCAATATATAGTTTATTAATACAGGCGTGACCAGACCAAATTTGTAACTTGTTAGTAAAGCCGTGTGGTTGTCGCAGATTAACTATTAAATTTCAAGAATATGATCTTTGCAAGTAATTGTAGGAAATAATCAGCAGAGTACAGTATGTTTGCTTGTTTTCGATTTGATAATGTAAGTGAGAGTAGTTAGTGTGTCAATCAATTTTGGTGATTCCATTATTTTGAATGCCATTGCTTAAATAGCGTCAATGTCCAAATCATCCAGTTCTTCTTTCGGCTTATCAGGTTGTGGTTTGGGCTGAGCTTGAATGCTGGAAATCTTTGCACGGTCGTCATATTCGATCTGGAAGAAGAAATGTATAATTAAAAATTGACCTACTATTAAAGTTATTAATTTGAGCAAGAACCAATATATATGACTTAAACTGACCTCGACATCATCATCGTCACTTGGAGGAGCATCATCAGAACTCTCTTCTTCGGCTTCCTTGAGCCACTATGAAATACAATATTTATCTCATATTAATACTCATTTCAAGCAATAATTTCGTTTGATCAAAGTTTTGCAATTAACGTAGCCTGTCACCAGACATGCCTCACTTTGCCCCACAAGGCCTGGTTTAGTGGTCTTCAGTGTGGTAGAGAGCGAGACATAGAAATCTCTGTGCGGTGAGTCAAAATTGCAGATACACAAATATACACTTCCATTTGTGCATTCTTTGTAGGGATTAACAGCTTATTATATTAATTGAAGAATTAATTAACATTAATAAATCTACAGGTAAGTAGTACTCTCACAGACACATTGATTCGTGAATTTCATTAATACAGACAATTATGTATATTTTCAGGTCAATATGACTGATTCAGAATCGGATTCTGATTCATCATCTTCCAAAAAACCGGCATTAGCTACTCCTTCCACATCTTCCAAAAAAAGAGACGCCACCCCCACTAGCAGTACCAAAAAGAAAGAGCCCAAAAAGAAAAAGAGTGATGTAAATGAGGAAGTGATACTGAAGTAAATCATGAAACACAATTATAGCAGTTATATGATATTCAAGTACATATTAATTTTGATTGTGAATTTTCAACAGATTTCTCAATGATGATTCTGACGATGATGAAGATGAGGAGAAATTGATATCGAAAAGGAAGTGGATGATGGTAGAAAGCAAAGTTAATGGGACGCGATATTCCCCAGCACCACCAACAAACCCGAGTCATCGATATGTAGATAGGTCAATCGACCCTCGTGATGACCGGCCATGTCCAGTCTGGTGGAAACTTGCGACAAGTTTGAATACCAGAAGAAAAATGTCGGAAGATTCAGAAGGTGAGTAAAACGGATTATTAAATATTATATGGTTCCATTTTATGCATTGAATGTTTTGTTACAGATGGTGGGGATAGTAAACTTCGAGAGTTCTACTGCAGTTTGGCTAGAGAGGACGACGATGAAGTTATGTCATCGCAACAATCAACCATTTCTGAGCTCACCCCTAGTACACCACCAGCTATGATTGGGATAAAGCAGACGCTTATTCTAACTGCTGATAAGAGAAAGGCTGCGGAAAAGAAAATTAGAGATGCCGGCCCTGAAGGGAAGTTAGTTCCTGGAACAAAGTCAAAAGTGATGTTCGACCCGCCAAATGACGCTAGAGATTACGGACTGTTCAAAATCAGACCAATTAATGCCACTGGAGGTGGCAAGTTTATCTGTGCCAATGATCCAAGTAATTATTGTATTATTCAAATAACTTATGGGTTAGGTTAACATTATAACCTATTTTCAGATTGCTTGAGAACTCGCTCAACTGTTATGGAGGAAATCCCTAAGTGCGATATACACAAAGGAGGGCAAATTGGTTTTGTTTTAAGCGAGTTTACTGATGATGCCAACTATAAACAAGACGTCGTATATCATGTCATCGCATCCTTCAAATTCCATGCTGGCGATGAAGAAGGAAAAACTAAAAATGCATTAGATGCGATGAAGATTCAAATTAGTAATCAAGTACAGCAATCTGTCTGGAATTTGTATGTCAAGCAACGATTGGATGAAAATAAACCAGCCCCAAAATTAGTGGAAATCGAGGGACGACGACGCTATTTCGATGATGAAGACGAGATGATGAAAGTACACGCTGCTCGTCAGGTGTGATATTAATAATAATATAAATAATGAAGTTAATTGTTGTAATGACAAAATAATTATTTTAGACAACAACTCTCTTTAAAATGCTGCTATGGCCAGACACAACAATCAAAATCATCTGTTTGAATACAACAATTAATTTTCCAAATGGGGCTTATCGAGAATTAAGGGATGAGATGGATGAAAATGGGTTAGTGCTCAAGATCCATGATAAGGTGAAGGAAGCAACAGGAATGGAAAAGAATATGGAGCCAGGATTGGAGATTCCATTTCTCATTAAAGCAAACCCAGGAGAAAGTCTTGGATCATTATTGGCGAGAGGAAAGAAGATGGAAGAAATCAAATTGGCAGCTTTGTATTTTGTGTCTAACCCGTACATAATATATGCTGGTCAGGCGATAAGTGCATACGTCCATAGCAATCTTAATAACGGACAGGAACCTGTAACATACTACAAAAAGAACAAAGGTGACCACCCTGACTACAAAATTGTCCCTGTTGGACTAGTTCATGAAGATCATCGATACAAATGGGAGTTCATACTTCACATGTGTGCGTTAATCCCGTCCCTTTTGAAACTGAAGAACTGTCTCAATCCAGAGGATTATGTGGATAAGGAAACTAAGAAAGTTGCTCAGTCCCACCCTTATTGTATCAACAGGTCAACAAATTCAAGTTTTGTAGATAAGAAGTCGTGGGGGATTATTCATGGTTATCTGCTGAAGAAGTTTTCTGTAGATGTATATTTAGGGTCTAAAGGGATCTGATTAATAAATCATAAATGATCAAACGGATACTTGGAATCGCTTACCTTGATAAAAGGAGCCGCTTTATTGTGAATATCGGTGCTCATTTCTTTGCTGACATATTTTTTGCTCACTTTTGAATCCCAATCAATCAGCACTTCTTCTTCAACAATGTCTTGGTCATATAGAGCCTGAAATTGAAATAATTAACGGGTCGTCAAGTCAAACTTATAATTCAAGAATCAAGAGAGCAAGTGGCAACTAGAGTATTAGTATTTTCTCTCATAGTCTGCCTTAGGTTTACAATCAGCGTAATTATTATCAGATCTGAATAACATATTTAATCACCGAGTTTTGATGGTCAAGTGAAATTTTTACTCTATTTTAAATTACAGTGAAAATTACCTTGAAGATCAGCGGAACTTTTGGAAGAAGGCTATCTTTATATTGGTTGATGACTTGCTCAACTCCACCAATTAGATATTTTTGGGCTTTGGAACTCTGATGACAAAATCGCAGGAAAACCACTCTATGGGTCTTTAGCTATTAATTTACATTAAAAATATTAAGACATCACTGTCATTTAACACGTTCTTAGACTTTTATTGGCAAAATTATGGATAATTAAGATACCTGCTGAATGATGTTACTGTCCAAAAGCAACTCAACGAGCACAATCGCCGCTTTTTGGCGAATATCCAATCGCTCAGCCTCGCTGAGAAGCTCCTTGTCATCCAATTTATTGTCAGATTTTATCTTGGACTGTAAGAACTTGTAGAAAATATCCATGCGATCCTTTTCAGGTTTTTCCAGATCGTCCGAAACAGTAAGCCCTTTCACACCATCGCTAAGAGCTTGTTGTCGCCGACGTACAGCTTCTTCACTTACATCCACAGACCAGTCATCGTCATTGTCTCCGTTCTGTTTTCCATTAGAATCTTCCCAGTTATCATTCCAGTCGTCATCATCATCTTCAGCTCGTGGGCTGTCACCTCCATTTTGAGCCTTCCCCTTTTCTTTGCGCTTCCGTTGAGTAAGGGATGCACCTTGAGTAGCCGGATTTGTATCTGCAAATATGAAATTGTTTCATCTCCAATTAATGTAAATGTTTAAGTAAAATTGCCTTCATAGTTTCATATCGTAGGCTTAAAATCAAATTACGTTATCAGAAATTTCAAACATTAATAATATACAAATATACAAGAAATTATATGTTGTGAAAATAGTATTACCTGGAGGGTTCTTGATGATGTAATTGATGAGTCGATGCCCACCTTTGATAACTCCATTGTATCCACAAGCCTTGCAAGTTTGGGTGAGAACTTCTTTTTTTGCTTGTACACCCAAAACTGTTTCAGGGTTGTCACATTCAGGGCAAAGGACAAACTTTTTAATGAACCCATCCAGCAAATCCTGGAGCTTCACGGCTTCATGCGACCCATTCACGATATATCGTTCATCCTTGAAGTCAAATTGGGTCTGGGCACCCAACTCACAGCCAAAATATTTAGTCGGGTCTGTAATTAAATCGAGATAAAGATAAAATTGTTATAAAAATTTAAGTTAAGTTATGAGAGTCAAACATTAATACTTACAAGTTGGAGGACGTCCAAGCGCTTTGGCCACATCCACCATATTGACAATGACGGTTTTAATTCCATTTCCTTTCCCCTCAACCTTGGCTTGGAGTTTGGGCATTTTGTACCGATAGAAGACGTCGGCAATGGTGCGATTCACGTTGAGACTCATATTGAAGCCTGGATTGATCTTTTTGTCAACCTCAATAAAAATTCAATAGGTGATCTATTTGTAATTTCTTTCGCTTGAAGAGCCAAGTGACACGTGAATTTTTAAGTAGTAATGCGAAAATTAATTAGACGTGGTAAAACGTTGACAATTTTTGGGGACAAGAATTGAGGAAAATTCTAATTTTGTTTCTACTGTGTAAGAGAAATGTTTAGTTATTTTGGGAAATGAAATGAAAAGTTAGTATCAAAAGACCCAGTAAGTTAGCCAAAAAGAAGGGCACTCACTTTATCACTTGCATTCAAAAGGAAAGGGAATTAAATAATTTGAAAAACTGAATATCATATGATAAAGGTGGGTTGTAAAATCTCGAATTTTGGTAGCGGTGTTTCCTGCCACCCGTCGCGTAGTTTGTTGTTAAAGTAGGCGACGTCGTCGTGGTGCAGGTGCGAATGACTACTATTGAACTTGTTTTGCTGTTCGTGTTGTGCGGATTCCCGGACCTCAAGATGGTCCAATAACGAGGTTTCAAGATTGCCGCAATGGTTGTAATTTGCGGTGACGACTGCTAGAAAATTTAGAAGATCTGAAACCCCAAGAATAAAAAAGTTGTAAGATTAAACGTATCCTTATATATCCGTATATACAAAATTATTTTATTGTATTTTTACCTATAATCGATCGGTTCCTGACGTTGAAAAGATATCAACGACCGACTGCATGAGTCTATATGTAAGACTGAGTTTGGCGAACACGGCGTCCCAAGGGAGTCAGGTAACCCTGTGACAAAATTACAAAAATAATATGAGACCCTTGACACTACTTGACAGCAGTATTTAGTTAAGGTTGGAGAAGAACGTGAACGAAGGATCAAACTGTAGATAATATTATTACTAGTCTTATGATAAGTATGATGGTTCAAAATATCGTGCTCTTGCTCTAGTCTGACTGATCCACCAACCAAGACCAAATTAATTAAACCATTTGCATCGTCGGCGTCCCTAACCTATCCTTTTTGTGTTCAATCAAGCCAGCAATGCGCAGTATGGAACACATCTATGCGTGTATGGTACATGCTATTTGAATGAAATTCCAAAATACAATTGGGGAAAGGAGTTAAAATTCTCAAGAAAATAAACAGGATGGAACATAAGTAGAATTGTTATGAATTACGTGAAAAAAAAAGTTTTGCAAATGCTAACGAAACTTACCACAGGACATATGCATACGCGAATGTGCAACTGGTTGGCCAATTTGATCTAACAAGTTTAAATTGGAAGCACGCGACACGCGTAATAATTTATTTTTGTTTTCTTATATCTCCGTGCTTGTAATATTAATGGAGACTTGTTAGGCTCCAGTAAGTCTACAACCATAGACTCGTTACTATAAAGACAAATATGTTTCTCACCAAATTTTCAAAATTGCATGCTAAAAATATTAGGGATATATTTCGGGCAGCATCTCGGGTGGGCAGTCAATTTTGAAGTGATTAAAATTTGTATATTTCACTAATTTAAAACAGTGCTCTAAACTTTTAAATCTTTCCAAGTTAGATTAGAATTTAATTTCTATGTAAGTCAAGTTTCTAAATTGTCATTCGCTAACATTGTAAGCATTGACATGAACTTGAATTAATGTCCATGTCTGTCACATCGAAAACCAATCAAGTCTAATTTGCCCTTTCTTGTTGAACTCTCAACCGAATTGTCAACAATTTTAAATGTTAACTTATCCAAAAAATATAAGTAAATATAGTATTTACTTGTTGCAGTTTGTGTATAATGAATGGTACCACATACTATTGGCTAATTATCTTATCTCCATGAGATATTTAATGCAAATCTCATATTCATTTGTATCTACATGTTGATGATTAAAATTGGCACTTCTCTATCTAATTAGGAATTCGCCAGAATAATATTAATAATGATACGAATACGAATTGTAATGCTATAGTTGATGGTCGCGGCTTTGCTATTGCACTATTTTGTTGGTGGATTTGGTGCAATAATATGGTCAAAATATGGTTCAGCCAGAGTCTAAACGAGTGGTCTGTATCATCCTCTCAGGATCAGTAGGGCCGACAGGAGTGTAGTAAATGGTTCATCCATTATAGTACATATTCCATGGCTTCATCATTGCCAAAAACATGTCTCTATTCTGCATGCACAATATGCACATCTCGCAAATTTTCGTCTGCCCAATGTTATATATCGTTATCTTTTTAGTGGATGAGAATCAGAGATGGAACTGAACGGACAGTCTAAAAATACATTCACAGCGTCACAGGTTGAATTATTATTCGCCCTTTGAGTGCAGGGCAAAACTTCCAAAGCTTTTCAACTGGTAATTGTTGTAACGGGAGAAATTGCCATTTACTATATAAATACTCTGTTTCATCCATCATATGCACACAAAAACAGACTATATCAACAAAGTTGTGCTGCACTACAGCTACACTATTGCTCAACAAACAAAGTAGAGTAGTGTCAACCTGGTAATTATACTATACATGTACTATGCATATGTATTGACGCCAAGCTGATCATTTTGTGGTTCTGTACATTTTCTTTTCGTTCATTTCATTGGAGTTAATAAAGTAAAACTACGAAACAAACCTACAACATGTAATATTCATTCGTTAACTTCAAGTTAAATTAATCCATTGATTTATTATTTGCCACTGCACTGCAGCAATTTTGTCTTTTAAGAGAGAGGGAAGTAAAGACATTGCTCTTTCGCAATGAAGAATTCATTCACTATAAAATTCTATGCTGCGTTGCGCTGCGCTTCTAAGTTTGCAACCAAGAAGTATCCACTCTCTTTCATTCTTTGGTGGTGTAAAAAAACTAAAAAACTAAAACGCGCAGGGCAAGAAGACTTGAGCGAGTAAGGATAAATTCAAACCAAACTCGAGTCTCATTTCAGGCAATGCAGCAAAATTTTAGTCTAGAATCTAGAGACAGAAATAGAAACTTGTGGTTTCCTCCTCACTTTTATGCTACAAGCTAGCTGCATTTATGAATGATGTGGATGATATGAAAATTATTTAGTACTATTAATCATTATGGAGTACGTGCAGTTGTAACTAAACGTGCGTCCACTAAAAATGAGCCAAGGACGTCCACTAGGAAGGAAATGAATTAAAATTTTCCTGACTTGCACTAATTACGAAACTGGAACTGTTGATGGTGGTGCACCACTATGGTGGAATGGCAATAATGGCATAGATTGATCAGAATTTACCATATAACCATAGCTCGATACAAATTTATTGCGAAGATACATGATAAACCGACTTCGCTTCGTTCGAAGTATGCATACACAAGTCATACTATCCCCCCTGTAATGCCCTTAACCTGTAAACGAAAATTTTTAGCTTGCTAGGTAATACTATGGCATAAAATGAGTTACAAACTACTTGCCAGTCAAAACTGTGGCATTAAGCGAGACTTGCAAACCATTTTTGGCAAATTAAAAATGGACAACCAAATTATTGCGATTATTTGGATTACACTTGACAAGTTCATTTCGGGTGGAATGGTATGTCGAAGTGAAAGAAATGTTCAGAGGGTGAAATGACAGAAAATTAGTTTTATAATTTTCTGCTTTGGAATCTCTGCTTTTCTATTGCATTCATGACGTGTTATGTTTAAATGACCTGCACATAATGAATATATGTACAAGTTTTAAATGAATGCCAAGATCAGAATGTAAATAAATATGCAATTCGACAAGTTATAAGCTCCAACTTTTTAGAAGATAAAGAGAGAAGGAAATTTACTAACCTGTACTTCTCAATAAAGTCATATAAGATGACTGAAATTGAACTAAAATCGCACAAAATTGGGGCGCACAGAATCAAAAGCCCTGTCTTTTCAGCAGGCCAAAGGCAATGTCGAATTATTTTTCGTTCCACAAACAAGGCAAGACTCAAATTCAAATTCCAACTTCAAGGTGGTCCAATTTCAATTGTTTAACCTGGAAACAATCATTTTGATTTAATTAAACACAATTAACAATGGAGTCACAAATTCACCATCGAAGAAGGGACGAGGACAAATTATTGGGAAAGCGCAGTGATTGCTGGAATTATATTTATTATCGACCTACTACACTAACAATTTCAATGAAATATACAATACGCAATTCTTAACAAAGTTATGTTTCTTTCTTGTCATTCCTCTTTAAAAAATGTTCTTGTATAAAGTGCCCAACTTTTAGAAATACAAATACCAATAATTGCCTACCATCAACCACTACAGCACAGCGGTACTAGATTATCCTTCCATAATAATTTAAAAAGAATGTTAGTAACTGATGCAATACCTTCACCAGCACACAGCAGCACCTTTGGTGTTTGGTAAAATGTGCAAAATTTAGACACTTGATCTGTATTTCTGATTTTTAGCTCCTAGCTGGGAAAGGTGTTAACTAAATTTTATCTAAAAATTGAATTCTTAAAATTCAAAGACAAATTCTAAAAAATTAAAATTGAACATCAAATTAGAACAGATATCAATCTCATCAATGTTACGTTACGTTAGTTCTTACATTGTATACATATTTGTGAAAAGAGTGAAGGTAAGGTCTTGGTCTATTTAATTGTGCTCAGATGAATGAAAAAAGTACTTGAAATTAAAGTTAAGAAATAATAATAATAAGACTTACCTTTCAAAAACAACTTTTTCGTCGTGCAACGTACTACAGAGACAGACTTCAACTGACCCAATCGATTCCTCAACGCAGCAGGCAGAAAGAAGAATGTGCTCCGCAATAAATGTGAAGGGGCGATGAGTAGTTGAGCCAGAGCTAACGAGGTGGCGTCTGAACCATTTCTGTCAACTATTTTTCTCATGCATTTTCCATGATAAAATGACAAAATGACAAATTAAATGTGATGATTATTAATTGGAAAACTATGTTATTTTGCATTCTCTCTTTTATACATAATTCCCCATTGATTTGGGCATATTTATAGTGTACAATAATTTAAAGTAAAATAGAGCGAGGATTATGCCATTGTGTTGCACAATTTGTGTACATAAAATGTGTACACATAACATTAAAATAAAAATAGATACATAGGTGTTACAAAATTGTAAAAACAAGTAGAACGTAAATAAATCGATAAAGATGTGTAGAGAGCATTGTTGGCAGTTAATAGTTGGAATAGAACAAGAACACAATTTGTATACCTCATTCGTAATAATAGTTATCCGTCGAGTTGTCTTAGTTTTGTGTAAATCGATATGAACTAGTGGATCGCTGCCCTCCAGACACGGAACGTGAACTTGTAAACATTGAAACACCCGAAATGGTTGCCCCACCGCGCGTCGAGGTCATGTTTCCAGAACTACTTGAAGTCGTACAACCTGATCTGTTTTCTTTGGAGGTTTCCTGTATTGGACTCAGATTCCTAAATAATTATTCAGGAGAGATTAGTACATACACATACAAATACAAAACCATTCAAATGAGCTTTGGTTGAATTACAATTGCATCGATTCGCTGATATCACGAATCGGATGGTCACGAATCTCCCCAAGACGCTGCATTCTATCCTGCATCCAGTCCATACTTTCTCTTATTCTTCGAGCCTCATTCTCGGGTGACATAGGTCCGTCGATTTCTCCAATGGTCATGGAAGGAATTCGTTGGGTGTGAACATAGTTTCCAGCAAACATTCCATCAGAATGTAATCGTCGCGTCCCTCCAGAAAACCTCTCTGGAGTCGAATTCAATAGTGGTGGGGGACCAAGTTGCAGGGCGGAAGTTAGATTGGAGGTGTCAAAGGGTAACTCTGGAGGACGGTAGGGTTCATAAACAGAAGGTCTGGAACGCCCAACGTAAGGTTCGAACGGTGGCTCTTCATCATCAGCATCATCATCAAACTTGCCATCTTTCTTTCCAGTAAGTGGAAGCATGTTTCGGCGTGGTGCAGCAGGATGAACAAAAGTTTGTCCTACGAAGTCAGTAGCTAAGTTTTCTTGGGAAGTAGCACGTGAATGACGAATTGGTCGGATCTCCTCCTTTATTAAAACAAGCAGCAAATCAAAATTAGAATAATTACTAATTTTACATTTGATGATGGTAATTAATTTATTAATTTAACGTAAAATAATATTTATTATTAAGCTTACAAGGACGTCAGCTGCATTCGAAATTGCCTCAATTTCAGCGATTCTTGCACTAACGCTTGTCGATCGCCTATTCAGTACATAGTTATCTGAGCGTTTCTGATCAATTTCTTTGACAGGATGAGGCGGAGGTGCAATGTTTTCAGATAGATATCGAAAGTCTATACCCTGCGGCTTTTCAGATTGAGGATTATCTGGTTTCTTTAATTTCGAAGAGGGATTAGAGTCTGAAATACTCTCGTACAGTACAAATTTCTTGGACACGGATGGAGGTGGTAACATCACTGCACCAAAGCTGGGGGCGGTGTCGTTCTTGGTTGCGTTACTGTCTCTCATTCTTATATCAGTATCCCTTGTTAGTGGAGAATCTTCATCAACATCATCAGAAGTGTTGCGACAAAAACGTGTCTTTTCATTCCATCCGTATACAGTAGTTGCTCCACTCATTCTAACACTAGCGTTGAAGGAGGGGTCACGATTGATGCTGATTTCGACAAAGTTGTTGCAGGTCTGGTCGGCATGAGAGGGTGGAGCCATAAAACTTTCCATATAGCTCATACCAGTTGCATTCATTAGTTTATCCGAAGGAACTGCCATGGATGAGTAGTGGGACATTTGTTGTTGTTGTTGCTGCTGTGTGGCCTTAATATAGGTGCATTCGTTTTCATTGGACGAGGATGAGTATTGCCTATCACCTAGATTTCAAATTAAAGTTTTTTAATACACAATTGCAACTAAAAATTTCATTACAATATATTTATCTACCTGCGGAATTAGAATTGCACTCTGTAGTTATATTGTTAGTAGTGGTGGTGGATGCTTGGTATGGAGCAGATTGTTGCTGCAGTTGCAAAGTCAACTCTTTAATCTGTGAAGCATGATTTGCCTTGAGTTTTTCTAGCTCTTGCCAATGACGAGTTTTCGCCTCTTCCAAGATGTTCATAAATTCTTTCTGATGGAGCTCCAATTGTTGGACGTAATCTTTTAGTTCACTACATTCCGTCGTCAGTCGAAGAATCGTGTCGTTATATGAATATCGTTGTTGCTCCCACTGTGCTTCTTTGATAGCTTTCTGCTTCAATTCCGTTTCGAAATTCTCGCGTAGACTCTGTTCAACTTCGCACAATTGTTCAAAATCTCTTTCCACCTTGATCAATTTTTCTTCTAATTGCATTCTATCATTTTTCAGTCGAGCAATGATTTCACGGTCTTGATTACTCTTTAGCCACGCGTTCCTTTTTCGATGTTCAAATGAGGCAGGTCTCCCACTAGACAGCATCTATATATTAACGTAACAAATAAGATAGCGTTATCATACGCTTGTTAATGTTTCTTGAAAGACCTAATATAACTAGAGAATTAATATAATTACCGATCTACTGAATTTTAAGCAAGCATTTGGGATTATCATTGGAGCCAACTCGATAGTTGATAACACATCTACTGTGCCATTTACATCAGCAATTACAGATTGCTTATTGTTTAGTGTCCCAGCCAATGCCAAAGACGAGGTGGATTGCAATTCAGGTCCTAATACACTACAGGGTTTCCTTTCTTTGAGTATACCTTCCTGTACTATCATTGGGCGTGTGGGTTTGTCATCTACGGAATCTTCGGTATAAACTAGAAATTCAAGACACGCTACTGTATACAATCAAATATATTATAATATAATCACAAAACATTAACCTACTGGCAATTTTTTCACGCGGTGCTTCAAATTCTCTCATTTCCGGTGAGTCTGTTTCAACTACAACATTGGGCTTGTTCCATTTCGATGGTTTCTGATGATTTTCTTTGTCAAACTTGGGCCCCACAACTTGTTCAACAATATTGAAACCAACACTTGAGGACGAGGAAGGAGTACCAGTAGGGTGGTCATTTTCGGTTTCCTGAAAATCAACGTATCGATAAAATTGAGGTTATTTTCAGGTAAGAAATAAAGTAAATAAAATCATATTTAGATTAATTACAGTTTGATACAATGGAAGGTTACTTTTAGACGTAACCTGATGATGAAGCTTGGAAATAGATGCTTGGCGCTCCATCACAGGTATAGCTGGCTTTAAGTCGTTTCGAAACACTGGCGCATCATTTTTTTCTCCATGCACGGGAACGGAACTTCCAAAATTCCTATTGGAGCTCGGTTGTGGTCCCACATTCATAGATTTTGCAAGATCTCTCGCTATCCTAAACTCAAGTTCACTGTAACAACGAGAAAATATATTAAACAAAATTAGAATCGAAACAATTTACTTTTAGATGTGTTATTTCATGTAATATTATTTTTCTCTTCTACAACTCACGAAATTGCTTCTTGTAATTTTTCAATTGGTTGAGCGTCCTTCGTTATCCCACGCTTCATAGTTTGACGAGCTTCATTCTTCATTCCAAGAGACTCTTGATGATCAGCGATGACAATATACATTTGGCTTACACTTGTACCAATTTCCTTCTTATTCAGAGCAACAAGCAACAAGTTTAATCGACTACTGGTATCAGGAACTGCATCATTTAACTAAAACGAAAAAATTAATACTTTTAGTTAAACTTAATCGTAGAGTTATACAAGAGGGTTATGACACTTACACATTTTACAATTGCTTCCACATATCGTTTATCATTTTTATAAAGTGAATTGTCATAAAACTTCTTATAACACTCCATTCTTGCATTAGATAAGGATTTCTTCCACGTAATAGTATGAACACATTGATGTTCCAAGAAACGAATAAGTGCCAAATAGGGTTCGATTGGGTCATCTCCGGAATAATTTTGTACATTGCTTTCCAATTCACTACATAATCAAGTGTAATTAATTAGAAAATGGTTAAATATTGCAATTCAAGATTTTATATAATTGCAAGGGAACGTCAATTCAGTTCTGTGTGGTATTTCCAAAAACTAATTGTAAGTATCATTTATTTTATTACAACATATAATAATGAGTAATGAGTAAATAATTCCTGTGATTTTAATTCGACTTACAAATTACAGGCATATTATAATATTTATATTTCTAAAAGTATTGTTCGACTGACCTTAACTGCTGCTCAATATCTTGTTCATGATCAGCCATGCTTTTAGACGTATCGAGTGACTGCTTCAGTAACGAAATGTTCCGTCCTGAACATAGCGGCTGGATATTCTCTATAAAAGTGGGTATAATTTAATTGAAGTGACTGATAACTCCGTCCGAACTCATAATATATGTTTACGAGGGCAATTAATCAGTGCTTGCTTCATACTTACCCTTGTGCAATTCCCAGCCTGACGACTCCATAATTTGCTCACGTTTCGTCAAATGTCACCAGAAATTTAAATTTTGTGTGCCTTCAATTTTGGGTTGCATTCGTAGTTGAACAAATGTGAGTGTATAAAAAGCTGGGCAGTGTAGTAACGGTCGCTCACTGCTGCTGGCGGCATGAAAAAATCCGAAATCTCAACTCCACCTCTCAAGCCAAACTCGCCACCAATCGGTGTAAGACGATAATCGATTTGCTAGATATTAATTGCACCTATCAAGTTATCTATAATTATCAGTAGGGACATGTTTAGTTTAACTTAAGCCGGGTTAATTTTGATTAAAACAAATGAGAGACTAAAGAAATGATTGGAATCTATAAAGTTATTATAACAATATTACGGTTTTTATTTTTATGGAATTATTAAACAAATGTTTTTGTTTAACAATGATCAAAAATTAAAGACAACTAGTTATGATGATGATGATAAGTCCACAAATGATAAGGTGGAGATGCGCCTGCTGCTATTGACGTTGTGTGTGAATGGGACACGAACGCCAAAATCTGGTTTCATTCAGCAAAGCAACAAACAGCTCTAGTCGCCTCGTCGGACGGACGGACGAAGTGGGTGGATTATCTTTATTTTTGACGAGTGATAAGATGACATTTGAAATATACGAAGTATGACGTGATGAAATAATTCACTATCAACTAATCAACAAAACAGCTACAACGACATGGCTGGCTTGGAAATTACTGTGAATCCGGAAGTCATTCGGAAAATCCAAGGGTAAGTCGGGTTTTGTTCAAAATGACGAGATTGGAATGGAATTAATGGAAATAACTCCAATTAATCCGTCATTGTTGAATTATGAATACGCTGAATGTAGAGATGATCTAACATCAGGTATTAATGTTGTTATTTTATTTTTCTTCAGATATTTCAATGATCCAAGTTACAAAGAAATGGTGGAAAATGCGGCGCAATTCAATTCCAGGCTTGGCGCAGAACGGACGATGCGACTGCCGTTTTTGGATAATCAAACTGGTAATTTAGTATTGAGATATTAATGGCAATACAAAAATAGAGTGCTTGGTTTACTAATTCGATTAAATGTGCTCACCGTGTATTAGGCGTTGCCCAAAACCACTCTAATCTGTTTATGGAACCTCACCAACGCCTCCCTGGCATGAAGGTACAATTTAATTCATTTATTCACGCTTCAATACTTCAAGCAATTACAATAATTTTAATTGTGTTTATTCTCCCTGGTATGAAGGAGGGTCAAATTTACACATATCCTTCAAAGAGATGGCAAAAGAAGCGGAGACAGTATCTCCACAATTTTATGCAGCCAAGGTTTAATCTTCGGAAAGAAAATGGCGATGGCGGAGAGGGGCCATCGTCGGGAGCTCTGTTGGAAAACTCCTCCTTTACAGCTGGTCCAAGTAGTGGCTCAAGTGGTGGTGTTGGGCCTATTCCTTCTAGTACCTCAGGGCCAATGATTGGAGGTGCAGGGGGTGGTGGTGCAAGTTGTGGAAATCCGACGAATATTCAACAAGAACAAGAGAGCAGCAACAAGGAGACGCCAAAACCTGATCCAGAGATCACAAAGCAAGATTGGTTTTACGACGAGCTTGATGTGCCAGGTACGTGACTAAAATTTTCGATATATGAATATATAATAATATAAAAAATGTGTTATGATGACAAACTATTGTGTCGTAAAAAATTATAAATATGATTAAATAGATTATTGGCATGTTATTGTTACGGCGCGATCAAAGGTATTAGGATTTTCAATCACATCATATCAATTGTTTTTTTAAATCAGATGCTGGAGAATTTGATGAACCCGATGCTGACTCTGATTACGATTATGAGGAAAGTTATAGCAGCAAGAGAAAGAAAAAGAAGACCCCCGCAAAGACTCCTCGTGTAAGTGAACCAGACGTGACCTGGGATGTTTTTAGTTTTATGAGATTTGATTTATAATTTAATCGCAATCAATACTCGTTTTTTAGCAACAGAATAAGAATAGAAGAAAGATCACGTACGACCCTATTGGCGACTCGGAAAAACCATTTGCTTGTGATTGTAAGCTATTTTCAATTGATTCAAGAAACACATTTTATTTATTGTAGAATGTGCTAAGTGATGATGCTAATGGGTAATTTTTCATACAGTATGCGGAGCGAGGTATAAGACACGCCCAGGACTAACTTATCATTATACTCACTCTCACAAAGAAAAGGAAGACGATGAAGAAGAAATGGATATGGATAAGCGTGGTGGCGATGAAGGTCCTTTCCGCAAATCTAAATTTTATTCATTTTGACCAGAATCTCAATTCTGTAGATTGGTTTTTCGTTAAAATCTCGATTTAATTTAATGTTTGATCTGTTGCTGATCCTAACGCAATTTTCACACGCGCACTTCTTTTACTTTCTCATATTATAATGCACTTGATAGTAGACAGGATATTCATCCATACAACAATCGAAATCTTGCCTTTTTGTCGATATATATAATGATGATGATAATATCGATTGACTGGATTAATACGTTAAAGTAACGATATTAATTATAATAATGCTGGAACCAATTGTGAGTAACCATTATAATAATATAATACACAATGGGTATTGGCGAAATCATTTAGTTTTATTAGTCAGCTCAAGTGGTTAAACCAAGGTTTTTTTTAAATTATTTAATAGCTGAGTTGTGATTGAAACATAATTATGAATGACAACCATTGCCTTGCTGTTTTGAAGGGGTTGGAAAAATTATAGGACCTCTGATAAGTAAATATGTTGGTTTAATGATGTGGGCTAGTCAGCAGTGGGAGGTGCTTTTAAAATTTTTATATAACATGTTTGAATTTATGATAAATTGAACTTGTTTAGTTTGCATACTGATTACAAGGATTATTTTCCGTTGTTAGTCTAAAATATAATTTGTATACACAAATTCAATCAGTATAAGATTTAAATGTTTAGGTGCAGTAAAAAGAATTTGATAGTGGTGGTTATCCTTTTTTGTACGCTATCTATCTACATGGAAAGTGGTTTCTTTATCAAAGAAAAGTCTGACATGACCAAATTGAATCATTCGTAGTAGTAATCCATTCGAGTGCAGTTATATTCAGAAACGAAAAAGACTGAAGTCTGTCGTCTATTATTATGAAGCTGATAAAGCCACTGTTTTGTTTTCGGACTGAACTATCCTATTTTTCTTCGTGCACTGGAAATTTTTGCGTTCTATTGCTGGTTCGATTATTTCCATGAGTGGTATAGAGTGGATATGGGAGATGAATTGTAATTTCAAATTTAAATAATACTGACTAATTCATGTGATGCGCAAAAGTCATTCTCGGTTTCAATTTTCAATACCTAATAATTATAAATGATATGGACATTTCCATGATAAATGGTCTTGAAGTTTGACTACAAGTTTAGTAATAATAATTAAAAATGAGGTGCTATATACATACGTTTAATTAGTTAGTTTGGATTCAATCAACTACTGTATGTACATATTTATGTATGTATGTGTGTAGGTAAATAATCAAGAACATATGCATAATTGACTTGCTTAGTAGACGATTTCCAATTATCCGATGATAATAATAATAATAATAAATTTATTATTATTACTTTCCTAGTATTACAAAGTTTTAACAGATTTCCTTTCTAATTGCACAGCACATATTATACCTATTATCATGTATATTAAGCATTTTATAGAAATAGATTGCCTGACTGAAGATACTAGATAGTTACTAGTTAGTTGGTTCTTCTGCATTGGTTTGTTGTCGAAAAATACGTTATGAATAAAGACTGCATTTTACGGTTAAACCACTACTTGGCTTTTTGCGATATTATTCGTTATTGAGTTGCATAGGCAGTTTGGACTCCTTCGGACTTCCTTTCCTTAAGGGACTTTCATTGAAATTTCATCTTCTTCTTGTCTGAAGGTTAGTCCAAATTGTTTATGCAATGATAGTACTCTTTGATTTTATGGTAGCCCAATATTAATAACGATCAATCTATAATCGTTGTATTAAATTTTTGCAGCTTCAAGACGAAGAAGCGGAGGAGGAGGAAATATGCCCCCACCGATTCTTCACCCTCAACAACCGATGCCTCCAACACTTCAACCCCAGCAGCCCATGTCACCGTCACATCACATGGGAATGGGTCCAATGCCTCCACCATCAATGATGCACCAGCATCACCACCATCCTCCCCCGCCCCATTTGGTACCTCAGCAACCTCACGTAAGTCGAGCACTGTGCAATAATTCATAAAGCATACTTCCATGCACTTAAACTGAAATTTAACTCAATAGCCACATATGCCACCACATCACCAAATGTATCATCATCAACCTCCACCAGGCAGCAACATGCCCCCTCCTGGGAGTTATCATCATCAGCAGCAAGGCATGTCTTCCCAGCCACCCCAACAGCAACAACAACATCCTCATGCGGGTAGTCATCCCGGACTTATGGGGGGCCCCATGGGTTCAAGACCTCCAATTATGCAACATCCAGGGCATGTCGATGATACCAATTATTTCTATGAAAAAATTATTCTACATATCATAGTCCTAGTTCAAGTTTATAAAGGTTTCCCTTATTTATGCACAGATCAAGTGGAGGAAACCATCCTCAACCGGGAGGAATGAATCATCCTGGTCCAGGGGGTGTGTCTTCTTCTGGGCCTTCAAATTCAGGAGGTGGCCCAGGAGGACCAGTAACAGACGACCCAAATTTCCCAAGAAAAATGGATGACGGAAAGCCTCGGGTGCCACCATCTCCTTACTGTGACTTTTGTTTGGGGGATGCTGTTGAAAATAAAAAATCTGGCATCCCCGAAGAACTGGTGTCGTGTTCTGATTGTGGACGGTCAGGTAATTTCAGCACTACCAATCTGGTAGTAATTCGTTATAATTTTGCTCATTTTCTAGAATAGTAATTTTAATTCTTAATTCATATTAATATTAAACAATAATTCACATAGGTCATCCGACTTGTTTGCAATTTACAAACAACATGATCATCTCCGTCAAAAAGTATCGCTGGCAATGGTAAGTACCATTACAAAATTGGATGGACGGCAAAAATATGACCAAGTATTTGGTGCCGGATTAAATTTCTCTATTTTTTTGTAGCATTGAATGCAAGTGCTGCTCACTATGTGGCACCTCAGACAATGACGTAAATTATTAACATAAATAGTCGCTTTGAAAAAATTTTTGCCTTTATAATTCTATTTGTATTTTTTCAGGATCAATTATTGTTCTGTGACGATTGTGATCGCGGTTATCATATGTACTGTTTAGTACCCAAGTTGGATGCACCTCCCGAAGGGTATGTGCTAATAATAGTAATGCAGCATACGTGCATAAATTAATAAATGTGGTTTTCAATGCATTCAGGTCTTGGAGTTGCACGTTATGCCTGGGAGAATTTCATCACAAAAAGTAAAATATCTCGAATCCAAAAAATAATATGCGTTGTATTTGTATGTGTAGTGTTTGTGACATAAGATAATACCTATACCTTATTCAATTTTAATAGTTATAGTTGCAGATTTTTTGCTAGTATATTTATTCGAGATTGGTACTTATTAATATTTTTTGTTATTAATTTAACTTAACTAATTTTTATGGACTTGATTTTTTTGTTAGAATTTTCAATAAATGTGATTTATTTCATTCATGTAACAAAGTTACAACGAGTTCAAAATATTGATAAAATTAAAGAGGGCCCTCATAAATATTTTGGTTTGCTGTTTAAAAAACAACGAGATTGCCTGAAATACATAATATGCACAAGACTACAATGTATTTATTGAGCAGAACATCTTGTGTATTGTAAATAAATTAGTAAGTTAATACGGTATGTACTTAAAAAATCTGTGTATGTATATGCATATTTCTTGTTTCACTTGTTTGGGACGTATTACATAGTAATACATATTGTTTAAGCTATTATCATTCAATAGATTAATTACTCTTTCATACATAATTATTTTAAATGAGTTGATGTATACCAATTCAGTCTTGTTATCAGTATTATTTAGAGAAAAAGATGAATAAACAACAAAAGTCTACCGAAAATTTTCATACAGCATTTTTTGCTTGCAAACAACTTGGCGAGAAAGTGAGACGAATTGGAAAAGTGGGAAAATGTGCTTACTTGTATAATACTTGACGAATAAATTCGCTAAGATAGGTTCACGGTTCACCATCAACTGTTAGCAAATTTCCTAAATGCTTACCATTTTCGATTAAATTCAATTAAATTGGCCTAGTAGTAGCTATATTGTTTGAACCACGGAGGATTGTTTGAGCTAAACAAAAAGGGCTCATTGTTAAAGTGGGAGATCGGAACTTCAGAAATTCAAAGTGAGTGGAATGCATTATTTTATGAATTTTTGGTTTTGTACATTTTACATGTGTATTTTTTGTTTGTAAATTTGTTTAGTAAATATTTCGCATCTATATTTGAAATTTCTTTTCATTTAATTAAGGTATAAATACAATTCTTCTACATTTTAGAGAGCTATTTTTTTCCTTAGAATAAGGTATTGTCTATTATTCATCAGGAGTACACAATGTTGCGACGAAGCCAACGAACAAGGACCAAGGGGGGAGGTGGAACTGTGTCAGAAAATCTAATCTCTCTTGACACTAGAGATAAGGAACCCTCAACGCGTAAAAGCACAACACAATCATCTTCAAAACGAAGAGGTCAGTCTACGAGACGCGGCTTTACCAGACAAGAAGATATTAGGTCTGATGAAGAGCTTGTTGGCCCCTCGGCGTCGACGGATGGCGCTACCACTGGACCCATCGAATTTTCCACTCCAGTATACGCAAAGAAATCCGAACCCACTCTTCCCCTCGGACCTGCAAATAAATTGAAATGGCTCTGCTACCCCCACAGCTTGATTAACAAGGTGAAAACTGAGGAGGAATTAGATAACCTTACCTATATATCTGGAGCCAGAGTGGAATCTTCGGAAGAAATTGAGGGTTAGTTAAGTTGACCACCTACTTATTTATTTATTTATAAGGCATGTGTATAACTTGTCCAAATGCAACTAAACAAAAATTTTATAAATTCTTATGTGGTCAAACAGTTACGGCCTCAGAGTATGTACAGATAGATGACGAGGACGACAACGAATGGGAAACATTGTCAGATTCAGAAGAACCTACTGGGGAGTGGGAGGAACAGCTAGTTTATGTCGAACTGAATGATATTCCGAGCATCCAAGAGCTATTTGCTGTCCAGCCTGATGACTTTTTAAGATTCCAGAGGAAAAGACATCGTATGAAGGCACAACCCGTCAAGGCCACTCATCCGAAAATCAGCATCCAATTCCACCAGTTTCAATCTGCCTCTCCAGTGTTACAAATTGGCAATCGTTATTTTGCATGCCATTGGGAGGAACCCACTGGCACGGCCATGTTCTTTAGAAAGAAGGCTGACGAACCCATCGTCATCAAGCAGGAAGCTGGTGTGACATCTTCGAAACTAAGTCAGCATCTTTTACTTATTTAGTATCAATAAATTTATATTACGATTGATTGGAATGTAATATTTTTTATCATCTCATTTTCACTAGACAATAAGGATGATCCATCCCGTCGGCCGTGCTCAACCCTTAAAAATATTATCCCTGAGCCTTCAATCCCTCGCGACAATATATTTGGAAAGGCTCATCTCATTACAAGAGCTACCTACGAAACTGTATCCCTGGCTGACAAAGTATTGAAAACTGAATTATTGGAAGCGGATACGAAAAAAATGAATTTGATCCCTACCAATCGTCAATTTTTTGGCAGACCTGCAATCTACAAACTCAAGATACCTCAAGGATATACTGCTACTGATCTGCTTGCAGGACAGTATCGACCAAAGCGAACTTATACACGGAGTCGGAAGAATAAACAACAGAAATCTGAACTTGGAAATTTAGCAGAAGCCCAAACTAGTCAAAATACAATAGAATCCGTTTAGGTTTTTGTGTATCTCAAGAATTTGAAACTAAATGTTAACTGAATTAAAATAACACCAGCGAGTAATTCACTGTAACTTTGTGGCATATATTTTATTATTGTTTATGAACTTTGCAATAAAAAAAGCTATCAGTACAACTTATTGTTAGTCTTCAAGCAGTTTCATAGTTCATGCAGAAGGAATTGATTAATTCGCTAAATCTAAAATGTGCATGATATTAAATAAACCTATACCATATACACGTCAGTTGTTAACTTAACCCTGCTACAATTACTATATATTCATTCTTTAAATTTCACCATATGTTGTATGTGTGCATGCATATATACTCAATACACCTAAGATATGTACACTCCTTTTGCATACAAGCGCTGTAACGGTTTATATAAGTTTATAAACGACAAGCGAAATTTCACGAGGAGCCATACTATTTGTATTTTGTGCGGATTAATTCAAGTCGGCTTTTTGAGTTAAAATTAAACTAATCCGTTGATGGATACATGCTTTTTACATCTGTAATACATGGTAATTTAATATGCATGCAATTCTATGTACATACCGAACTCTATGGATGGACATCCTTAAATTGCAAGAGCTTTACTTACAATGACGACTTAACTAGTTAATTCACATTTTAGAATGTATACATTATTATAGATGAACTACTTTGCTCATAAATTGATGGCACTTGGATGATTGGATGGAATATTTTTTTGATTTAGTAGACAAAGGTAATTATATAAATGTCATAATATATTTATATACATATTTGTATATGAGAGTTATAGTTAGCAACTCAACAATGCATGATAATTTGTTATTATTAATTATCGCTTTATCATTTAACCAAGGAAGAATGGGAAGCATAAGCGACAAAAAGTGCATCGTTGCTGCACCATGCAGATTTCTGCACCTCTGTGAAATGTGCAAAGTTGACTTAAAAAACAACGACGAGAACTAAAACGAATCTCTCTCTCTCTCTACATGGTAGTCTAGTCTGATAGTAAAGCACATAGCATAGACACATTATGCAGCATTATAATAAGTCATAAGTGCTTGGTAGCGTTATATTATTCTCATTATTGCATTGTGGTGCTAGGTATCCGGTCTACTTTCCAATTTGCCGTGATTTACTTTATTGCCCTTTATTTTGAGTTTGCTACATATTTTATTTCGATGGAATTGTGCAGAGAAAGAAATATATTATCAACCTGAATATATTTTAGGGTCATCATACAATCTTAATCTACCGAAAAATCAAAGTTAACATCACTCGTTTAATTTATATGGATGATGGTGACACCTTTACATTGTTTAGTAACATGAAATAATGTATAGGCTTTCCACATTAATTCACGTTTTCCATCAATCAGAAATCGATTTTTACGGACATTTATTATACAAACAACTCATGCTGCAATTTACATCATAGGAGGGATGCAACAACAGAATCAATTTCTTGCAGGTACATCAACTAAATTTGTAAAATGCAATTTAAGCCCTTTAGTACCTACATATGTCCCTAATATTCATACGGTTGCGAAATAAAGCATGGAAATTTGAAAGTTGCAAAATTGGCACAGGGAAAAATAACATGTGCAAATATGTACATCCGTTTTGGTTCGTTTGGATGATGAGATGAGAACAAAACAGAATTTGCACTCGCCTGACAAAAGGAGTGAGCAGCAAAGATTATCGGGGAGAGATTTGCAAATTTCCGAGTGTCACAACGACAAAATGACAGTCACAACTTTGCATTATTCGTTCCGATCAAACTGCTAAATAGAACGAATTCAGTATGAAATGCCAAGTGAGTTTTTGACAAGGTCGATTATGTTATGTAGAAATGTAGACATATAGTAACACGCATATTTAGTAAATAGATATTTAATTCTTCCGGCGATAGGTTCACAATCAAAACAACTCAAACTCACAACCGAGATCTGAAATCTGACTGAATTATATACCTATTAAATGTCTTCATAACAAATAATACCAATGTAAAACGAACCAATTTTTTCGATAGAAAAACTTGAATTAGTTTACTTTTATACTAATTATTAATTCTCAAATCTTTAAATTAGTAAGTTATTTTATTAAGTGATTGACTCGAGATAATTTTATTTCGTCGCGAATTTTTATTGCAAGGAAAGGGTATGTAAAAGTGAAGGGATTTTGTTTGAATTTATTTATGTTTCGATTTTGAATTGCAAATTGTCATATATATGCATATACCTTTAGAATTAAAGTTCCATTCGTTGGATTATATTTATGATGTATGCAAGTATGAAAAAATTGCGATGCAATGGTAAATGGAAAGTCTATTTTTCGTTTTTCTTTGGAATTTTTTATTTATGATATTATAACTATGTAATTTGATTACTTCACCTATGTATGCTTCACGATAAACTTGGCTGTTTAACTCTAAAATTGATGCCTTATACGTTGGCAAAATAATTGGAGGAAAAGACAAGATGGTAAGAAAGAACCACATTTAACGGGAAATATACGTACTCTTTGCATTCTTGACCAAAACCTAAAATATTTTCATCCTTGCATTTCTTGATTGATTGTTTTATATATGCATAGTCATAAATAATATGATTACCCCTGTAATCACATCGTATCATACGATTCGTATGTAATAGCACTCGTGAGAAATTAAAAATTCAAAAAAATTGGTCCAATAAATAACCATAAAAACACCACGTCAATGAGACAACTCATTGCCGAACACCTTTTTCAAGAATACGTTTCCCTGTTATGTTGGTGTATGCATTAGATTTTCAGGTAAATTTATGATATTTCCACAATTATAGTTCGAGTATAACGCAAGGTGCCATTTTTGCGTGATATTAATTCAGAGATAATATTTTTTTCATGTCCAGTTTTTGGCAGAGATATTTTAAAACGTGAAAATTAGCCAAATATAACTACAGAGTAAAAAGTGATGTCGCTCTCGCCTCGCTCATGCTCATGTAAAGAGAAAGAAATTCTACAGCCTCCATATGGAGAATGGTGTTATTATTGTGCCCACAAATCCAATAAGGACTGCCGACACGGGGTGAACCACTTCTCAGAATACTGAAAACCCTGCCTGCTTAACCTTTGTATGGGACTTGTGTACCCTGCTATTTATATTTCAACTATTGGCTCGAACTTATATTTGGAGTAATATTAAATAACGTTAATAAGAAAAGTGATTAAACTTGAAAGATTGGTATTCAATATTCATTAAGATCGAAACTAAGAATGTTGTGTGTGATTGGGTGTGGGTCCTCTACTTAGACCTGCAATGTATATTCAAAAGACTAGCAGTGGGTCATAGGTTGAATCGTAGTTGAATCGAATGTCTCATCCTTTATGCAGAAAACGTTACGTTAGAAAACATTAGTTTCAGTCAGGTGACACGCATGCATAACCAACTTTTCTTGAATAAATGGAAATGGAGTAAGGCGTCTTTCTTCTGTCCAATATTGCATGGTCCAAAACAGTAGACTTTTTAAGAGAAATGTGTCTTAATTAAGATTTCTGTCGTTCAAAATAAATTACGACGACAGGAGGGCATATGAAAAAGGGTGATAGGAAACGTTTTGGCGAGAACGTGCCTGCACCCTGTACATTCAGAGGAGAGTCTATATTCAGGGGAGAGAAGGAAACGGTGACTCCGCCTTCGCGTTCCCTTCTCTCAGCGAACGAGTCTTCAGTCAAATAGTGCTACTTGAGCTGTGAACATCAATCTCACTCTCCCCCGTCTCCATCTTTGCAACTTTTCTCTCAAGCAACTCTCTTGTGGAACAACTCACAAGGTAGGTAACGACATTCCACACCCCCTCATCTCGAACCTCGGAGATACTCATATTTGCCCCAAAGTTATCAGTGTGAAAAGCTGCACGATCCATTCATGTGTCGCAATTAGAGGACGAAGGATTTGTTGCAAAGAGATAGTTTGTGGGATGTAGCAAGAACTGACGAAGCTGTGTAATGGGATGGGATCCTTTTTCTTTGTCTTGCAGCGAGGTCAACATTACAGAAATCTCCTTTGTTTTAATAATCCTTCCTTCTAAGGAAGGCTGGTGAATGAGTGAGTATAAATAATGATAGATGAACCAGTGGGTTGTGAATTGTCCGTTGATGATCAATTTTGTGGGGTCTAGAGAAATTGAAATTGAAATTATTGAGGTGTTATAACTCGAAAAATTGATTGGAGTAAAATAATTATTTTTGCAAGTTTTTGGATACAAGAGGTGACTACAGCAGAGATTGTAATGCAAACTGAGGAAACCCGACTGTTAATGAATTACGTTGTTTTAAGTAAATAGTATCAAAGCCGTTATCATTACTACTGAACTCGTAAAAGACTTAAAAGATGAAAGAAAGAATAAGATGCGATCATATTCCTGACAAAAATATCGTAAAAAATAGAATTTACGGAACATAAATTAATTGTTTATTTATTACTCATAACTTTAACGTATAAAAAATAATTAATGCATTCGTATCTATATTTCTAACAGAAGAGCCATCATTGTGTTGTTTCCTACTACATCATTCTCTGTTAAAAAACCGTCTTTTGTTAGACTTTTCTGGCTGACAAATAAAACAAGACTGAAAGAAACGTCATGCATTTACGAAACAAACGGAGACAAGAATTAATTGTGTGATTGTGCAATTGATCAATAATGACAATTTTAATTTAGTTTTAACTGTTTAACAACGGAGCTCTCAACTTATTCATAATTTAGTGTTGTGTTTCTCCATATTATGTACATTGTATGGTTTGTATGCATTTGGAGAGAAGCTGAATTCATAAACCTTGTAAATATGTAGGATGAGGTTAGGCGCAAGTAGATGTTAGACGAGACGACATTGTTATTTTTAACGTTGGTTGAATGCAACTTGGCAAGTTAAATTAAATATTATACATACCTTGCCGAGCTTGTTTCAGCATCGTCGACATATTTTATGAGTAATGGGATCTGCGGTTGGAATTAATTTTATTTGTTATTTGATACACGAACTGAACAAAATCAACCGAAAATTGTATATTAAGTATTAATAGTCCAATGCAATGATAATTAATTGCCACTGTATTATAATCTTTGCCTTGAAAAAATATGTGGTGCATAGAATAGAG